CTCAGTTAAGTCTTCTTTTGCAGGTTAATCTCTTCTCCACAGGTATGCGGGCGCTGCTACGTCAAGGTCGCTGTTGAAGGGCTGGAAAAGAATTCTCCTGCATTGGCAGGTTTGCCTTTCCCGTAGCAAAACGTCACAACTTTGGCGGTATCAGGCCTTGGGCAGAATCCTTTAGTCTATCTTCCCTAAATGGGGGTGGGGCGTGCAGCGGTGACCCACGCCCCCGTCCTCTTTGCGGCAGCAATACCAAGGTTCCGCATTAAAGGGGTTGTTTGAGGGGAGGCTTTGGCCATACGCCTAGAGGTTGTCATTGCTCTCCCCTGCGAAGGAGGCGTAATGGGGGCGGGCTCTCTCTGCTTGAACATATGTTCTCCAGAGCCAGCCCATCCCACACACACACTGGATAACCCTGATGTTCCCCAGATCCCCGGTGGAGGACTGGGAGGAATAAACGCCCAATGCCTGAGCCAAGGTCTACCCACATCTGAAAAATAATAAAGTTGTGGCCAATTTTAATCCCATAGCACGTTGTCTTGAGTCGTTATTCCACACGGGGTTTGGGGGACTCCGCCTGTCCACGCAAAGTGCAAGTGTGTACCATGAGGAATGGGGATTCAGTTTTAGCCCCACACCTGATGTGACATCTTTTCCTTTCAGTAACACATGTAGCAAATAGTTGTGTGAGAAGAAAGCTCAACATGCCGCTACTGAAAGGAAAAGGCTTGGGGACGGGGTGAAGAATGCAGCCCCCCTCCTCAACTTAGATATGAGCAAGACATTAATAGGACTGTCATATGAAGGTATGGGCACATGCCTCCTAAAATGCATTGCATTTGATGTGATATGAGTCCATATAAAATTTCTACCAGAAGTGAACCACTTGCTCATGTGGCTCATCATCTGATGCCACAGTCATTGCTCAGTACCTGCATGTATAAACCAGCCCTCACAGGAGGGCTGCTAGTCTCTGAGCAGCTGTGGCAATGATCTTCACAACTGATTTTTGACAGTGTGTAATATTTTTATGGAGATTGTTTGCCTACCATGGCTTCGCAAAGCATCTTGAGTTTCCCATTGGTATTCACAACACTTGTCCAATGATGTATGGTACGGAAGATGAGTTTATCGCATGCACTTTACTCTGTCTTTACTCATAAACTCTGTATTTCATTCTGTTGCTTCTGCAGTCTTTTGCAAAGAGCAAATTGTTCTGTTTATACAAATTGCTTTGTACCTAACCCAGTCCTCTGTGTTGTCAATTCACCATAGTCAAGGGACTGTTATATTGCGTCCCCCCCCCATATGTAAGTGGTGTGCCTCTTAACACCAACTATTACTTGTTTTATGAGTACTTAGTAACTTATACAACTATAACTTGTTTATGAGTACTTAGACTTCTTTATATTGTTTTCTTATAATCTTATAAACTGATCATATAGTTTTATTATGCCTGTTGGTGTTTACACTTTATTGTGCCTAGAAGTGCTTTCATTTGGGAAGGTTTTTCTAGGGCAAGGCATAGTGATGGATTATTTTGATCTGGGCAAAGTTTTGAAGGGCAGAGAAATCAGCAAACTAACATGTAGATTATTTTTTTCAAGAGCTAGTAATCATGGTAGTTTCACGTCATTATGATTAGCTTTCCAAGAATCATCAGGCTGGCATCTATTGGAAACAAAATACTACATTAGATAGACATTTGGTTATTGATGTCATTAGTGCAGGACCTTAGATGGATGTAAAGGCACCACTCAGAAGAATGCGCAGCTCCATGGGGTTTTTACATTAGCCACCTTTTTGAAAAAAAAATTTCAAGCAATCACCCCTCCTGTTTTCTTTATATGGTGTTGTAATTAATAATTTCAAGAGTTTGAAGACTTGTCTGTCTGGCTTTCTGTTTTGAGATACAGATCAGTACAATTACCTACAAATCGATTTAGGACAATCCAATCTCCTCTCTAGTTCTTTGTAGCAGCTCCCATCTGATCTGGACAGGGCCCAATTTGGCCCAAATCAGCCTGATTCCATTTGGGATTTGGGCAAATCTGGTGGACAGCCCTAATAAACAGTAAGTCACATTATACCAGGTCAGATTATTTGTCCAAGTAACCTACTATTGTCTGTCTGACAGCAGCACCCAAGGCTTTCAAGCAGAGAGAGATCTCCCACCTCCAGCTGCCCACTCCTTTTTTCTAATCTGGAGATGCCAAAAATGGCCCTTGGGATTGTCTTCAGAAGAGATGATCAAGCAGATCTCCTTTAGCATAGAGTTAAACTGCTTCAGCATGGCCAGAGAGGCCATCTCCCACATAATGATAAACCATGTCTCCAACACTGTCTGAAAAACATTCTTTGAGTAACATAGTGAGTAGTGGCCTGGAAATTAGTTCTTCAATCAGCAAGTGGACAGCACCTCAGTGATGGGCTGCTCAGTCTGACTGAACAGCCCAGTCAGAACCAGCAGCTTTTAAGATCATATGGGATCCTTCTGTTTCCTTGTTTCATCTGAATTGTGTTGTACTGGTAGTAGCAGTACCACCTTCTGGCTATCTGCAGTGCCCTGCTGCCAAATGGTAGAGCTTTGAGTCAGTAGTTCACCTGCAAGCCATCATAGTAGCACATGGGGCAAAATGGCCAAACTCACTACTAAAGTCCTCAGATCAAGACTCTGCCCCCCTTTCATTCATGGACACAAACAAACCATGGAGATCATCATAAATGCTAATCATTACTGGGTGTCAAAAGTCTGTAAGGGGCTTGAATTTTCCATTCCCACTGACCTGTACCCAGTGCTATTTTCTTTAAAAAAAATGTTTAGGGGTGCTCTCATTTTGACTCAAGAAAATCACCATTTTATAGTTCAAATAGGGGGAAATAATTGCAGTAAATGGACAAAAGTACAAAGAACATGCATTATACCGGGAAAGGAAATGAAGCCGCCATTGAAGGTGGTAACAGTGAAACTGACCAAACACCGTGCTAGAGTCCAACTCCTACTTCACACATTAAACGCTTGCTTCCATCTGAGACTCAGGAAACACCATGACAGGAAGTGAGGTCGCCATCAGGGGTAGCAACGGAACTGATGATTTACCATGCTATTCAATGGAGCTGACGATTCACTGTGCTAGAGAAGAAACTTACAATTTTAAAAATTTTAGTTTCTTCTCCCATTAGAGTCACAAAATGTTTAGGGGTATGCGTACCCCCAGAAAAAAGCACTGCCTGTACCTATTTCAGTATTTTGCAATGAAGGAGGTTTACTGAATTCAACAGTTACATCACTCCCTTATACAATCATTTTTTCATGACTGAGTTCAGCTGATATAGATTCCTACCTGACATATCAAATGCTAGAGAACAATTCTGAAGGACATACAGCAGTGTGGTGTTTTTAATGGCCAAGCTCGAATCAGGCTGCTCCACTCCAAATGGCTCCCCTGTGCTAAGCCATGTATTAAGTTGAAGCCAAGGTGATTCTGAGCCGAACTTGAGCCACACAGAATTGAATCTGTAGCGACACTCTTAGATGCCTAGAAAACCTTGACAATCCCAGAGATGAGAATTTGACAAAATGGAATCAAAATTGCCATGAAGCCACACATTGTGGCTTTTTGTATGATAATTACTACGATGTTTCCCTTTCTCTTAATGACATCTAAAGAGGAAACAGGCAGTGCTGGAGATTAAGTAATTAAGACGTATTAGAAGCATTTGAAGTACAGGGTCATAAGGGAGAGGGAAGGGTGAGCGAAGAGGGAAGCTGTGGACTGTATGTCTGCTGGAGAGTTATAAAATATTCTCCTTGCTCACAGCTTGGTAGCTGTTAAAGGGAGAGCTTCACAGACCGTGTGCTCTTTATTATCTCCAGTCTGGAAAACTGCAGCATCCATGGGTAAGTAAAACTCATGCTAAATTGAGAAAGCAAATTCGTATTTCATATATGGGAGACATATATAGATATAATGTAGGAACTGCAACAAATGATTATTAAGTGTGTGCATGTATTTTGAAGAGAACCATTTCTTATACATATCCTCCTATTATATACAAGGACTGCCACATAGTAAATTGTAACTAGGTGATTAATCATCCATCTTTTAATTGCTTTAACTTTTAAAAGTTAGCTTTTACTGGATCTGCTTTGCAGTTTTCTTTTTGAGAAATTGAACAAAATGCAAGATACCTTTCAACAAAAATTGCTGGAAGGAAACGCAATCTGTAACATTTTCTTGTTCATTTCTATCTATAGTAGCACAGTGGAACCAAAATAGTTTCAAGCACGTATGTCCTTAACTTTCAGCCCCACCAATGAATCAATTAAACTGTAGCCGATTAATCTACTGATTAAAGCGTGCACCTGTACTTATCTCTGAAAAACTGTCACCTTCAAAAAGCAGAATGCCTGGTTAAACCCATTGCATTTTACAGAAAATTGCCTGCAAGTCCGGCAAATGTAATAGATTGTGCTATTTATAGAAGGCAAGCAACCTAGATGTTACATGCAGTATGTTGGGGAAATTAAACATAGGAAGCTGTCTTATACCAAGCCAAACTATTGGTTCGTCTAGCTCAGCTATTGTCTATACCATGAGTAGCAAACATGATGTCTCCCAGATGTTGTTGGACTACAAATTCCATCATCCTTCACCTTTGACCATGCTGGCTGTGGCTAATGGGAGTTGGAGTCAAGCACCATGTTGGCTACACTGGCAACAGGTCTCCAGGATTTCAGACAGTGGGTTTCTCTTATGTCTGCCTGGAGATGCCAGGAATCAAATATGGAACCTTTTGCTACTGAGCTACAGCCTTTTATATCCATTTGGAGGAGGGTCACATCAACAATCACAATGAAAAAGCTTGACTGATCTGTTGCAAGATATGTAAATACAGATGATCACAGTATTCCAGACTTGGAAACCTAACGAAAGCCAACTCTAGAACACTAGAGGCAAAACAGAGAGAGAGAGAGAGAGAGAGCTTGCCCCAATACTCATTGCTTTGGCATGGAAAGTAACTTTATTTTTTGTTCTGTCTTCAGCACTGTTTCATTTACATAACAGAATTCTCTCCATCGCCAAGTCTTAAAATTGGCTCCTTATTTCAAAATCCAACTGTGCCGCTGAAAAAGATATGTGAAAACGTTCATTTCCAGTAATTACAAGTTTCCCTCTGCTTTGTAAGTCAGTTATGGTAAAAAGAAACAGAATTGTAGAGTTGGAAGCCATCCTGAGGGTCATCTAGGCCCCTGTGATGAAGGAATATCCCCTGGACACTGAACCCCAGCCTTGGTTGCCAACCTCAGTTACATTTGCTGCAAGTGCGTAGGAGATTTCAATATGCTGGGTAAGTATGTAAGGGGAATATGTTTGAGGTTGGTGGCCAGGAGTAGATGTGGTCCTTGGGGGTGAGGAAGGTTACCTAACCTTGACTTAAAATACCCTGTGAAGGATTGAGCTCAATTCTTCACAAGGCTTTCTTCTGAAGAATCTCCAAGCTGATGTCCTACATTGTGCATATTTTCAAGCTACTATTTTTGCACATTCCAAAATGCTTCATCCTCTTCTATCAGATGAGAAGTGTGATGCTATACTGCTGAATGACAGATCGGTATGGCATGTAGTGGAGATGCAGAGAGCCAATATGGTGCAGTGGTTCGAGGGCTGAACCTAAATCTGACATTGCAGGCTTCAAATCCAGTCATGAAGTTCATTGGCTGCACTATTTCCCAGCTTAGAGTACCTCATATGGTTGTTGTGAAGATCCAGGCCTTAACTATCAATGAGCAGTAATAAAATAAACTCTACAGATGCGCTAATTATAGCTACCTCTGAATAGCTATTGATTCCTGTTAAGAAAGATCTGAAAGAGTTGAAAAGGATGCAATTTTCATATGAAGCTGGCCTTGCACTGCTTAATGATACTGTATTTGTAAGAACTGCTTAAACGGGATTCCCTTTCACAAGGGTCACTGCAAAGTCATTATTGCTATAGAAATATATTTTTAGCCTCATTATACCAGATATGAGAGTCTTTTTCCCCTTATTCCTCTGTCTGCCTATCTACAGCCTTCCGCTTTCACAGTACTGCAAACTACTTCAAAGTCCCATAGGCGACATCTTCTCATTATATTCTCCCTGTTCAGTCATAGTTTTAAAGGAGGGTCTGCAGTGTGATCATCCTAGGAGAATCCACATTCCAGTTGTCTCTCATGAGCTGACTAATGAAAGGCATTCCTCGGCTCCAACGCTTGCCCCAGCACTTCTCTTAATCCTCATTTTGGGTTAATGGTCATCCTCTTTACCCTCTCTCTTGCCTCCAAGTGGATATGTACTGGCCCAAAACCCACCTGTGCTAGTCTGAAAGCATTACTTTTGCATTCTACATGATGCCCTTCTCTTCAGCCAGGCACACACTGATTCTTTTTCATAAGGATAGTTTCAATGTGGTGCCTGAATAATAATAATTTTATTTTTTGTACCTCTGCCCATCTGACTGGGTAGCCTCCCCTCTATAGCATCTGAAAGCACTCAACACATGTATTGGACCTTCAAGTTGAGAACTCTGATATATGTAAACAAGAAGCATATATTGTTTGAAGTTAACCCATGGATGCTCAGCAAATGAGGGTATTCTTAACTTGAGCATCCTGCTAAATATAGGATTCTTACCAATGTTTTGAAGATGCATCTATATAGCATTGGCTTGAAATGAAAGATTAAACCCTACATCTCATGTAGGAGACAAATAGTTTCCTATTTTATTATTGGAAATCCTACTTCAAATTTCCTACTCATAAATGTGAGCTCTGAGGGAGAAAAGTTTAAAATCTTTACATTTGGAGATATCCTTCATCAATCAGCCTTCCCACCAACAATTATTCTTTTCTCTCCTGTATCTTGGTTTTAAATCAAAGCAAGATGATCTTACATCTGGCCAACGTCTTTCAAGGACTTCGAAAGTCATTGTGCATATGGTGTTATTCCACTGAACCAATCACTAGGGAAATAACAACACCTGGAATTTTTTTCTTAAGTAAACGGTGTATAAACTGAATGATTAACCCAAGGTTCTTGCTATTTGTAAAACTACATTTGAATCAAAAGGATGGTTGTCTTGTATTTTCATAAAGAAGAAATGGTGTCTGAACCAGGTTTGGATCACAGCAGGAGCAAAAATTATGCATGTTTGCTATATTTGTATAAAGTTATCATTTGCAGAGAATCTGGATTTAGTTTAGCAGAAAATTTAGACTTTTTTTAAAAAAAATGCTCAACATGTGTGTATATATTCATATATTCCATACATCTTTACATTATTTAGTTTATGGTGATGCAGATGTTTCTGGGAAGCAGAGCAAACATATGAGTAAAATTTGTGATTGGTCTTTAAATGACACCCCTCCCCTCAAAAAAAACCTACCCACAGTAACCTCTCATGCTTCTTTAATATATGCATGACATCATAAACAAACAATCATCATTTATTTTTACCTTCTGAACAGAGTCCTTGAATCTACACCTGCAGCATCTCAGATTTGATGGAGGGGACTCCGAAGGTGAAGAACAGATTTTCAAAAGTCTAGATGGAGTTCTTCAAGCTTTGGCTGAAGATAGTTAAGTATAATTGAAATATGTTTTATGCTGGTTGAACCCAAGCCTTAAGGTAAAGGTAAAGGGACCCCTGACCATTAGGTCCAGTTGTGACCGACTCTGGGGTTGCGGCGCTCATCTCACTTTATTGGCCGAGGGAGCCGGCGTATAGCTTCCAGGTCATGTGGCCAGCATGACTAAGCTGCTTCTGGCGAACCAGAGCAGAGCACAGAAACGCCGTTTACCTTCCCGCTAGAGCGGTACCTATTTATCTACTTGCACTTTGACGTGCTTTCGAACTGCTAGGTTGGCAGGAGTAGGGACCGAGCAACAGGAACTCACCCCGTCGCAGGGATTCGAACCGCTGACCTTCTGATCGGCAAGCCCTAGGCTCTGTGGTTTAACCCACAGCGCCACCCGCGTCCCTGAGCCCAAGCCTTAGTGCCCCTGAAATTGGGCAGACTATGCTCAACACAGTAATATTTAATGACAATGTTATTAATATAAGCTTTTTCTTTTCAATCTGTTTGTCCACACAATCCCCTTTGGTTCTTTTGCATTAAGGCACTAACATAAAGTGTACTATATTCAAATTTATCATTGGACTCTTCTAATGTAGGTTTCGAAAGCATGTATAATTAAAAAACCTATGAGCTTGCACCATTCATAGATGGCGGATGGGTGGGTGGGAGCAACTAGTGTTCCTGAAGGCCAACTAGATATTGCTGGGGTTCCCTGAGCTGCCCTGTGATTTGATGTCAGCAGCACACTGCCAAGTTTAGGATAATCATTGGCATTTCTGCTCCATACCGTCTCTTCTCTGCCAGTGTTCTCTCTCATTTCTCCTCATCTCATATTCTGTTGCATCTGTGCCTAGCAGCTACCATTCTCCTCCACCTGCTATTTGCCCCCTGAGACACATGCTAAAAGCTGAAGTCCTGCAGTATCAGATGTGTCAGACAATGTCTTCCTCTGTTTGCTACTGTTGGCTGCACCTGCTTCCATGTGCACTGTTGTCTGCCTCCTTCCAATTTTCCCACTGTTGGGCACATGCTGAAAATTTGAGCTCTTCCATCATATATGGGTTTCAGGCCAGGGCCTGCTATTCTTCTGGCCACCATCATCTCTATCAAACTATGCCAAGCTCTGACTCTGCAAGTTGTCTTGCTATTGTATCTGGGTTGCTGCCAACATTCATCCACTCATCCCCATTCCTGTACCAATCTTTAAGTTGTTGTGCCAAGCCACTCTGGGGTATATCCTTTATGTAGAAGTCATGGAATAATAACCTCGGAGGCCTACCTGCCAGCTCCCCATGCCTGCTGCTTCTCTTATTGAATAAGAGCGATCCTGGTGGCCACTGTGCCCACATATGGCTGCTATCCACCACAATGAAGAGAAATAAAGGCTGTGCCCATGGGTTCCTGCTTGCCTTGGTGTGAGAGGTGCCCAAATGCTGTTGCCTGCTTGAGACAGTGAGAGAGAGACTGGTCATTGTGACATTGAGCTGATGTCACCTGCCTGCAGGAGAGGAACTGGCCATTGTGACTTTGTGATGACTGCTATCTGCATCACTTTTCTGCCTGCCAGGCATTTCTCTGAGTGGGAGTCACTAAAGAGCTAGCAGTCCTCACTGGAGGATGAGAAAGCATTACAGAACCAACTTAAGAAAAGTTGCAACTGTTACCACTGAGAGCAATGGGAAACTAAAATTAAATTAAAAATAAATATATTACCATTTTTATATTCCTAGAACAATCTTCTCTGACCTGCCCTCCCCCTTCCAGATGCAATGGACTCCAACTCTCATAAGCCCCAGGTAGCATGGCCAATGGTCAGGGATGATGGGCATTGTAGTCCAACAATACCTGGAAGGTACCAGATTAGGAAAGGTCTTGAACATCTCATCCAGAATCTTTTCTGAAATGCAGAAATTCTGCAGGCAAACAGGTGTGTGGAAAATCTCCTGAAAGTAAAAAGTTTGAAAAGCACTGGCTTGTGGAAGTGTTGGGCCTTAGCTCAGTTACTTAACTCAAGAAGAAAAAGAGGCGATACACAGACTCTCAACTCTACTTTCAGCACACATTAGCCTCAAATAAAGCCCTTAATCATGTCAACTAATCTGAAAGACACAATAACTGAGAATTTCAGCTATCTTTTGGTATTTTGTATTTGTTCCCTGGAAAATGGAATACTATTGTATTGTATTGAATACTTCTTGGTAGTTAGGGAGGCTTAGCTGAGGCAGTTCAATTACTTATTGTTAACTGCTTCTTAACTTATGCTTCACTGAGGTGGCAGCAGCTTATTTTACTTGTCAGCCTTTGCTAAGCAGCTGTCACCTGCTCATCAGAGGAGGGAAGTGTTTTGTGTGGTTGCCATAACGACATAACCTGGACTTAAGGGTGACAAAGTGTGTGCAGCATGAGAGCTTTGACAACTTTCATGTCAGAAAGTGCCACTTATAGCAGGCCACAGTGTTAGCTGTACCGCTACCACTGCAAATGTGGTGGACACACCATTCCTTCTTGCAGTGGAGCCAAAGCAGGGGGACACTGTCTCTTCCTAATGTCTAAAAATTCCTCAATGTTTTCCTGCCCCTCCTGTGGTTGGCACATGTTGATGATGTCATTCGTATGCACCCGTACTACCAGCTGGAGGCTGCTGGCAGTGCTGAATTTCGGGCATTTAGGACAGTTCAAAGTTAGTACAAAGTGGTGACATCATCACTCTAGATCAGGCTTCCTCAATCTCGGCCCTCCAGATGTTTTGAGACTACAATTCCCATCATCCCTGACCACTGGTCCTGCTAGCTAGGAATCATGGGAGTTGTAGGCCAAAAACATCTGGAGGGCCAAGGTTGAGGAAGCCTGCTCCAGATTATGTTATGCTTATGGCCTCAGGTTCAAAACCTTACCTAAATCCAGTGCCCAACAGTGGCCAGAAATGAACTATGATGTAATGGTTGAAGAATATAATTGCCACTATAAGGTATTTCTAATGTATTCATACAAATAGCACCTGCATCAGAATATTACCGCGAGGAGTGTTCTGTGTTCCAGCCAGCCAGGTGTGCCTCCTTAAAGGATACTCCATTCCATTCCACCTCCCCTTGGTTTTCCATTCATCACACACAGAGCTGTCAACTTTTCCCTTTTCTTGTGAGGAATCCTATTCGGAATAAGGGAATGTCCCTTAAAAAAAGGGAAAAGTTGACAGCTATGGTCACACACCCCACCTCAACAACAGACAGACACTCAGGGAGCTTCTGGACTGTTTTGCAGGAGACTCAAAAGCATACCAGCAAATTAAGATTTCCCAATTAAAGTGGATTCACCAATTAGTACCATTAAGCACTACTACCTTACCGACATACTGTCATCCACACAATCGTAGGAGACAGGAGTACAAACAAAACAATGAATATTATTGGCTACTGTCATCACCTCAATTCAAGATACGTTCAAGGAAATACACATTTCAGCAGCACAACATATCTGACATTGAAATGGGCTGCTCAGTTATAATGGTCTGGTTTGATAAGTTGCCGGTCAGTCTGCTATTTTTTAATGCCTAAGAAATTTGGACCGCTAAATACTGCTAACACTCACATGAAACCTGATAAGCTCACAAAGATTGTAAAAAGGGTGCAAGCCTTTCCTGTAAAAAAATTAAGGAAGTGTGTGTGGTTCCTTCCTCCATTTTTATTCTCTCAACAATCCTGTGAGGTAGGCCCAAGATCACTGCTAGCTGAGTGGGCTTTTGAACCCAAGCTTTCCAAAGCCATTGTTGATCTATCTACAGGAGATGAAGATGCCACAAAACCAACAGTATTAGCAACAGATACACACACACCCCTTACTTACTGCACTGGTTGTGCAAAATTCTTTCCTTATAATCCTTATAATATAAGTCAGGAAGCATTTTCAGTGGGTGGTGGGAGCAGCACCAGCTACAGCTTAACCTGAACAGACTCAGGTGGCAAGACTAAATGACCAGGACCAGACAGGGAGAAAGAGTTCATTAGCACAGACCTCCCTTAGCCAACTTGTTTCAATCCATAATCTAGAATTAGACTTGTTGGGTCATAAGGTGGTCATCGTTCCTCCCGGTTATGACCTGGCAGCCCAAGTTTCATATCGTCGAGAATCCCATTTCCCCTGCCCTTTAACCCGGTCATGTTTTTTTTATCACAACAGAGCACAAGACCTCCAGCCTGATTGCTGAAAGTGATGTTTTGCCAGCTTTCGCCAGACTTCTGCAGAGCAACCCTCTTTGTGCAGTAAAGGCAGCTGAGGTGCTGGCAGAGATAGCTAAAAACGGTACATTGCATGATATTTCAGATAGATTTATCTGCTCGGGATTCCTGGACACCTACAATGTCACAGTCTGTTCATTAGCACCACAACAGTGAAACTTACAGATGCCTTTCAGAACTGCTTGCACTCCCTCATAGATGACAGACTGCCATTAAAGGGAATCAAACTGCTTCTGGCATTGTTGTTTTTCCTTTAAAAGTGTAGCTATTTATTTGCCATTTGCTTCTGGCCAACAGCAGCTCCCAATTTGAGCATGCTCCTGGCAAAGTGCCTTCCAGTGGGACCCCTGCTATGTGCATAACCCTCTCCAGAGTTCACTGCAGGGAAGGGGCTTATTCTGTAGCACAGAAGAAGAAGAACAGGCTGTTCTCTGCTTTTTCTTCTTTAACTGGAAGCAGAAGCAGCAGCAGCAGAAGAAGCTGCTTTCCCCCAAAGTGCCCTAGATGTTGTGTCAACCTGAGACATGGGTGTCTGTGTACAAAAGCACAGCAGGCACTATTGCACCTGTACAATGCTCTGAACTGACACATCAGCTGCAGCATTGTGAGAAATCAAATTGAAGGCCACTAACCACTAGCCTAAGGTTACCAGATTTTTCAATGAATCCAGGGACACATTAATTAATTAATTAATTAATTAATTAATTAAAACACGTTCTGGACGATGCTGCAGTGATGGCGGTGGCCGAGGGGCGGCCACCGCCTTGACCTCAACCGCCACGTTTCCCCTTCCTCTGAGGCTTCTATCTCCTTTCTCCATGAGCCTGGGCAGCCCCTGAGTTGTTGGTTCTTCGGTGGTGGTGGTGGGGAAGCAGTGAGTGGTGGGTCAGGCATGGAAGGCAGAGAAGGAGGGCCAAGAGTGGTGGCAGTGGCGAGGCTCGGGCAGCGCAATGCCTCCCTTCCCATCGGAGCAGCCCCAATCCCATTCCTACTTGCGTGCAAGCAGGAGGGGGTGGGGATCCCTCAGCTGGGAAGGGAGGCTTCACACTGCCTTTCAGAGCAGCCCCATCCCAACTCCTACTTGCGTGCAAGCAGGAGGGGGCAGGGATCTGTCAGGCAGCGCAATGTCTCCCTTCCCATCGGAGCAGCCCCAATCCCACTCCTGCTTGTGTGCAAGCAGGAGGGGGCGGGGATCCCTCATCTGGGAAGGGAGGCTTCCTGTTGCCTAACTGAGAGATCCCTGCCCCCTCCTGCTTGCACGCAAGCTCTGATAGGCAGCGTGAAGCCTCCCTTCACAGCTGAGAGATCCCCGCCCCACTCCTGCTTGCATGCAAGAAGGATTGGGAGGCTGCTCCGACAGGCAGCATGAAGCCTCCCTTCACAGCTTAGTTGCTGGGGTCAGGGAAGGTGGAGGCACCCCGGAAGCTGCATCTTAGAGCTCCTGCACCACCATCATATGGGGACTTCTGAGCAGCTCCTGAAGCTAGCCAGAGCCAACTGCTCTGGGCTGCTGAGACTGCCACTGCTGCATTTCCCGGGGACATTAGATTAAATCCGGGGACATTCCAGGGATGGAATTTGTCCAGGGACTTATTCGCAAATCCGGGGACTGTCCCCAGGAAATGGAGATGTCTGGTAGCCTTACACTAGCCTTGGACTTCAGTCCTCTCTAGAAGAGGCACATGGATGGGCAGGTATCAGTGTGGAATGCCCTAGCAAGGCACTATAACTCCAGAGCCTGCCTGTGAATGGTGCCTGCTAATATGGGGTCCATATAGGGCTCTGAACTGTGTCACGTCAAAAGTTGCAACCATGTTGGTTTCTTCTTAGAGATTTCCTGAAAATACCAAATTGCAGGATCAGACTGAAGCTCTGGGTAAGGCCACACTTCCTGCATGTAGAGCGTGGACCATATTCCACAATTAGTAGGTTGCTGGATTTGGAAGATGATGCCCATTTTTTGAGAGGAGGAGAGGAACCCATTTTGAATTGCAGGCAAAACAGCCAATCCTTCAGAAGAGCCCCCAAAGACATGAAATAGTTCGGCTCTCTTCACAAGCTTAAGAATATCAGTGGACACTCAAAGCGTCATAGAGTCTTCTGGACACTCTGCGTCCCGTCCCACCAATGCATTGGGTTCTCTCAACCAACTTATCAGTTCACACTATTTGAAGAGGGGGGCACTTTAAAAAAAGAAAAGCCCAGTTTTACATCAGGGGCACATGTACGTTTATGCCTCTTTCGGTAGTAATTGAGTATGCTTAGGGGCCTGTCTGCTTTTTAAGTGAGACAAGAAAAAGGAGATTAATGTTAAGATGTCCAAGAAATGTCTGGGTAGTTAATCCAATTCTCTCAGATTAATTAAAAATTGCGTTCAGAGGGACACTTGTCACTTCTTAGCTTCTATTAATGAGCATAACACGAGTTTCACGAAATTAATCAAATTCAAAAGTATGGACTGCTTCCCCCCTTAATACATAATATGCTGATGTGTTAGTAGGTTTGCATTTATTTTTCTCCAGAATTGCCATGTTAATGAGACCAAAATTAGAACATTTGTCCCAGTTTTAATGGCTTTACTGTCATTATAGTCCTAACTGAAACCTCACTTCTTTCAATTTTACAATGCTTGCTTACAATATCAGAACGCTAGGTGAACATAGCCTCTGTCTTCTGTTTGTGCAGAGGAGATGAAGACCCACTGTATAGATGCTGGCTTGGTGCCAGTCCTGATCCCATTATTGGACAGCACAGACCAAGAGATGTTGCTTCATGTTGGCAGGGCCATTGGTCGTATCTGCTATGATAACAGTAAGTAAAAAGGTGTTGAAGACGTTTATCAATAGAAAAGATGGTGGGGTGCTGTGAGATTTAAGCTCTTTATTCAAAGAAACCAAAGTAGCTCAGGCCTGGTGATCACAGCAACTCTTCCCAATGAGGCAGCTGTGAGGACTGAAGGTCCCAGAAATCTGAGCTACTTTGTCTTGTTTCTCTTTGCTCTGCCCTCTTCATTCCTCTCCATGTCCGGAGAGGAGCTGGTCACAGCAGGAGAGGGAAACCCTCCGGCTTCTTCAGCAGCCTGACTCATCTCTGCCTCTTGGACCTCCTCGCCAGCCTCCTCTTCTGCCTCCGAGTCTGGACTGCTCTCTGCCCCAGCCTCTTCCTGCTCACTCAACCCTGTTGCCTCTTCAGCTTCCGACACCTCCTCTTCTCCCTCTGACCACTCATCTTCATACTACCACAACTCCCCTGACTCTGTGCCTTTTTCCCATGACCATTTGCTTGGGGCTTCCTCTGCTGGTGCCTCCCACCACTCCTTTGCATCCAACCAGACCATGACACATAGTCCAGCAACTCTACCTGTTGGAGCCACCTATGTTCCTGATTGTGTCTTTCAAACTAGCTGCATTCAATGGAAATATTTTTTCCTCTTAAGTGTTGCCTGTTTTGACCCTTGATTTATTTAAAATACCTGTCTCTTACCTTTTAGTCCAAAGGCCCTCAAGGCAACTCACAATATCAGCTCAAACAGCATCATGTACACTCAGTAATAACGAGAACAGGTCATAAAAAGAGTCCTCAGAAGGTATTAAACCCCTCAAAGAGGTTGCTCCTAGTTCCTAATTTTTGCACTTGTCTTTTCCAGATGACCTTCAGGAGCAGCTGGTGGGGGCAGAGGTGATCACGTCACTGGTCAGGATAATGTCAGACTATCCCGATAATGAACCTCTTGTCCGTGTCAACCTGCTGGCCTTATCCAACCTTGCAGATATAGGTGAATCTTGCAATTTGCTTATGGTTGTATTATGCTTTTGTCTCACCTGAAAGAGCCTTGGCTTTAAGTCTCACCCAGCTCTATTGCATATGTACTCAGAAGCACAAGGGCATAACAAACAAAAACATTTGTGGAGCCAAAGAAGGGAGTCTGTTGTCAACATGGCAGCACACAATGTGATGTAGTCAGTCACCCACTGCACTCTATACAAAATGTTTTAACAGTACCTATAGCCTCCGTAAAATAACCCTTCTCCCCTTCATCTCTAAAGCTTTAAATGAGGGGTTGACCTATTTTCTCTTGTTGACCTGGAGTCCACACAACAGGTAACATTTCAAGAAGGCACCTTGCAGAATCAACATGCAGTGATTTCTCATTTCTAATCAGATAGAACTTTATGTTTCATACAGAGATGAAGTGATTCACAGACATTTGATCTTTTATGCAGACACTGCTAAACAGGCCCTTAGCAAGACCAGAGTTGCAGAACATTTGGTACATCAGCTACGGGCAGCAAACCACCATGAGAAGGTAGAAATCATCCTTGAGGTTCTTCACACACTAGCAGAGAATGGTAAGCTATCTTGATGAGATACCCTGGGATGGTTTCACATGCATTTAAGCAGTTATCTAAGCTAACTGTTTGTTTATTGAATCAGAGAGAGAGGGAAAGCACTTTGATTCAAAGGCATGTTTCAAACAGAACTGTTCAGAACCCTGTCAACTTCTTTGAGAACAAAATTGTTTTTTCTTCCTTTGTTTTTAATTCAGCTGTTGACAGAAGCATTTGACCCACTATCCAGAAACTTAACAACCTATAAGAGCATTTTAAGTAGAAAAGCCAGCTCCTGAAATTCTCATTCTAGAAATCTGGGGACTGGGTGTGAGTGCAAAAACTTGAAAACCAACCACCAGGCAGCCCAAAATGTACATTTAACTATGTATTTTTAGGGCTGGTTCACACATTGTATCTGGAAAACATGATATGTTGATTTTAAATGATCGTTTTATTTAATGTACATGGTATTTATTTTGTGATATTTTTGTAACCTGACCTGGGAGCAGGATATAGGTGCAGATAATAAATAAAATGATTGTAAGGAATGACTGCCAAGATGGATTTTCCCTGTGACATTTATCTGTGTTGCATACATGCCTAAACACATGTGTTACATATTTGTCATGTACAATGTGATGCCATACTAAAAACGTAATGTGAGGTGAAGCAGCAATGACAGTGAAGATAATGGAGGGATGCAAAAGAAACAGGTACCCAAACCCCAGCGGTCCTGTATCTTTGGATGCATAACCCAGTGCAGGTCCTCAGTTACTCGCATTATATTTTAAAAGCTCCCAAAGCCTTTGTTTTGATGAGATCACAGTAGACATTAGCCATTGATTAATGCAGCATGGTCAACTTCAATTAACCAAATTTAGATTAATGAAATAACTTAAGGGAAATGTCACAGTTATTCATATCCATAATTCCAAATGTTAGCCTGCCCACCAACTCCCTCCGTTTGTTCATTCATAATTAAATGGAAACTCTGTCCTGATTTCAACCAACAGTCTGCTTTTAAGTGTGTCTCAGTATTCAAAACAATCAAGATATTTTGGGGTGTTTAAAAACAAAAACAAATAACCCAGCTACAATAATAAGGTTGACAGTTGTCAACACAGTCATCGCCTTTAACTCACACACAAGATTATGCAGAGGACCAAAAGGGCACTTTAGCATGTTGTAGTCTCAAATCTCAGGGTTGTGGGTTTGAGCCCCATGTTGGGCAAAATATTCTTGCAGGGGGTTGGACTAGATGATCCTCGTGGTCCCTTCCCACTCTACAGTTCTGTGATTATATATATATATATATATATATATATATATATATATATATACCTGTTCAGACATTGATCCCACAAGAACTGGCATCCTTGAACCACCAAGCTTCTAGCCAAAGGAGGGAATCGCAAGCAGACCAGCTGCACCAGCAAGGAAGCTTTCTGAATAGGTCATAGTGACCCAGGTGATACTCCCTGAAGCTTTTGGGTCAAGGTCGCTTATTGGTCTGAGCAACTAAGAGAATCTGCTCCTGCTGATGACAGATCGCCTTTGCTTGTCTTCACCTACCTTTGCTTCACCTCCATTTGAGTAGGAGCAGGGCCAGGCGGTGCCAAAACCATGTGGGCAGAGTCAGTTACAAATTCGTCATTTAATTGTCACCCAGTGGAAGGAATGGCTGGGAAAGACTCATGCAATTGGTCCTGCCCACGTAGTTCCAGTATGGACCTATGCACTGCATCACAGCACTGTAGATAGATCTGAAGGATATTGCACTGTGGGAAATCCATGCTTAATAATAATTATTTATTTGTACCCTGCCCATTGGGCTGGGCTTCCCCAGCCACTCTGGGTGGCTCCCAACAGAATTAAAAGCACAATAAAACATCAAACATTAAAAACCTCCCTAAACAGGGCTGCATTCAGGTGTCTGCTAAAAATCAGATAGTTGTTTATTTCCTTGACATCTGATGGGAGAGCGTTCCACAGGGTGGGCACCACCACCGAGAAGGCCCTCTGCCTGGTTCCCTGCAACCTCACTTTTCACAGGGAGGGAACCACCAGAAGGCCCTTGGAGCTGGACCTCAGTGTCCTTAGTGTCATACATTTAAAATACACCCAATGCACAGCTAAAGCACATAGCTTCCCCACAAAGGATCCTGGGGTCGTGGCTTGTTAAGAGTGCTGGGAAGTGTAGTTCTGTGAGGAGGGAACTAAACTTCCCAGGATTCTTTGGGGGAAGTCATTTAAGTGCTTTAAAAGTGTATTGAATGTGCTTTAAATGTATGGTATGGATCTGCCCTTATAAGTTGTTTGATGGTGGAGTGACAACAGGACGCACAATAAAATTCAATATGACCATGTCTAAGCCAGGGGTAGACAACATGGTGACAATATATGGAGACAATCCTCCATATATTGTTGAGCTTCAATTCGCATTTGCCAGTGGTCAGGGATGATGGGATTCCAACATCAGGAGAGCACCATATTGACTGCCTATGGGCTAAGTGCATGACTTCACAATGCTTATCTGGCTGCTTTATTGCACAGTGTCTACCCAATGTTATTTGACAAGAGAACACAGAGATTCAAAGTTTTTATTACACAAATCACACTTGTCTGAACAGGCCTTTGAGAGCACCTACTGCTACGCAGGTGGTGCTGTGGGTTAAACCACAGAGCCTAGGACTTGCCGATCAGAAGGTCAGCGGTTCGAATCCCCGCAACGGGGTGAGCTCCCGTTGCTCGGTCCCTGCTCCTGCCAACCTAGCAGTTCGAAAGCACGTCAAAGTGCAAGTAGATAAATAGGTACCACTCCGGCGGGAAGGTAAACGGCGTTTCCGTGCACTACTCTGGTTCGCCAGAAGCATCTTAGTCATGCTGGCCACATGACCAGAAGCTGTATGCTGGCTCCCTCAGCCAATAAAGCGAGATGAGCACCGCAACCCCAGAGTCGGTCACGACTGGACCTAGTGGTCAGGTTCCCTTTACCTTTACCTTTACTGCTCTTCTAGGGTTCCCTCTCCCTTGTTTCCACACTTTCTTGGCACATGGATCTCTAGTCTTCTGAAAGTCACGTTCAGGGAATAAGCCTTCCTTGAACATGAATGCTATGGGGAATTCAGATGCACTGTTGGTGGGATCTCTTCCCTCCGTGGCTCTGGCTCTGTTACACTGGAGGACAAGCTGCTGTCACTCGAGTACAACCGACCCCAAAATAGCACTTTCTACCAAAATTCACCAGAGCACAGCATTAAACAGTGGAGTGACTGCCAAAGGGAGGGAGCAAGAGAGATGAGGTCTGGGCTTTTCCAGGAAAATGTGTTTGTACTGAGAAAGTAAAACAAAAGGCAATTTCAAGGTAAATTACTGGAGGCTTGTCCCAGAAGGAAGGGGGAGGATGAGAGATATGGAAGAGGGAAGGATGGAGGGAGAGAAGAGGTGGGCATTGAGCCAAGAGCAACGGCATCCTGATGTTTCAGTGTTCAGAAGGCAAAGGAGGGGTGTTGAAGTGGCAGGCGCTGATAAGCTGGAGAGTCGGAGAGGGAAGAAATCAAGGGGACTGTAATTGTATACCAGCACTTCCTTATGATCTCTGAGAACTCTTCAAAGAGAGGGGGCGCAAGAGCTTACAACACGAGGGAATCAAAATTAAGCCAAGCTTTTCTGAATAAGGGGTGCTTGACTCAATATGGCAGCATTTTGATGCTAATTGGAGAGATGGCATAAGAGTCCTGGGCTCTCTTCAGCAAACAAGTGCTAAGCGATGTGAAGTCTTGATTGAATTAGCAGAGAATTTGGCTTTCAAGCACCCGAAGAGCTTCTAAACTAGTTTGCAAACGAATGCTCTCTTTTCCATTTCAGTAGGTGTTCCTGGGAACTACAAATGTACTCCTTTCTTAATAGACCTTTGTCAGCAAAGTAGAGGCAAAATTAGTGTGGAGACAGGTTTTTAAGATGTGTTATATTGACCCTTCCAACCTATGAATCTTTTTTTGTTGAGTAACAGACACACTACAGAAGTTATCCCAGCAGCATGGGTGCAACTTCTCTATGACTTTTTTCCTTACTATACCAGTTAAAGAATATATCTATGCTACAGAATTATATTAGTTTAATAGTCATTCCCTCTTGCCAGGGAACTCTGGATATTGTAGTTTGGGGCAGACGTCACTAGGCATCTCTGATAGAGAGCGTTCAGCATCCTCACCAAACTTGAGGACATTTGTGGCAGTTCTATAAAATTGATACATGTAGGTATGTCATAAGAGATCGCATGGGAAGTTCCTGTATCGGGGTCTCCTCCACATAGCATGACCTTGTCCTTCTCACACAATCTTACTTCACATTGTTATGAGTTTGTGAGTGCCAGGTCCTGCTAATCCCTGGATCCAACAAATGTTTAAAGCTAATCAAGCCAGGCCAGCTTCCTGAACCCCTGGATTTTGAAAGTGTTATAATATAAACCAGGCTAGCTTCCTCTTGAGGTGATCACCTGGGGGTGGTGGTGAGCCATTTAGGGAAAGAAAGGAAAGGAGCTCTGTGTGAGACAGCAAGTGGGGGGGGGCTTCTGCAATTTTATGATTCTATAATTCTTCTGGCCTATGGTTAGTGAGAAGGACAAAAGCCAGAGTTTAGAGCAGAGTTTGCAGGGAAGTGACCTAGAAGTAAAGCAGCAAACTGGAAAGAGTTGGAGTGTTTGATTTCTGTTTGAATTCAAGGATGTCTTTGCGAGAAACAAAACCCTTTTGGGGTGTTAATGCTACCAACCCCTCCATTGTTCAAGTTGTATACATTTGTAAATAAACCATATGTCATAAAGACACCACAGTCTCTGCTGTGCCTCATTTCCAAAAGGAAACACAAACCCTGGGTAAGCTCCTGCACCAGCATGTTATTAGGATGAGATGTAAATCATAGTGTGAGAATGAACCCTCATTTGTCTGCGGTTAGCAACACTCGGAAAGAAGCTTTAAACATGTTTGTTTATCATGACTTCCGCAGATGCCCTAAAATCTCAGTTGGTTGAAGCTGGTATTCAGGAAGTCATAGTTGAGATCCTGCAGAGGCTGCAAGACAGTTCCAAGCCAGAAGATGTGTGCAGCTTGAAGGCTGCGTCGGATCTGATTGTGTCATTGCTACTTGGAGGTAAGAATGAGCGAGCCCAGGGAGAGCGAGTCCAGATGCACAAAAGAAGAACAGCTGCAGGAGGGCCATCTGCTTCAGTGCTTCCTTTTTCTTGCTACAGACGCAGCTGCGGTCTGCCATTTCCAGATTCCTGGGGGGAATTTTCCACCACAGATGGCTTTTTAAAAAACAGAAACAAAAAGGAATCATACCCTTGTAGTATGATTGTAATGCTAGTGTTAGCCCCTGCGTATATACAAGTTCGCCTCGGGCATTTAAGGGCTAGTCAGCTAGCTGTTGGCCAAAGGTTGCAGGAGGATGATTGAGTCAGCATCTCCGACATTGTGGGTGGGTGTAGAACCTGTGGCCCTCAAGATGCTGTTGGACCACAACTCCCATCAACCTCGACCATTGGCCTTGCTGGCTAGGGCTAATGGGATTCAGAGTACAGTAATATCTTGGAAGCTGCAGGCTTCCCATCCCTCCAGGTGAGTGAGATGAAATTACTGGGAACTTTTGTAATACCTGACCTCAAGTCTATATAAGTTTGCTTTTAGCTTATCTGCAGTAGGTTAAACTTAGCTAATCTGACAAGGGTAATTTTATCAGAAGAAGAAATTCATTTCTGCTTCTTATTGTTTCGTCTAACTAGATAAAGAGAGGAGTCTTGGCATCTGTTTCAAATATAAACACTTGGGAATTACAGTTAATTCTTTTTATGGTTACAAAATTGTAGTAATTACTACAGACAGAAAGCAATCTGTGTAAAATAAGCATCCAATTAATTATCCAGTTGTTCACTTAATATTTACTGGTGGGGATAGTGAGGACAACAAGTCACTTATGTTAATGAATTAGGCAGGTTGGGGTTGTTTTAGTTTTTCTTACTGTTGATTTTTGGTCACTCAATTGACTCGGGAGTGAGCTGTGTCTTACCTTCAACATATGGAGGAAGTTGAAACCAATTCTGGCTTCTCCACAGTCCACTGTAGTTGTTGTTTTCCTACCACATGTTATATTCAGTTTTATTTCTACAAAATGCCTTGAGTGAAAAGAGAAGAAAACAACTGCGAGCCCAGTCCCTTTTGCCATCTGGAGGCAAGCTAGTGATTTTGCATTCTTAACATTATTGGCCTGCATTTTCTTCAGCCCTTGTGTTGCTTTGCAAAACTCATATTCCACAGGAACTTGGGATCAACCTTCTTCAGAGATTCATCTCTCTCTTTTCTGGGTGTCTTAATGCCATTTCTGTGCCACTTGCAAGACTGGTTGTATGTGGTGTCTTGGCCATGGCTTAAACCTGAACCTCCGCCACAGCTCAGACCAAAACTGGAAGAGCCACAGTCCACTTTTGTAACGTGCACAACATCGTGTTAGTAGTCCACCTGGAGAGATTATGGACTATCTTTGCTGCAGCAACTAGTGCTAACACACACATTTCCATGTGATGAAGGAAAACGTCAGATATCATGCTGAATATTTTGGTGGCAGCATGAAGATACCTCCTCCCACAGGGGTGGTGGACCTGTTTTTCTCTTGAGGTCTGCCTTTTCTTGAGAATAATCTCTCAGGGGTTGGGTGGTAGTGGTAGCTGGGCCTAGCAGTGAGCATGGCCAGAGACCAAAGTAGGCAGTCCACCTCTTCTCTCTTTTTTCCTCCCTCCTCTTCCTCTTCCCCCAGTGATCTGCCAAAGAAAGGACAGTGAAGGGATCACTTGCAGAGGGTTTTCCTTCTCCTTCCATCTGTTTTGTTTCTCCTCATTTCTCAGCTCCCATTCTCTCCCTCTGGGCTCCCCATCACACATGAAATTAGGGCAACCGTCACCTGCAGCTCTTAGGTGTCAACTTTCCCACCCCTGCTGTCTTCCCTGCTATGTTGAGAAGCACTGTATTTCTATTTAAATTATGTTTATCATTATTTGAATCCGTACATAGAAAACAACGTATGCAAATATTTGTTCTGTTTTTATTATGCATTTCCTTGCTTGTGGTGATGTGTTAGCCACCACCCTAACATCACCTGACCTCCAGTAGCTATTCACAAGAGACATCAGCTACCAGGCTATACAGAAAAGCCCATAGAGAGGTGCTTCTCTTCACAGCAATAAACAAAGCTATAATAATCCAATCAGTAACTCTCTGCTTGTTGTACTACAGATGAATCCATGCAGCAGCTGTTTGCAGAAGGGAATGGTATTATCTACCAGAGTGTTGGAACATGGCTTGCATCCAAGCACACCCAGTTACAGCTGACGGGGGCTCTGGCCATTGCTAACTTTGCCAGGAATGGTAAACATACCTATATACTTTATTTACTGGATGCATTTTATCCTGCTGCTCAGCCCAAAAAAGTTCCCAGGATGCTTTTCTTAAGATCAATAAAAGCAATAATTCATTCAGCAATATCCACTTGTGGCAGCCTGCTCGCACAACATTCTGCTAGCAGAAGCTTCCGTTTTTAGCATAGCACAACAGACAAATCCATTGGGTGTTTTCTGCTTGCAAATGATGGCATGCAACTTCTCTTATTATTATATGCTGACGGCATTTAAGCTACCACTTCCGCAACTACATCAGCTCTCCAGCTTCTTGCATGAATATTACTGAATTTAAAATCTATTGGTCAAAATGCAGGTTTAAAACACACACAGAGAGAGAGAGTGCGCAATAATAATATATTCCCCTTTGCTGTTGAAATGTTGCCACAAATCATGCTTTTGGCAAAAGTTCCAGGTACCTCTGGAAGGTTTAAAAAGGAGAAAGGGTACCAGAACTGATCTACAGCTTTACTGTTGTCCTATATGAAGTATTGTCATTAAAATCTTACAGTGGTGCCCCGCAAGACGAATGCCTCGCAAGACGGAAAAACCGCTAGACGAAAGGGTTTTCCGTTTTGAAGTTGCTTCGCAGGACGAATTCCCCTATGGGCTTGCTTCGCAAGACGAAAATACCTTGCGAGTCTAGAGATTTTTTTCGCTTCCCCCTTTATCTAATCTGCTAAGCCTTTAATAGCCTTTAATAGCCTTTTAGCAGCTAATCCCCTAAGCCTTTAAGCCTTTAATAGCCGCTAAACCGCTAATAGCGCTAATAGCGCTAATCCGTCAATGGGCTTGCTTCGCAAGACAAAAAAACCGCTAGACGAAGACTCTCGTGGAACGGATTAATTTCGTCTTGCGAGGCACCACTGTATTTTGATTTTTGTGTGTGTGTGTGTCGTAATTTCATGTTGTGAACTGCCCTAAGATCCACGGGTATAGGGTGGTAAGGTAAAGGTAAAGGGACCCCTGACCATTAGGTCCAGTCGTGGCCAACTCTGGGGTTGTGGCGCTCATCTCGCTTTATTGGCTGAGGGAGCCGGCGTACAGCTTCCGGGTCATGTGGCCAGCATGACTAAGCTGCTTCTGGCAAACCAGAGCAGCGCACGGAAACGCCATTTACCTTCCCGCCGGAGCGGTACCTATTTATCTACTTGTACTTTGACGTGCTTTCGAACTGCTAGGTTGGCAGGAGCAGGGACCGAGCAACGGGAGCTCACCCTGTCACAGGGATTCGAACCGCTGACCTTCTGATCAGCAAGTCCTAGGCTCTGTGGTTTAACCCACAGCGCCACCAAACTTAATAATAATAATAAGAAGAATTAAGTTGGAAGTTTATATTATCAGCTTTCTTCTCCTCTGCTTCTTCAAGACAGCAACTGTGTGCGGATGGTGCAGCTGGGAATCGTACATCAACTTCTGGACCTTTTGGAGCAACATGTGGAAAGTGGAGATGTCTCTGTTCAACATGCTGCCCTGAGCGCTCTCCGAAACCTTGCTATACCAGGTACAACAAAAGTCGCACCACAAATTATCTAACTGAACAACTACAAAATGAAAATTAAAGTTATGCGGTAGGGCAGAAGTGGAATGTGTGAGAGTGGGACTCTCTATTTCCTGGACTCTGTTCCTTGTAAAACTCTGTCCATCTGTTATCTTTGATGAGAGATGTTGAGAATGCCTTGAAAGGAGTTTTCTCTGTAAACATATGTGCACTGGAGTTCTTCAGATTCAGCCACCCACCACCACCTCATTGGCATGTAGATGATAAATCTCAGGGGTTGGAAGGGTGGCATATTGACATCAGCACACATACTGTACGTGTAAATGCACATCAATGGACACAAATGCAAATACAATACTTTCTTTCCATTGAGAACTCATAACCTGCAAAGGAGAAAGACTGTAGTCCCATATGTAGTCACATACTTTGGATGCAGAAAGTCCTCAATAAAAATATGGGCATTTCCAGGTAAAAGAATCAGGTATCAGGTGGTGATGGGGGAAAAAATGTTTGCCTGGAACCCTAAAGAAACATAGCCAACTGAGAATAGACAATACCAGGTTAGATGGATGAACAGGCAGCTTCCTGTGTTTCTTTAGCTTAGATAGGGTGCATGAATTGCAGCTATTCTGTAATATACACAATGAGAACCTGAGAATCCTTTACTTTTCAATGGGATGTGATTCCTGTAATGAAGGCAAACTGGGCAGAGAAGAACCCTCAACAATGTTCAGTAGCAGCAAAAGGAGCAAAGGTGGTGATCGCTAGAATACATGCAAATGTCCCCTTTTATCTTTAAAATGTTGGAGGGTGTTATTTCGCTCAAGAAAATATTGGTCTAAAAATAGGCTTTTTGTGGTGACAAACCTATTTGGCACAGTGCCCATCCATTTTTCTTTAGTTACATTTGGTTTTCATCACTGTCTGGAGGTGGAGGTGGTCACTTCTAAACAACCTATTTATTGAGCATTCATCCTGAGTTTGCACAGAGTTTCTATGCTCACCATTGTTTGTTAAGCATTAATTCCATTTTTTTTTGTACAGAGGTTATACAGCTTCCCATCAATCGTTACCCCACAACTTTTAGTCCCTTTCCCCACCAGTTTCCTTACTGCAACATCCTTTTATTTAAAAAAGGTTTGTTGCAGCAGAGAGCTTTTATCCACTTTAGTTGTGCAAACCCAAATATGCTAGTATACAATTGAATCCCTCCCATAAAATAGTGACAGCTGAGAAGAAACCCCAACGTACCAGAAGTGGTTTCCTTTGATGAGAAAAACATGTAAGAAAAAGCAACCCTTTTTCCACCCAGTTGGTTTCAACCCCATCCTTCCTTAAAATAATAGAATTGTAGAGTTGGAAGGGACCATCAGGGTCATCAAGTCCAACACCTTGCAATGCAGGAATCTTTTGCCTAATGTGGGGCTTGAACCCTAGAGATTAAGCATCTGAGCCATTCCAGTACCAAAGCAGTCTCTGTTAATACAACGCACATCATCTGGGTCTTTCACTGAAACCGTATTCCCTGTTGATTTGCTAAAATATCATTTATTTTTTTTAAAAAAGAAATACGCAAAAACACAGCAACAGATGAAAAAGTCAAGTTGAACATGAAATGAAATCAATTAGAAACAGTATTTTTAAAAATGTATGGGCAGGCGCAAGGGGCCTCATTAATTGATTAAACCCTCAGAGTCCTGCCCAGGGAGCTCTCTTTGAAAATCATTCCACACTCGAGGGCCTACAGTCTGAACTTTCTGCTAGCGAAGCCCAAGGAAATTACAAACAAGTTAATTAGCCGTCAGATTCCCAGCACTCTAAAGTTGCCAGCAAGGGATGCCTGCCCGCTGCACTTGCCCTAGGCTAGGAAGAAAGAAAGCACACAGACTGTCCGGAAATTGCTTGGTAGGTTGGATACAGTACTTCTCTTCCCAGGGAGGTTTGCTCTTAATGATTACCTGGAATTGCTTCACTCAAGGAGCCTGGTGTGGGGAGTTGGGGGGCAGAAAAACATGTTCAAAAATGGAGGGATATGTAAATATCCTATCAGGTGAAGTGTATTTTGATCTTGAAGGAGAGATTATGACCACTGGGATATTTCCCAATCTATCTTTCTCAGTAGTCTTTAGGTACAAGTTGTCAAACCACCTATAGGTTCTGTATCGTTAAGAGCGGAAGTTAAACTTTTGACTAGACATCATTGTCTCCATATCTGCAGTGGCAGCTGGTGACTTTTTGAAACCCTTCCCTAAACATATCAACATGTGCATGGCACTCTTGCACAAGTGTTGGGAAACACATGCAAACCAAAATAATGAATGCAAAGGTTTAAAATATTGGGTTTGTGTTTTGTTTTTGTTTTTGTTTTGCTTCAGGTTGCACGGAGAGCATTTATTGTGGGGGGGTTGTTTTTTATTCAAAGTCACTTAATCTATCCAAAACAAAAAACAAGTTTCCTCCTAAAATGGAAATATGTATCAGCAGATATATCTGATTTCCCAAAAGAGACAAATAGCTGCTGGGTGGAGGGTTTTCATCAGGAAAATGACATTGGAAAAACAGTCAACCTCCCCTCCTTCTGTGTCATGGTCTTGATCTGAATTGGGCCCACTTGAAGCTGTAATTTGTGGTACAGGTCTGTCATTTGGAGCTTTATTCAGAGAATTAATCAGTTTAATTGTAATTAATTGTATTTTTCTGTCCTCGCCCCCTCTTGATTAGGGAGGTCTCTGGACTTGTCCATAATGGCAGAGCTGTCACTGCAGCTCCTCTAAAATGCTGGATTCATGCTGGATTTGTTCATTTGGTATTAGAATACTGAATTCCTATTCCCCTTTAATTTGGGCTAATAAAAAGTCAGTGTGCGGATCAAATGAAACACAATGGGTTGCTGAACAACTGTTTAGAATGTTTTCTGTTTTTGAAGTCACGTGTTTTCTAAATGAAGTCCAAACTACCTTGTTGATGCAAATATTTTGAAATATTGGTGCTAATGAAATCTAGATCTAAATAGGATTTTTTAGCAGGCAATCCAAAACATTTTGTACAAAGAGCTGCTGTACACCTTGATTTTTGTCATGCACTGACTATACATTCTGTGGCCTTTAGTAGCTTAGCAGCAACTTGTCATTCAGATATTGAGATCCAGATCACCAATTGTAATTCTGATCATTTTGACCCATTTCCCAGTGGCTAACAAAGTTCAGATGCTGGACGAAGGTGTTGGCCAACGTATCCAGATGCTTTTGAGGTCGGAGATGCCTCCTGTTCAGTTTAAGCTTCTTGGGACACTACGAATGTTGGTGGACGGTCAAGGTAGGAGAATATAAAGGGCTTTCAAGCTAGTCCCTCTTTAGGACTGCATAGCAAACAAGGGAACCATTGTTATGCGATAATCAGGAAAGTGTTCTTATCGGTGTGGTTAGATTGAGTTCAGAGCATGAGACCAATGACAGAAGGGCCTTTTTGAATGCAGATTTTAAAATAGTCAATGGATGTGATATCTGTCAAGGTACTAAGCTGTATGATACACAACCAATTCAATGCAAAGGAAAGTGCAGCTTGAGGGCTACATTCCAAGGACAAGTGTTTGGAAGTAGGCTGCAAGGGAGTGGCTCCATAAAGGCTCACATCTACATGTTAGTTTCTGTTTGCCACTGTGCAGTGCTTTGGAGTCACAAGACTCTGTTTTGCATTCCACACATTCCATACTGTTGGAAGTCTCATGGGAGATGGGAGACGGATGTGACGTTATTGGTTTCCTGTTCCTGTGTTTGTTTCAGTTGCTCTCTGCCTTTCACAGAGAAAGGATGTGTTTTCTGTCTGCGTAGATTAAATAAAACTAATAGCGATTTAGCCATAAACCTCATCACTTCCCTGTGTACTTTGATTCTCTGCTGAATGGGAATGTGCCTGGAGCCTCATCAAAGGCTCAGGTCGTTAATCACGTCAGAGGGCGATTCCGGAAGATGAGCTTTATCAGCTCGGTCGTAACACAGATTCCGACACTACATTGTGTCTGTGTGTTCCATTATGAGCAGGCCATTTCCCTTAAGCAGATGCCCTCCTACACCTCACATAGGAGAACCCAAGAGCCTATGTTCTCCCCGGATCCCACAAATAGCCCACTCACAGCTGTTGCTTAACTCCCATGAAGAGCTGCCTTCAACCTCCATCAAAATTGAGGCCAAGAACAAGCAAGAATGCTGGGTTATGGAAGTGCTTTGAAGACATCTAGAACAACCAACAGTGGCAGTATTTGGCTCTTGTCCAGGCAGAGGCTCACCCTGACCCAGAAGTATTGGTGTGCTCAGGCCAGGCAGAACCAATGGGATTCCTGAAAGGATAGTGCTATTCTGGAAACGGAAAGGATAGACAAACCAATGCAGAAATCTTTTGCCCAACATGGGGCTCAAACGCACAACCCTGAGATTAAGAGCCTCATGCTCTGCTGACTGGGCTGTCCCATTGCAACACAACCTGAGCCTATGAAGGAGGGGTTCCCAGCATTAACACCCCAAAAGGGTCTTGTTTCTTCCTTGGATTCAAACTGAACTCAAACATTGCTCTGACTCCCCGGCTTGCTGCTTTACTTCCAGGTCACATCACTGCCAAACTTTGCTCTCTGGCTTTCTGTTGAGGGAGGGCCCCCACCCATTTGCTGTCTTCACTGAGCCCCTTAATCCCCCATCACCTCACCAGGAAGCTATCTTGGCTATTATAATTAGGTGGCTTGATTAGCTTTTAACACTTGCTGGCTCCTGGGATGAGAGAATTTTGGCACACAGACCCTCAAGCTCATACGTTACTGTACCTAGCAAATACAAGAAAACCCCAACTTCCTGCTAAGATGTACCCTTCCATGGCAGTGAGCTCAGAAGCCTCCCACCTTAATTGCCGTCTGTTCTATTTACCCATGAGCCAACATTGACCTTAATTAACTCAGCACAATACACTACCGTGAACATGTGTCTTCTAACCAGTCCCTGCTAAATTAGTTGATTGCATTATCTAGTGTAAATTCATTACCGTGACAATCACCGGGTGTGTTGATGCCTGCAGAATTTAGAATGGCAGGTTCCCATTTTTAATTATAGATATCTGAACCCTCAGTGTTAATCGTTTTTCAGCAGCACCAACACAGAAAAGGGGTTGTTTACCAACAGCAGTTCTCATATCTGCACCTCTCCACAATTGAGCCACCCATTACATGTGCACATGAAATTTCTTTCGAGACAATTGTTACCGTATATTTCCTAAAACTAGTGCCAATTTACGCATGCAGATTTATTAGGTTGGGGGATGCGAATGGGCTGTCAGATACAATTCCACAGACAGAAGTTGCATTTTGTCTCACACAGAATACTTTATCCAGTAAAGTATTATTGTTCCTGCATTCAGCTGAGTCTTCAGGGTTTGGGTCACACGTGTAAGTTTATCCCTTAATGACTGCAATGTCAAACAATTTATTTTCATTTGTGAATATCACAGTCCAAAGATAGATCTTTGTCAAACTCCAGCACCTCTCCAACACAATACCTTGAGAAAGACAAGAGAAAATTCAAGTGATCAAATTAACCTCTGTTATATAACTGTGATTGGCTTGTTAGAATCCTAACAAAAAATGCTATGCCACCTGCCACATCTTCCTTTCCTGAATGCACATTTCCCCCATTAAAAAATGTTTTATTTGAGATTATATGCAAGTTCTGCCTGTTGTGCTTGAACTGTGATGGCCCATCCACAAACTCAAAACCATCACATTTGATGATGCTGGCACCAAGTGGTAAATACGTATAACTCAGAAACAAATAAAGGCTTTATTCACCCAGGCGTACTCCACCTGCAGCTGACAATTAAAGTAATAATAATAATAATAATAATAAATTTTATTTATATCCCGCCCTCCCCAGCCAAAGCCAGGCTCAGGGCGGCTAACAACAAACAAATAATCAAACAATCAAACAATCCAACATTCTAAAACATTTCATTATAAAAATTAATTAAAATCAAATTAATGGCAACCGTTAAGCAAAGTTCTGTGCAGGTTGCCAGAGGAGGGAGTCAGGCTGGGCCCTGACCAAAGGCCTGGTGGAACAACTCTGTCTTGCAGGCCTTGCGGAAAGATGTCAGGTCCCGCAGGGCCCTAGTCTCTTGTGACAGAGCGTTCCACCAGATTGGAGCCACAGCCGAGAAAGCCCTGGCTCTAGTTGAGGCCAGCCTAACCTCTCTGAGGCCTGGGACCTTCAGGATGTTTTTATTTGCAGACCGTAGGTTCCTCTGTGGGGCATACCAGGAGAGGCGGTCCCGTAGGTACGAGGGTCCTAGGCCGTATAGGGCTTTAGAGGTTAAAACCAGCACCTTAAACCTGATCCTGTACTCCACCGGGAGCCAGTGCAGCTGGTATAGCACCGGGTGAATGTGATCTCGCAGCGAAGACCCTGTAAGGAGTCTCGCCGCGGCATTCTGCACCCGCTGGAGTTTCTGGGTCAGTCTCAAGGGCAGCCCCACGTAGAGCGAGTTACAATAATCCAGTCTGGAGGTGACCGTCGCGTGGATCACAGTGGCTAGGTCAGGGCGAGAGAGATAAGGGGCCAACTGCTTAGCTTGGCGGAGATGAAAAAATGCCGCCTTTGTTATAGCTGTAATCTGCGCCTCCATAGAGAGGGAGGTATCGAAGATTACACCCAAACTCTTAACGGACGGTGCTGGCACTAATTGCACCCCGCAAGAGATGGGAGTTGCCCCCAATCCCATATCGTCCCGTCCCAGCCAGAGGACCTCTGTCTTGAAGGATTTAACTTCAACCGGCTTCCACGTAACCATCCAGCCACAGCTTCCAAACATCTGGTCAGTGTGTCTGGGGCCGAGTCAGGATGGCCATCCATCAACAGATAGAGTTGGGTGTCATCGGCATACTGATGGCAACCCAGCCCAAAACTCCGGACAAGCTGGGCGAGGGCGCATAAAGATGTTAAAAGCATCGGGGAGAGTATCGCACCCTGAGGCACTCCACACACCAAGGAGTGGCAGGATGACAATTCCCCCCCAAGCGCCACCCTCTGTCCCCGACCGGAGAGAAACGAGCGCAGCCATTGAAGGACTGTGCCCTGGATCCCCACGTCGGCAAGGCGGTGGTCCAGGAGTTCGTGATCAACCATGTCGAAGGCTGCTGACAGGTCTAGAAGAATCAGCAGCCCCGACCCGCCTCGATCCAGCTGCCTGCGGAGATCATCTGTTAGGGCGACCAGAGCCGTCTCGGTCCCATGACCAGCGCGGAAGCCAGACTGGGATGGATCCAGAGCCGATGTTTCATCCAGAAACCTACCAAGCTGTTCAGCAACCGCTCTCTCAATCACCTTACCCAGGAATGGAAGATTCGAAAAGGGACAGAGGGGAGAATTGCTGGCTGCTTCACTGCAGACTTCGCACAATATTGCTCCAATCTTTGTCTTTCAGCTGATGCAGCAGAGGAACTGGGCCAGGATCCGGTGCTGCTCAACAGACTGGTGCAATGGTGCGATTCAAACGACCACGCTGGAGTCTGCGGAGAAGCAAACCGACTGCTTGCATCACTTTTGCGTCACAGTTGTTCTCAGGTACAAAAGGCGTTGGGTTTGATCCATTTTCAAGTCTCATCAATTTGTGTTTTGTGTCCCACTTTGAAAGTGAGAGTTGCAGTACAGGTTGTATGCTGCCTTTGATGAAACAGGTTCTGGGAGCATGTTCACACAACATATTCTCAACAATTGGCAGTGCCCCCCAGAAACTCATCTGGAATAACTGCTTTTGTCACCCCCCCCCCTATTTTATAAGAAGACAAATTAAAAAACTGCTTTGCAGAGTTAACTACCATAGAGTTATCAAAATTTTCAAAAGTAGGGGGTACGTAGCTTGGCTTTTGAAAAAAAGGGTGTCCTCAATAATTAGCTAATTGGGAACCACTGGCCAATGCTATTTTCACACCCACTGTTCTCAGGCAATGAAATAGATTTATATATTCTACACAGGAATCACAGCAGTTCTTAAGAAGAAATCAGAACAGTGCTCTCCAGTCACGGCGAGTGAACTTACATGATGTTCAGTTGAATATAGCTACTTCAGAAGAGACTTTCATCTCCAAACATTTGGTGGGGAGGGGCAACTCTGAGCTTCTTTCATGTACAAAGACAAAATTCTCATCAATTTGCGAGCTGCCATGGAGTCTATTATTCAAGTGTTATCCATAACCACTTCTGTTCCTAATTACCCGCCTCCCCCAAAACAAAATCCTGGATCACCACAGACTTCAGCAATCTCTTGTTGTTTTGTAAGCAGGAAGTTGTCAAAGCCATTCAAGAGGCCCAGGCAATGAAGCACCTGGTTTCTATGGCAACCAGTGAACATGCCATAATGCAGAATGAAGCCCTGATTGCCTTGGCGATAGCTTCTGCGGTCAATTTAGGTATTCAAGCATTTATTTCCTAGATGTTGTTCTTTAAGTGGGCATTCATTCAACAAAACGTGGGCCATTCAAAAGAGCCTGATTCACTTACCCAGGCATTAATAGATAAAGCTGTTGGATACTTTATCCACTTCCTTTTGACACTTCTCAGAGGAGCTGGTGCCGCCCAGAATTTCTGGGTGGAAATCCAAGCAAGCAGAGGACACTAGGAAGCTGATCTGGCAAGCGAGGCCAAAGAGCAGAGAAAGGCTGAGCAAGATTCAAGTTAGTGAGGTGAGCTATTTACTGTGGCCTGAGCTGTTTACAGGATGTGCTTAGCTTCATCGTCAAGGTGTAATGGGAGGAAGAGGAAATTTATATGACGACAGAGAAATGCAGAAATGAATCCTATAGAAAAGGGGGCTGGTCCCTGTGGAGCTCAAGTGATTCTTGGTTTCCCAGGGCTCGAGGAACAAAGCTCCAACAAGCATTAGTCATAAACACCCATGGATGTTTCTGATGTGAAAACTTTGAAAAGGAGCAGTCTGTTTTAACAAATACAGGAAATTCAAGACTAGCCTATTTGTATATTAGGGGTTTTTTGGGGGGGGTGAGGGAATCATGTCTACAAGCAGCTAGGGATCTTTATTTGTAGCAATCGTTTGAGGGGGAAAATAATTTCAATTATTAAGTTAAACATTTATCTCCTTTGCAGAAATCATCAAAGACACATTTAAAGAGGCCAAGCTTGTTCAGAACATACATAAACTTCTCCAAGATGAAAGCACAGGCCCAGAGGTGAAATATAATTCAATAGGTCTGTTGTGTAGCCTCCTGAATTCAGGTAATTTCAGCCCAATAAGTATGAATCAGAATTTGTCACTGCATGACACGAGAGCATTTTATACTGGGAAATTTGCAGCCACAGCACAGCATGGATGTGTGGGGTAACAATTATCTCTCTGCGCCCAGTTGGTTTTCAATATGCTCAAAATCAACACAAAGTAAATTAAGATCGTAAAATGTGTAATGATTCAGCTAAATATGGCTTCCGGTCTCACCTGCCTTAATGGAGGCAGCCCCCATGACAGCGGGGGATCATCGGCAGGAGGTGGGTGGGTGTGGAGGACTCCCTGGTTCTGAATGGGGTAACTGTGCCCCTGAAGGACCAGGTGTGCAGCCTGGGAGTCATTTTGGACTCACAGCTGTCCATGGAGGCGCAGGTAAATTCTATGTCCCAGGCAGCTGTTTACCAGCTCCATCTGGTACACAGGCTGAGACCCTATCTGCCCACAGACGGCCTCGCCAGAGTACTGCATGCTCTAGTTATCTCCCGCTTGGACTACTGCAATGCGCTCTACATGGGGCTACCTTTGAAGGTGACCCGGAAACTACAACTAATCCAGAATGCGGCAGCTAGACTGATGACTGGGAGCGGCCGCCGAGACCACATAACACCGGTCTTGAAAGACCTACATTGGCTCCCAGTACGTTTCCGAACACAATTCAAAGTGTTGGTGCTGACCTTTAAAGCCCTAAATGGCCTGGGTCCAGTATATCTGAAGGAGTGTCTCCACCCCCATCGTTCTACCCGGACACTGAGGTCCAGCGCCGAGGGCCTTCTGGCGGTTCCCTCACTTCAAGAAGCCAAATTACAGGGAACCAAGCAGAGTTCCTTCTCGGTAGTGGCGCCTGCCCTGTGGAACGCCCTCCCACCAGATGTCAAAGAGAACAACTGCCAAACTTTTAGAAGACATCTGAAGGCAGCCCTGTTTAGGGAAGCTTGTAATGTTTGATGTATTACTGTATTTTAATATTTGGTTGGAAGCTTGCCAGAGTGGCTGGGAAAGCCCAGCCAGATGGGCAGGGTATAAATAATAAATTATTATTATTATTATTATTGGCAAATAAAGATGAGAGAGGGTAAATCATCCTTGCAAATTCCCGCCAGGGACGGGGCAATGGGCTTCACTTGCAGTTTGTCTCAGTACCTGGCTCTTGCTCCAGTATGGCATGTGGGAGGCAGGGAGGCGTGAGTGCAACAGCACTTCCCCTGCTGGAAACCCTCCTACGTCGCCATTAAGAAGCAGAGGTTCTCCGTTTACTTGGATCTTTAATTGGCTTTAAAGTACCGGCGTGTGGTGGAAAAGGGTTGCAACAACATACTTTGGAATATACCAGCTACATGGATCAAAGTTTTGAATTGAGATAAGATTTTCTTCGGCGTGAGAGTCGGTTGGGGAGAGAGAAGCCCAGGGTTTGTTTATGATTCGGCAACCCTTTCCGGAATAGAAGATAAAATTATACTTACAAGTGGGGAAAGGACGTTGGAGTAACATTGATATTAACAAGCAAAAATGGAAACTGCCCGTGATCTGAAATGAAGAAAGGAGGGGGGGAGCTAAAGTAGGACTATGTTGGAAAGACAGAGTAATTCCCCTCACCTCCGTTTAAAACTAACAGACAACTGAGACAAAGTCTTAGTTGGGGGAATGCTTTACACTAGCCATGCAATAATGTAGGTATGCCTGAAACTCCCTCCCAAAATAAAGGAAAAACTTCCCCACTAGAAGCAGTTACCTACATTCTCTCAAAATATTACTTTAAATATTGCCTCACCCCACACAAAGAAACACGGGGGGGGGGGAGGGCTGAGCCACTGTCAAGATTGCATCCAGTGCATTAGAGTCGCTGTTGTTTCATAATCAAGGAAGCCAAATTGCAAGGTGAAGCTATTATATACTACACTGCTTGCTTGCTCGCTCAGCCTTTACTTTTGCAAGCTATTCCGCTAAAATGTTTGATCTCCTTCAGGTGACCTTCGGAAAGAGGCTGAAGAGGACAAGATGAAAGAAACCCTTGAGAAGCTCTGTGGCCACATCAATGGTAATGTAGCCAAACAGGCGCTAATGGCTGTTCAGATACTGAATGAGGAGCACCGCCTCTTTGAACCATAAATGAGGATATCTACTTAGTGCATAAAACGAGCTACTGCGGTTTAAGTACTGCCTTGGCTAACAAGCAGTACATCAGGTTTGATCTGTTGTGTCCAAGCAAAATATTGCTAGAGCTGGTGTGTTGTTGTTTTTAAAAAAATTATATTGAAGGGCTTTGGGTGATGGGGTTTTTCGAATAGGATGTTAAGGCAAATGATATTCACACAAGCCTCTTTCCAAGTCCACAACATCATCACCCCAAAACACTAAATCCTGATTAAATCCTATTCTCCCTTGCATTCCAGCAGAAATGACTCCATTAAACTTACTTGTTTAACTGTGGAATGGTTATCACAGATTGCCCTCTCATCATGTGCGAATACAATATCCATCCATCATGGGGGAAGCACATGTACAGACCCCTGGCAAAAACTACAGAACTTCAGAATATATTAATGGAGGAATTGCATCTTTGAGCATTTGGAAGTTTGGTTCCTGCCTACTCTTTTCCCAGACATGCTAATTTGTAACATATAAGCCATTCCGGTTTTGTGCGTGTTTAGGAAGCAAACATGCAAACCTTGCCTTCATCAGTAAAATAAAGCCGAAAAATATGATGAAAACAAACAGTTAGCTATCATAATGTATCAGCCCTATCATCTCCCTACAGCATTTGATCAGATTCTGTTTTCCTTCCTGTAAGCTGTCTAGGGTTGCTAACTTTGTCAAAACTAATAGCCTTATGGGCAGGGGCAGAACAATGTTTGATAAGACCTAGGAAGAGCCACTTTGTGCACAATCATGCACATGAGCATTGCTGTAAACCCAGAAGTGGCAGAAAATAACAGGGTTCAAAGGGGGAAGGGCAGGCAGGTGTATATGCACTCTGCCGTCGTGCAAGATGACCCAGAATGCCACCCCTGGACACATTGGGGGTTGCCAGATGTTTCTGCCAGAGGAATATTCCACTTTAAATGAATGAGTCACACACGCACACACAGTGTTTGCATTTTGTTGTTGCTGCTTATTCTACATGATGCTGATGGGCAACATCAATGCCCCGATCTCCCATCTCGTGATTCTTCAACTTTAAACTAGACTTCAGCTAGAGAAGGGTCCTTCATAAAGTAGGGAACATGGCCACCCCATCGTCTTCCCACCAGGGGGTATGTGCAGACAAATGACTCTGGAAGAGTACAGTGGTACCTTGGCAGTTGAATGGCTTAGCTCCCGAACACCGGAAGTGAGTGTTCAGGTTTGCAAACGTTTTTCAGAAGCCGAACATCCACCGTGGCTTCTGATTTGAGTGCAGGAAGCCCCTGCAGCCAATCAGAAGCCGTGCGCCTTGGTTTTTGAACGTTTCGTGAGTCAAATGGATTAAATTTGAGAACCAAGGTACCACTATACTTGGCTTCTCTGAGCAGATGTAACTGCAGGATACTTTTAAAAACATTCTTTTTTTTTTGAGGTTTGCCTCTAAACTGGGGGGAGGTGTTCTCCTAATCAGAAATTTGTATAATCACTACTATTGCACCTTTGAGATGACAAGCTTGAAAAGAGAGAAAGCGGGCCATTTGTGCGCACATGCACAACCCATTAAATATCTTTCCTGCGCAACTCTCATTCAGCACAATGCAATTTGTTCAGGAAAAGCTTCCTAGGGATTGTGTCCCGATATGCCTTCCAGCAAGCGAAAAACGTGCCAGGGGGAGGTCTTTTTGGCTGCTAAATCCACAGCGCTACTTGATATTCATCAGTCAAGGAATTTGCCTGCTGGCTCTTTAACTCTCACAGGCTATTATGGCTGCTTCTTTGCTAGCTGGAGACATGGAAGTTTTCCTCTATATGACTTATAAGCATTATCATTTGCAAATCTCCTGCATCCTTTGTTCAAACTTCATGCCACCAAATGGATTGCTGTGGGGGTTTAAGTTATGCAGAGTTCGCCGGTATGAGTTTATTACCTGGGGCAAACTGAAAAAGAGTCCAGCATAAGAACATAAATCAGAAAGCAGGGATCCTACTGTTTCCTAAAAACAAAACCAGCACGTAGTCATTTTTCCCAACTACAGGAAGAGAGTATAGTAAACATAAAGCAGAGAGGCTCATCGGCACTCTCTGGAAGGAGTTTGTTATCTGAGCTGTCACAGAAAAGACTTTACACATGCCTGAGGAGGTCCTACTACTGGATCACAAAGGTAGAAACACCTCCAGTCACCATCTCTCTTTGGGAGAACCAAAAATATCCAGGAAGCACAATTGTAAGATGGTTTTGCATCCCATCATCTTGTAAAAACAGCTTTTCTCCGTGTTAGCAAGTTACAGTGGTACCTTGGTTCTCAAACGCCGAAAACGCAGAAGTGTGTGTTCCGGTTTTCAAACGATTTTCGGAAGCCGAACGTCCGATGCGGCTGTCGGCTATTGTTTCCGGGGCACCTGCATCAATCAGAAGCTGCGCCTTGGTTTTTGAACATTTTGGAAGTCAAACGGGCTTCTGGGACCGATTAAATTTAGTGCTTTTGTTTTGGCTATTTATTTTGCATTTTTGTTTTTGAGCCTTTTTCGGTTAATTTGTTTTTGTGACTGTGTGGAACCCAGCTCAGCTACTGATTGACTGATTGTGTGACTGCGGAAATGGATAAAAGCCCTCATCCAAACAGTGAATACCATCAGTGCAGCTAAGAAAAAAAAAATCATTTTAATTTTTATCATCTACAATACTGTCTTGTTTATTTTATAGTACAGTACATTGATTATTGCTTTTATTTTATGGATCAATGGTCTCGTTAGATAGTAAAATTCATGTTAAAGTGCTGTTTCAGGGGTTGTTTTTAAAAGTCTGGAACAGATTAATCCGTTTTGCATTACTTTCTATGGGAAAAAGCACCTTGGTTTTGGAATGCTTTGGTTTTGGAACGGAGTGCCAGAATGGATTAAGTTAGAGAACCAAATACCACAGTACTAAGGGCAGTTTTAGATCTCTGCACATTAGCTTGGTTAGTCCATGAAAATGGGCTCATATATTTTCAAGATAATGGTTGTTTAAAATTCAGGTCTTTTTTTAAAAAAAATACAGGCCACGACCACTTTGTGTGCAATTATGCACATGAGCATTACTGCAAACCCAGAAGTAGCAGGAATAGCAGGTATAACGGGGTGCAAAGGGGGTAGGCCAGGCTCCGCCATTGTGAAAGATGATCCAGAACGCAACCCCTGCACAAACCAGGTGCCGCCTGATGTTTCTGCCAGAGGAATGTTCCACTTTAAATGAAGGAGACACACACACACAGTTTGCTTTTTGTTGCTGCTGCTTATTCTACATGCAGTAAAAAAAGAGAATCTTACAAAAATTACACAAATACAGACTTTATAAAAGTGTGTTAGGCAGTGTAGACAAGTCTGCAGTCCCTGAAGAAAAATAATCAGGCAACCTCAGAAGCAGTTCAACCAAAGTTCAGTCCTTTGTCAGGAAGAATCCAAAGAAGAGTTTTCTAGGGCATCCCCAAAAAACACATCGCTGACTTCACTGTTCGGAACTGCGTTCTACACAGGCATTTATGTGGAATGGCTGTGAAGGATGGTTGAAAACTCTAAAGGCATATGCCATCCATTTCAACGAGGGTCATATTAAAACAGCTTGCATAAAAGAAAGCCCATGAGGCCAAAATCCTGAAAAGAGAAATTAACACTTTTTCATTCTCGGTGACAAACCACCTCTTTATGGCAGGCTCTAGGGTAGGTTTAGCTGGCTTATGCTCCACCAAGCAGAATGCAGCCCACCAGCTGTATAAAGCAACTTACAGCAGCTTCTCTAGCAACTCACCTGTTTAAATCAAAGCATTGTGTTATCAGGTCAGCATCCCTATCTGGCTGATGGGCTCTTTTCAGTTTGGTGAGTCACAAGCTGTGTGCAGGCTGGCCGTGGAACCTTGCTCTGATACGGGCCGCAACCTGACAAGCGTTAGAACATCTATTTGCCATACAAGAAGTGGAAATGACCAGTGCACACTTTTAAAGAGCTTTGCATGATTCAAATACCCCTGAACATCCAATACATCCAATTATTTACACATACCTAGGAGACTTTAGCATATGCATTTTTCACTGCCACAAAAAAAGATAGAAATGTGGTCCAAAGAGGTATGGCTCCAGGTATCTAACAAAACGAGAAACTTAGGTCCAATGGATAAATGGCTTTACGAACTACTACTATATGAAGTAACGTTAGCAAAACTGTATGCGGACACATTTCCTTGTTCAAATGTCTATAAATAACGCCATATTAAGAAGGAGATGTGTCGCGAGAAGTCAGCCTTGACCTTTCCAAAGGAGGCCCGTGGTCCGATGCTGTTGAACGTACGACTTTTACTTTACAAATCCTGGTAGGTAAGGCAAGTCCTTTGGAAGTATCTCCAGTGTTCTCTTCAGATCTCTAGCATCAAAAAAGGACACATTCGATCTGGCCTGAATAAGAGGAAATCCCTCCCTTCTGTACAGTTGATCCCGGCACGCGACACGCCCCCTTTTTAAAAAAAACAACAACCAGGCAACACTGTACAAACATGGCTCTCATTTAAAACACTCACACAGTGCATGCTTCAATATCTTGACAGGCACAACATTCCCTGAACAAGTTTTCCATATTTAAAGGCATTTCATGTATCTTCCCCAACCCCACCCAAAAATGTGATCATTTGGCATCGTGGGGCTTTATTCTAGGCACTGACCAACTTTTGGAATGTAACAATTCTAACCTCTAAGGAACTACTGTAAAAGGAAAACTAAGGCAACAGTCCTTAGACAGTAGCAGCTTTCGGGTAGGAGCATCTAGAACGGTCCACTGGTGCCTGCTGCAATTTCACATCTGTGTACAGAAGGATGAAGATAAATCTTCTTTCCGAGAGATCAGCATTGTAAAACTATTCATTAGCCAGGTGAGAAGAGGAGCAGGTTCTTCAGCTCCAGCCTGAAGTAGGATAGCATCCAACTATGTTTTTTGTTGTTGTTTTTTAAGTGATATATTATGGCTTTACGCTCTAGTTGTATCAAGACTTTTCTAGATCTCCGGTTTTGTTTTTTTCTCCTTGTGCTCACAGCAATAGCAGGGGGTGGGGAGAGAACTGATTTGTCTTTACAGATGATCTCTTCTCTTGTCTTCAGAAATGGTAACCTGCCTTCACAGCTTCAATGTCACAAATCAGTGTCCTGGCCAGGAAAATCCCAAATATCTAACAAAGAAGAAAAGACAGACAAAACAAGCACTATTTATAAGAAAGAAAATGTTTTAGCGGTCTGTTATGAAAATAACAAAACAGTGCAAATTCAGGTTCTTTTGCTAGCCTGTTTCAAACTAGCCTGGAAATAACAAGTCCTCGTCAATAGTGCTGGGATACTGCAGAACTATTTAGCCCTGGAAAAATAGGTTAGGCCTTTAACTGGTTTGGAACCAATGAGGTTTGTGCTGCTTTCTTCTATTGAAAAGCACTGCCCACATTTCAAGGTGGAAAACTATTACAATTGCTTTGCAAGACTGAGATTTGTGAGCATAACTGCTCAGTCAACACAACACGTTCATTCCTCTATTTTCCTTTAGAAGACCATTATCAGCTGCACAAGGATATGGGGTAGGGAACAGAACAACACTCAAACCAAAACATACGGCAATTTTCTTGATCTAAGGGGGCGGGCAGGTGGGGGTGAGGAACAGAATAACACACTCAGGCTACTAACCAGTCTGGATTTTACTGGTCCAACCAGTAAAACTTTTTCTGTTAGGGTGGCAACAATCAGGCATCTGGAAAGCCAATGAAAATCTAGGTGCTGCTATGGTCTCGTCCCCGACTTGCCAAATTCTACTCAGGTTCCACTCCTTGAGCTGCTATTTTTAAAATCTGAAGCTAGCAACTCTATTCATGAGATCACCAAATGGTATCTTTTGCGCAAATATTTGTCTCTAACAATTCTTCATCACCCAAACACTGTAACAGTAGACAGATCTAATCACTGGGTAAGAAATATTATTTGCTGCTTCAACAGGCCAACAGGAGCTCACCTGCAATAATGAAATTGCCACAAAAATTCCTGCCACGATGTAAATATTCCGGGGCAACCAAGCTTCCAGAGCAGGGATGCAGCCCCTGGTGTAAATTCGTTCTCCCCAAGCGGATACAGGCTAGAAAGAGAAAATAGAAAAGAGTCGGGAGAGGGATAGAGAGAGAGAGAATTTCACGTGTATTTTCTTTTTGTTACTACCTCCATTTTTAAGAAAAGCAAGGACAACAAAACTAGAATCTCCTTGCTATGGGCAGGGCTGAACTAAAACCAATTAAAATTTTGCACCTAGAAAAGCTAGGTTCTACAACCGGTAACAAATGGCAAAATCTCTTACTTTGCATAATCTATTCTGCTATTTTTGCTCTCTTGCTGTCTTCACTGTAACAGTGAAAGATAACCAATGAAAACCTTATTCTGCCACCTCTTTAGCTTTGTGGCTACAGAAAGAATAAAGAAGTATGTCACAGGTAGTTTAAAAAGGCTTTCTTTTGATTGTGTTTTAAAAGATATGACTGATGTAACCTCAGGAATTTGTCTGTAACTTGGAGAATTGGTTTCTCTAAAAGTATCAATGAATATAATCCACCTGCTACAATATTCATAAAGAGCTAATATGGGGATGTGTCAAACTTTTGGTAATGTTTATTGGGAACTGTGGAAAAAATGTTTTCTGACATATGACCTGTGACTAATGTAACGTGACCAATGTAACATGTGAAAATTAATTGCTAAGACACCCACAAATAAATGCCTCCAAACAAGACCTTGTGCATATGACAGTTGACTATGCATTCATAAGTTGCAGCCCACTTCAAGTCTGTGAGGAAAGTTGTAATGCCCACAGAAATTTACACTTAGCTGTGGCAACATCCTAATTGTTTCTTTTCAACACAACATTTATCATCATTTGCAGGGAAGACAAACGTCAAATAAGTCCCGTCCCCCCCGACACACACACTTTTTAAGAAAAGGATTTCATACTAATAAAGATCATATTGTATTGTCTGACTAATCAATTTGCTATTCAAACTCAACCATAACAAAATTTCCAACAGACACCAGTACTTCAATAGTTGTTTCTGCTTCTGCACTTCTTTTTTTACAGGATAATCACATTTTCCACTGGGAAATGATTCCCTGTGTTTGTAGTGTCCGTTGTAAATTACACTAAAAATCCACTTACACTTCCAGACCCCCTTCAACCTTTGACAGGGTCGTGCTGTTCGCTGAGGCAAGAGAAGAAACCTTCATCTCTAGACCAGGGGTGAGCAACCTCTGGCCTGTGGGCCAATCTTGACTCACCAGGCTGATTTGACCTGATATCTTACAGGTAAGGGTGTAATTTGTCCAAGGCTACTTTGTATAGCTCCCAAACACTGTGATATACAGATACATCACAATGTCTGAAATAAGGATGGAGCTTTGTAGAGGCATAAGCTGGCTTCAGTTTTTCCCACATTGCAGTTTCTACAAAGCGCGTGCGCGCACACACACACACACACACACACACGCGATTCACGATATATTGCCAGGTCAAAAACTATAAAACCAGTATCACAATATGGACTTTAAACTGGTTTTGGATGACATATGGTTCTATTGTCCAGTCCTAATAGGAGTGAAAGGAATTTGGAGAAGCAGACAGCCCCTGCTACTCATACATTGCAAGAAAGAACTGAACATCTTAGTGCACCAAAAAAAACCCATGTTCTGTTATTTTATTGTCATTTCCAGTTTGCTAACAGCACACTGGGATGGAGACTTGGGAGACCAGAAACTCCTCCAAATTGCAAGTACATGCCAAGGGCATATAACAAAGAAATACAGTCGTAACTTGGTTCTCGAGCGCCTTGCGACTCAAACGTCGCAAACCCAGAAGTGAGTGTTCTGGTTTGCGAACATTTTTTTGGAAGTCAAGCATCCGACGCGGCTTCCACAGCTTCCAGTTGAGTGCAGGAAGCTCCTGCAGCCAATCGAAAGCCGTGCCTTGGTTTTTGGAAGTCGAACCGACTTCCGGAACAGATTCCGTTTGAGAACCAAGGTATGACTGTATTGGGAAAACACTAGCCTTGGCCAACTATCGTTTCCAACATACTTCTGAAAAGGCTACTGATGTGGCATGACCCTTCTTGCCTGCTATTCTACTTTCTTGCATCAAGAATTTACCAAGTTTAATTGCCTGATGCTTCTTTCACAGTGGCCCTAGCTCCTAATCCCTTGTGGGAAAGCAAAACTGGGGGTGGGAGGTAGGGCGGTGATATATGAAACAAACAGTAATATCAAAAATACTCACCAGATTTCTTACATCATAGCCACACTGTGTGTTCACAACCTTTTGCTGAAGAGAGAGGAAAAATAGGGGTGTCAATATAGCTTATCAACCATGCCAAGATTTGGATGAATTTCTTATTTTAAATCAGTATGAAGGGGCCTTTGCGAAGCAGCACACATACGAGACTTTAGAGGACATTTTACGCGCTCAGTTCAGGAAACACTTCCTTTTTCCGAGCGCCAGTATTAATACAGAACTAAGACGGCAGGAAATATCTCACAGCAGGATCTTGGATGCAGCAGGAAAAAGGAACGCCACATCTCTCACGGCTCTTGCTTGTGCTACTGCAGTTGAAGTATATGTTAAGGTTCCAGTCGTTTGGCTCCTGAGCACCACAACAGTTATTCTGCAATAGATAAATCACTCTGTTAGACTAGGGATGTACCAAAGGATTTAGTACCTGTATCAGAAAAATCAACAAAGAGATTGCATGCATTGAATCATATGGGTGATGTAGATGATTTTGTTGAAACAGGGCATCCTTTTATAAAATAATTTACTGATAATCATGAAGAACGGCAACTACCGAAATCACAGATTGGACTTTGGCAAACTTAACTAGATCGATCCGTCCCAGAGGGGGGCAGTTTGGGACTTTGTTTTTGGTATTCTTTTCTCTCTCTTTTGTAATTTTTATATCCTGGAAATCAAAAAGACTGTTTTTTGTTTTTCTGAAAGATTTAGTACAGCCACTCCCTAGGGTGGCAAACCCAACTATCACACCTGTTTTATGAACAACATACACAGAAGCATTGGGGGGGGGGGAATTATGTAGGATTCCCATTGTCACTAAACTATGAGCACATTTTATGTTTCTGTTTATTTGATTGGGCTGGCGCAGCTGCTGGACAGAGAGGTCTTATGTCAAGAGATAAAGCGTACAATCAGTATGTTCACGTGAGATATGTGTTGCTGAATTCAAGACTGCAGAGAGAAGTGGTCAGATATCTGAATACCCCTTCCATGTAAACTGGTTCCTGCATATTCAACACATTAGGGCAAATCTTCTAAAACAGGCTTCCTCAACCTCGGCCTTCCAGATGTTTTGAGACTACAATTCCCACCATCCCTGACCACTGGTCCTGCTAGCTAGGAATCATGGGAGTTGTAGGCCAAAAACATCTGGAGGGCCGAGGTTGAGGAAGCCTGTTCTAGAAGATCACAACTTCCATTCACCCTTCATGGTAAAATTCTTCAGGGAATCCAATACAGTGGTACCTCGGGTTAAGAACTTAATTCGTTCTGGAAGGTCTGTTCTTAACCTGAAACTGTTCATAACCTGAAGCACCACTTTAGCTAATGGGGCCTCCTGCTGCCGCCGCTGCACAATTTCTGTTCTCATCCTGAAGCAAAGTTCTTAACCCGAGGTAATATTTCTGAGTTAGCGGAGTCTGTAACCTGAAGCGTCTGTAACCCGAGGTACCACTGTACATGGTTCAGGTCAACAAGCAGTTCATTTTCTTTCTCAAGAACTTTTTAAAGACCCTAACTCACTACTGTTTTCCCAATTAAAAGTCCAAGCAGATTTCTCAAAGCAACTTACCATTTTCTGCAACGAATCAATGAGGTTCTGCAGGTCAATGTCATCTCGGTAAGACTTAATGTTGTTCTTGAAAAACGTCTCCACCCGGTCCCTCACCCAGTCTTGGAACAAGAAAGCCAGGACAGCTGCTGCCAACTCCAGAACAAATATTAGCACAATCGTGCCACAGAACTGCAAAACAAAGAAGGGGGGTTGGAGAGAGAATGAGTTTCTGCTCTAAACAGAAGCAAGCCAGTAGTTCTCCAACAATGTTCCAGGGGACCTTGAAATCCCTCAAGAAGTCAATCGGTGATCATGACCAAAAGACCACTACTGATCTTCCTCTCTAATACACAGGACTTGGGGTGGGGTTGTTTTCAACATTTAGACAGCCTTAATCTAATGTATTGAAAAATCTGCTCGCAAGACCATATTGGCTGTGAGTCCTGGAAGACCTGCTCCCTACCTTGCAGGCCATTTCCCACCTGGCCTGAGAGGGTGGGGCTCTGACTGACTGCAGCTACAAAAGCCAAGGCTGCTGAAGTGGCCAGAAACCATCTTGGATGTCTCTTAGTGCAAACCCAGGACACTGAGCCTGAGCTTCCACAGTCATCATCTGCCATGAACTGCCAGGGGCAGCAACCGCAGAAGACATATTATATGCTTATGGCAGTATTTTATTCTTTTGTTAATTATGCTGTTTTAAAATGACAATTTATCTACAACTTCTTTTATTTTGAAATCTTTTAAGGTACCGTATTTTTTGCCCTATAGGACGCACTTTTTCCCCTCCAAAAATGAAGGGGAAATGTGTGTGCATCCTATGGGGTGAATGCAGACTCCTTGGCTTCAGCGATAGCAACGCAAAGCCTCCGAAGCCTGCGCTCTGGAGGCTTCGCGTTGCTTTCGCTGAAGCCAGGAGAGTCTCCTCTTTGAGGCTGGCGGTGGGGGAAAGCAGCGCTCCCCCCCATCGCCAGCCCCAGAGGATGGGGGGCAGTGGGAAGGCGCGCGACGCCTTCCCGCTACTCTCCGACCTGTCTTTGAGGCTGGCGGTGGGGGAAAGCAACGCTTCCCCCCATCTCCAGCCCCACAAGCTGGGTCGAAAAGCCCGCAGGAGCCGCACACTCTTTAAAGGGTGTGTGGCTTTTGCAGGCTTTTCTATGAGGTGAGGGAATTCCCCCACCTCATAGAAAATCCCACAAGAGCCGTGCAGCCTTTAAAGAGCGTGTCGCTCGTGGGGGCTTCTCCCCAAGGAGGGAGAAGGGACTGACTGGCCGAGTCAGTCCCTTCTCCCTCCTGTGGGCTTTTGCGGGAGATGGGGGAATTCCCCCACCTCCCGCAAAAGCAAGCAGAAGCCACGCGCTCTTTAAAGGCTGTGCGGCTTCTGCTGGCTTTTCTACAAGGTGGGCGAATTCCCCCACCTTGTAGAAAAGCCTGCAGGATGCCGCGCACCCTTTAAAGAGTGTGCCGCTCTTGGGGGCTTTTCCCCACGGCTCCTGTGGGCTTTTGCGGGAGGTGGGGGAATTCCGCCACCTCCCGCAAAAGCAGGGAGGTGGTCTTGGAGTAGCGCACAGGCTGTGTGCAGCCTGTCCACTGCTCCCAGAGCTGTGGGGGGGGGGATCATATTTTTTCCTTGATTTTCCCCCCTGAAAACTAGGTGCGTCCTATGGGCCGGTGCGTCCTATAGGGCGAAAAATACGGTAATATTTTAGTTTCCTGGTTATTGTGTGGCTTTGAATGTATTACATTATATTTGATTTTCTTCAATAATGTTTTGCTCTGGGTTGTTTTATTTGATGTTTTAATGTATTGTAAACTGCTTTGGGATTTCCCCCCTTAAAATATAAAGTGGTATAGATATAATCATCATCATCATCTAAATCATATAAATTTATATAAACACACACACGATTTAGTATATACACACACACACACAATCATATAACACTGTGATGCAATTCACAATACTTGACAAAGAAATAAGGAAAAAACAAGACAGGGAAAACTGGACTGTCCAAAATAGATGCATTTGAAAATATAGGTAACCCTTTTTGATAACCCATATACCAGGCTTATATGAGCTAGCAGAGAATCTGAATATAGGTAACAGTGGCTAGCAAAGCAGAAATTTTAAACTCTTACAGCAAAAACTTACTGGCTTCTTAAGCTGCTCTGATAAAAATGATGCTGAAAGTGACGGTTACAGAATTTTGAGAATGGAATGCTCATTCACGGAAGCTAAGAGATGCTAGTACTCTCCTCTAGGTTTGAGGTCATGCAGTGTTAATGTATCCCAGCAAATACACCCAGAAGTTCTCTTTTTCTTTTTCTTTCTTTTTGCTAACACCTCAATAACAAATACTGGCAAGTCTGACAGAATTAGAGTCTGTCTCCCTCGTTGCTAACTTTCAAGAGAAACAATCCTGTTTGCCCAGGCATTTGATGGCTAAAAGACAGTGTTCCTAGCAACCCTGAGATCACCTGCTGACAATGTTTTTAAGGTTCTTTTTAAAAAGTTTTATGACTGCTGTGTCTGCCACTCTGGGATCATCCAGGAGCAAGGATGGGGTGTAAATAAAATAAACAAATGGTGGTTCAATGTGTTTTTTAAAAAAATACTGAAATTAAAAATTTAAGGTTTTATATATATAATAAATGTTCATCAATGTGCCGGCCAGGCGCGTACATGGATATGTGGACCACATGTCTGGAGCAGCACAGCAAGACCGCCCTGAAACCATTTTGACTCCCAAACTGACCAAATGTTTTCTCTGCAAGGAGGGAGGGGGTGGGGGAGCCTCCCCGTTGTCTCAGAAAGTGGGTAATCACCATCTCAAAGGAATGGGCAGACTACCAGGAAAGGCTATCAGATAAGGCATTATCAGATAACCTGGCAGACAGGAACATTCAAATTTCTGTTGTAGACCGCCTTTTCTGTGATGTAGGTATGATGTTTGTGGGGCATGGTCTTGAGCTCCAGGGCAGGGAATTTAAAATGTCTATATAAGGGCAGGCACGCCTTTGTTATGGGTTCTCCTCCTTTCCTGCGTGTGACGGGAGCAGCCTGTTGCAACAGTTCAATAAAGATCAGGCTTACAAGCTGCTTTGCTTCTCAATATTCTCTGGTTGGCCTCTGTTATTTTCTCTGACCGATGGAGAACCTACAAAGGACTCTATAAGGGCTCTTGTGTCCCCCATAAGGGAATAAGGGCAGATTTTTGTTTATTACAATATGATTGTATCTAATCTTATACAATCCTTGAGATTATAGGAGACAGCCTTTTAAAGACTTCTAACACTCAATGTTAGGAAATGTTTTTCACTACGCTACACTAAGACCCCAGAAGCAAAAAAAAAACCCCACCAAAACAAAACATCCCTTAATTCACCGCCCACCAAGTAATGCTGTCCTTCACAGACAAATTCTCTAAAATGTGTTGATTAACCTACTGGCTGTAATTAGGATGCTTTCACTTAACCTAGTTCTACCAGAATTGCACAGAGAAATAAACGAACCCCAAATCCTGACTGATGGGGACACTTCCTGGCTAGCAAAACACACACCCAACAATCCAGTTACTTACGAATTTCAGGAGGCAGATGTTCTCCCGCAGGGCTCCTACACAGCCAGCAAATCCCAGAATGAACATTACTCCGCCAACAAACAGGATAAGGACCACGGGGTCAAAGCCATGGAGGCGGGTCATTTTGGATATGTCAGAGAGCACCCCCTAAAACGGAGCAAAAACGAGAGTGAGAACCTGCTCCTTGTACTAATCAGTTACGACGTTAATGAATTAAAGCTTCCTAACATTGTACTGCAAGGATACCATATACCTCAAAACACAATTCAAAAGCAGGCCTGCATCATAGAAGGATATGCATTGCATGCATAAAAGGCTCAGTGCAATTAAATTTCCATTAAATGTTAGGGGTGGGGGTTACGTCAATCTCCTCACAGGGTATTTAATTGCAGTAACCCCGCATTCCGCGAGGAAAAATATTTGAATAAGACTTAAGGTCATTTCACTTACTATATTTTTAATTACCTACCATATTTCAATTACTATAATTTTAATTACTATGTTTTAAATAGCTTCAAATGGCTATGTGCATGAAGGGAGCCTGGGCTGGCCTCAGCTCTTTTGTCAGGTACACACTCCAGAATTTGTCATCAGGTAAAGGTAAAGGTAAAGGTACCCCTGCCCATACGGGCCAGTCTTGACAGACTCTAGGGTTGTGCGCTCATCTCACTCTATAGTCCGGGAGCCAGCGCTGTCCGCAGACACTTCCGGGTCACGTGGCCAGCGTGACAAGCTGCATCTGGCGAGCCAACGCAGCCCACGGAACGCCGTTTACCTTCCCGCTGGTAAGCGGTCCCTATTTATCTACTTGCACCCGGGGGTGCTTTCGAACTGCTAGGTTGGCAGGCGCTGGGACCGAACGACGGGAGCGCACCCCGCCGCGGGGATTCGAACCGCCGACCATGCGATCGGCAAGTCCTAGGCGCTGAGGTTTTACCCACAGCGCCACCCACGTCCCACTTTGTCATCAGGAAATGTCCCTAAATATCAGGTTCTGCCAACCAATCTAAGGACCTTGCAGCCAAGCAGGCTTCCACTAGGTGGCACTAATAGAATGACGAGTTGCAAAATTATTTTTATTTCTGATTTGGACACAGCTGCCAGCCTAAGACCCCCATGCAGTCATTTCGCTGCACCTGAGACAAAACTGCATCATTTCTGGATGGATTAAATAACTATCAAAGTAATAACTGTTTACTGCAACACTGGGGTATTAATTATTATTATTATTTATTATTATTATCATCTTTCTGACATCTGGATATTTGCATTTCAAATAAGCCTTTATTTATAGGCGTTTGAGGTGTTCCCATCAGGTACATGCCCTCAGTAAAAAAAAATGAAACTTTGAGGGGGATGACACATCACAATGACTAGGAGTTTCAGAAAGAATTTAAGAAGAAATGTGAGCAGATAGTTTTCTCAGTGATTTGTAGCATCATTCAAATATGAGCTGCTTCGCGGGAATTCCCGTTGGAATTAGCATTGCGTTTCCTTTTAAAACCAACGTCACCAGCTACCAAAACATTAGAAGGGGGGCAGTTGCAAGGTGAAGCTGGTACCATCGAATAGATTGGGTGGGCAGACAGGACAAGCGTTTCCTTTGTGCGGCACGAAGAGCTTTTTTTAAAAAAACACACACAGAGATCCAAATAACAGGAAGTGGCAATAAAAAAGAAACACCCTGGAAAGCCTTGCGCAACCTTTAATACCAGGGTGGCTGCTCCATAGTGGTTTTTGTGATTCTTCTCCTTGCACAAGTGGAAAAGCAACCTTGGGTTGGGGTTCGCCTTGGGGTTGGGGTTCGCCTTTACCACGCAGAACTCTTTGCAATATCCAGGAGTCCTTTGGTGAGCAAAAGGGACCACCCCCAAGCGGAAAGGCACTTTTTGATCCAGCCCACAGAGTTCTTTGGAATGAATGAGAGCATACGGAGAGCCCTGTTGGATCAGAGGGCTGACAGCGGTTTTAACAATGAGTCCATATGTGACTGTGGAGGCCAATTCCGGATCCGCATGTCCTTCCACAGTGGGGACATTGGTTTCTGGGCAGGAGTTGATCACAGTGTTGATTTGCCAAGCGTGCCTTCCTCTTAGCATGTTTCTCCCTTGCGTCCTGAGTTCGAGCGTCTTCAAAGCCCACCTTTGGTAAAGGCTGTTCTCCAATTGGAGCGCTCGCAGGCAAGTGTTTCCCAGTTGTCGGTGTTTATATTACATTTTTAAAATTTGCCTTGAGACAGTCTTTAAACCTCTTTCGATGACCACCAGTATTACGCTTTCCATTTTTAAGTTCGGAATAGAGTAGTTGAATTGGAAGACGATAATCAGGCATCCGCACAACACGACCAGTTCAACGAAGTTGGTGTTGAAGAATCATTGAATACTACCTATCACAATATCACAGGTAAAAATGCCCCCAGTTTGGATATGGAACACCCCCTTTCCTCATTCAGAATTGCTTCTCTTCCTGTCTTCATCCCTGCCTCACTCTCCTAATGATACATTGATAAACCCACTGCCTGAATATACTCCACTGGAATTTCTATGGTTGCAATGGTTCAGAAGGTGCCTTTGGAGTGGCAACAAATCGCAGCAAAGTATCCCAAGATCAGCAGTTCACGGGTTGTATTTTCTCCATGAGACTATTTACCTGGGAACAGTTTATGGGTGAGGGGTTGGGAGGGGTAGCATAAAGCAGGCTAACTAATAAAACTCAGCAGCTGAATACAAATAGCAAAACCAGAAAACTCAAAGCCCAAAACATTAACACTCTCATTAAATGTGATAAAACATTGTCATTACTAAGCGGAAGAAAACAATTTCAGGTTCCAGGGCCCTGAAGATCAACAGCCTGCCCAATTAAAATGGCCAAATCTGGGCTGCTGATTTTTGGTGTGAGTAATAGCCATATGATGCTTCCCTCCTACAGAACTTGCGTGTGCGTGTGTGTGTGTGTGTGTGTGTGTGTGTGTGTGTGTGTGTTAAGTCAGTCCTTGGAGGAGAAAGGGTACCATAGCAACTATTTTTGTTCTGGAACTCTGCCCATTTTGTGTGAAGCTTCAGAAATAGCCTATCATTTAGAAGTTAAATGTAAATGCGCCAAATATCCCCTTGCCTCCTTCTTTCCCCCCCTGACCTGCAAATCTCATCATCACCCTATGGTTAACTGCCAGCCAGCATGTCTAACAAATTCAGAACCTACAATCATGTAAAAGAGGGCCCCATTTTAAAAGGGGTTACCTTAGCACAAGGAATTCAGAAAGGATGTTGGGCAAAAGGGCTGTGCTTTATCATCGTCAAACCAAGCCCCACAGAGGCAGCAGGAGTGCAGAAGCGGGAGCAGGAATCTCTGCTTTTTCATTCAGACACAGAACTTGTGGTTTTCCCTTGCTGAAACTAAATTTTCATATAGACTAAAGCACTGGCAGAGGAAGAGGAGTGCGGGGGAGCGCACCGCCCCCGGCAGCGTGATGCCGGTGGGGTGCCATCGCGGCTGCCCAGCCTGCCCATGCTGGGCAGCACGCCCCTACAGGTGGCACGCTACACCCCCAGGATACACGCCCTGCCCCTATGGGTGGTGCACCACACCCCCCGCCTGCTCTCTACCCCCCCCCCGTGCCAGAGCATGAAGCTCCGCCACTGGACTAAAGCAGTGGTGCTCAAAGGGAGCAGCAGGCGAGGATGGCAAGTGTGGCAGGAAAATTCAAGAACAAACAAAGAAATATAACAATGTACTATAGGACAGTGTAGAATCCAAATAATTTTTTCTCGGATATACAACCAGAAACAGTATCCACGCCTCTCTGCAAGAGCATGGGCTACTCTTATACAGTTGTCCACGACATACTGTTGTGAGCAGGGATTTACAACCCTGTCAAATATGAAAGAGCAGAAAAGAGAAAGGCTTCTGTGTGTTTGCTTCAAATTAGGCCTAATATAAATGAGATTACCTGGCAAAAGAAAGTTCACACCTCTCAAACATACTTAAGGTATACATATGTTAGAGGCTCTTTTATAATTAGTGTTGGGGGTTTTTAATGATTCATGTTCTTATGTAGCTGCATTGTTTTATACTTTCTGGACGTCCCATTATCATATTATAAAGTAGTTGTGTTCCATTTTACAAATCAAGCACAGCTAGGAGTTCTTTCTTTTTGCTTCCCAATGAATTTCTTATCAATAAAAAAATTCGGTGTGACATGAGCAGCTCTTTTTCTGAAAGTGTGGCTCAGAGAGAGAAAAAAAGGTTGAGAACCACTGCCCTAGAAGCTGAAGGTATTCAGCTGGTATTCAGACACAAGATTACGTTTCCAACCTTGCTGCTTAATTTTGCCGTATCAGACTTCCTGGTGTCAAAATCTCTTCTGCAGCACCTCGTCGCATACAGGTGGGGTGGGGTGGAAGAGAAACCGGTGCAGAATTAGGCAAGACATGCTAGCTAACAATAAATTTAGGAAGCTAGGTATCTACCCTCCCAAGCTTTGATTCAAAGCAACACGGGAGATCTGCCCCAGTAACAGCCATATGGCCAAAGTCACCCAAGAGGGAGGCAGGAGATAGATATTACCTCCACCAAAATCAGCAGCCCAGGTTGGGTGTGGAAGTGATGAGATGCCATGGCTTCCCCACTTAAAAGCCTAGCTGACAGCGTATTCAGAAGTAAGCCAAAATGAACTTGCTCCCAGGAATTGTATAGAAGGTTCCAACCTAAGGCTTCTTCCCTAGAACCAAGCCCCAGGGAACCCTGTTGGACTTTCTGAGTAGATATATGCAGGATTCTGCTGCAAGGCTCTTTGCATCCCCCCAGATAAGTAGCTGATTTTGCAGAACACTCATGAAAATAAGCCTGGAGGCAGAAAAGCAGTGCTAGTTGGGATTTCTGTCCTTCAACAGAAAGGGCAACGAGTAAAGGATGAGTGTATGTGCTGTGTGAGACCCCTTGCACCTCCTCAATGAGAAGCGGCTCAATTCTCTATAGCAAAGAGTCACATTTTTCTTACCTTTTCGCTCCAGGCCCAAAGACCAGCCCCAAGAAAGGCAACTCCGGCTAGCTAGGGAGGAAAAAACAACATGCTTATTATATGCTGGAAAGCACTGTTTGGTCACGCACTCCCAACTAGAAACAATCATTATGAGGTAATATGTACATCACATTTCCCCCCCAATGGGATGGAGTAAGGGACAACATCATGAAACACCAGGTACAGGACATCTGCCACACAGGTGCGTTGAAATTTCACTTCGGGTGAGTTTTACAACTGCTGCTGTTTTTCAGGTGTGGAAAGCCTCAAGGCAAGCGTAGAGTCTGGGATATTGCCCAAGGAACCCTAACCACATAATGAGGTCTGAATTGACTGCGACTATCTGGGGAAGACATGGTGAGGTAGACAGTTGATATAAATCTATGGTACAGCTGAATGTGGCATATGTTTTGCATTGAGTCTCCCCCAAAATAGAAGGTGCCAAAAAAGAGAGGAAAACTATGAAAATTATCAGAGGGGCTACAGCACCTTCATTCCTGACCAGTGTTGATGTTAGCAGTCTCCCTCTTTTCAAAATGAGTCCCCTGCCTGGGGGGTGGAAAAATGAGGAAGCCAGACAGAGCCAAAATTACCACGTAATGAGATTATGCGGGGGAAACTGTGGCTTTAAAAACTACCACCACCAAACAAACTCAAAATCCATGTGGAACGAGGACTCTGTATGTCAGCTGACAATATAGCAGAGGCTGTAAGCCTGAACAGAAAGACCCCCATAGAGGAGGGAATTAGCATAATCTGAGCCCAGTTTCCCCCCTACACATATATGATACGCTGAATCTCCAGATGCACAAAGATGGAATTGTGCTAACTGCCCTGTCCCACTTTCCAGTCTAGAGAAGGTAGGGGGGAAATAAATCACCCATCTGTAGTGATATTAAAACCGCAACACACAAGAGAGTGGTCTCTGGAACCGATATGCCGAATCGGTCAACAGCCTAAACAGGAGCATTTCTACAGAGAAGATGAAGCTGAGAAGGTGATGAAACAGGAAGGAAGTCATGAGTGAGCGAGAGGCAACTGTTATCTTTGTAATGAATTTCCGAACTCGTTTACACAGTGTGCTAGGTCTGATCAGTTTTGCTTCCCCTCCGGCAAAAGCAGCTATAGATTTCATCGCAATTTCCGCCACACAAGTATGCGTTTTACCCCCCTGCCCCCAAGCAAAGGTTGTTTATTTTTGAGCTCCCAACAAGCAAACCAGCTGGGTGCCAGTTCAGCTTATTTACTGCTGCACAGCATGAGGCCAAAGTGAGAGCCATTCAAACGTTTTTTCAGAGGAAAAAATGCTCTAGTGATCTCAAAAGCTCGAGGTGGAAAACAGGGTGCAATATTCCAGTGCAACTGAAGTCCCATTGTGGAACTGAAATGTATGACTGGGCCCCAAGACTGGGCCATAAGAAAACAAGGCTGTCAATGGCTACTAGTCAGGAAAGTTAAAAGCTACCTCCAGGATCACAGACTGCATATCTCTGAATACCAGCCTCTGGGGAATAACAGGAGGAGAGGGCTATTGTCTTCATGTCCTGCTTGTGGTCTTCCCATTAATAGACAATCTGGTGGGAAACAGGATGCCAGAATAGATGGTCCTTTGGTCTGATCCTGCAGGGCTCTTCTTTCATTCTGAAGTACAGTGCTACCTTGGGTTACGCTACCTTCGGGTAACGTAACTTTTGGGTTGTGAACGCAGCAGCAGCAGCAGCAGCAGAAGAAGAAGAAGAGGAGGAGGAGGAGGAGGAGGAGGAGGAGGAGGAGGAGGAGTTGTTTGGATTTGATATCCTGCCTTTCACTCCCCTTCAGGAGTCTCAAAGTGGCTAACATTCTCCTTTCCCTTCCTCCCCCACAACAAACACTCTGTGAGGTGAGTGGGGCTGAGAGACTTCAAAGAAGTGTGACTGGCCCAAGGTCACCCAGCAGCTGCATGTGGAGGAGCGGAGACGCGAACACGGTTCCCCAGATTATGTGACTATTGCTTTTAACCACTACACCACACTGGCTCTGTATACTTCTGGGTTTCACCCCACGTGCATGTGCAGAAGCGGCACCTCTTGTTGAGGCCTTTTCGGGTCGCGGACGGACCCCCGGAACGAATTAAATTCGTATCCGGATGGTCCACTGTAACATTATTCGGGTCACAGAAGATACTTGAAACTGTCTCACAAACTCCAGCAGGTGCAGAATGCTGCAGCGAGGCTCCTCACGGGGTCCCTGCCCTGGGAGCATATTCACCCAGTGCTTTACCAGTTGCACTGGCTCCCGTTGGAGTATAGGGTCAGCTTCAAGGTGCTGGTCTTGACCTTTAAAGCCCTTTGTGGTTTAGGGCCCTCGTATCTACAGGACTGCCTCTCCTGGTATGCCCCACGGAGGACCTTAAGGTCCATGAATAACCATAGTTTAGAGGTCCCGGGCCCTAAGGAAGTCAGACTATCCCACACCACGGCCAGGGCATTTTCAGTAATGGCTCCTACCTGGTGGAATGCTCTGTCCCATGAGGCTAGGGCCCTTCAGGATTGAACCTCCTTCCATCGGGCCTGTAAGACAGAGCTATTCTGCCTGGCCTTTAATTTGAATTCAGCCTGATCTTTTATTTCCCTTCCCTTCTCTTCTCTTCCCTCCCCCTCCCCTTTTATGAAGATCACCCGCTCTGAGACCCCACAGCTAATTCTCCCCTGGCCTCCTCGCTGGCCCAAGTAGGACCAATTCAGCCAGCTAGCCCTGGGGATTATCTAATGCTTATTTCCCCTAAATTGATTTTTGAATTTTGAATTTTATTGTTATTCATGTTTTTATACTGTATTTTATGCTGCTTTTATAATTAAGTGTTTTAAATTTGTTGTTAGCTGCTCTGAACCCGGTTTTGGAACCGGGAAGGGTGGGGTATAAATACATTATTATTATTATTATTATTATTATTATTATTATTATTATTATTATTACGACACCCTTAAAGAAACCCATGCACGAATGCATGGAGCTCACCTATTAGAGCAGTGGTTCTCAAAGGTTGTGGCGCACCATACTGGTGTGGCAGGAGCGGATGGCAAGGGTGGTGGGAAGATTCAAGGGCAACTGAGCATTTGAACACTTTGCTGTCGTATTAGACAGTATACTATAGTAACAAGTCCAATTTTTTTGTTTGCTGAATTTGGATACCTTTTCAAAATTAGATACTGTGATAGGAATTTTATGGCTTTAGATATATGGCAACGTTCATAACCACACGTACATAGATCAGCACAGGAAAGCCAACCTGGAACCATTTTGATTCCTAAACTGAGCAAATGTTTCTCTGCATGGTAAAAATGGAAAAGCCTCCCCATTGTCTCTTCCTTCACAAATCCTGTCTTAATCTGTGTTTGAATAAGGGTGTGAGCCTTATCATTACAAAAGACTGCCAAGGCTCCCCAAGAAATCCAATCAAGTGACCTGCCAGACAGGAAATAAACAAAGCGACAGGAGAAAACAACATGCAAATGTTCTGTTTTAGACCGCCTTATCTGAGGGGCGGTCTTCGGTTACACCCCTTCTGTGATGAATGCATAATGTTTCTGGGGGTGGTCTTGATCTAGAGGATGGGAATTTCAAAAGTCTTTATAAGCCCTTGCACAGCATTTTTGTGGGTCCTCTTCCTCTCCTGCGTGTGAGGGGAGCACCCTGTTGCAACACATTAATAAAGATCAAGCTTACTAGCTGCTTTGCTTCTCAATATTCTCTGGTTGGCCTCTGTTATTTTCTCCTACCAATAGGGAACCTATGTAAGGACTCTATATGGGCTCTTGGATACCCCATAAGGGAAAAGGGCATATTTTTATTTACAACAATACTGAGGACAATCTCACCATATAAATGAGATTACCCGGCCAAAGCAGGCTCACACCTCTCATTGAGGTTATATACATACGTAAGGTACTGTTAGAAGAATTTTTAGGTCTTATATATATAAAAAAAATCTTCATAAATGTACCAAGCAAACACATATATAAATATATAAACCACATCCAAAACCCACAGGAAAAGTCCTAAAGCCATTTTGTCTCTCAGTTACCTCAAATATTTCTCCACAAGGTCGAAGGAAATGCAGAAACCTCCCCATTGTCTCTGTCCTCACAAATCCTGCCTTAAGGGCACATTTAAGGTGTGAATAGGGTGAGCCTGTGACCTGGCTCAGGAATTAAGTATTATCATTACAACAGAATGGCCAGGCTCCCCAGGTAATCTAGTCAAGTGACCATTAACAGGAAACCTGGCAGACAGGGTAAAAACAAGGCACTCAGATTTCTGTTGTAGACCACCTTTTCTGTGATGTAGGTATGATGTTATCTGTGGGGTGGTCTTGGGCTACATCCCTTGTTTGATGTATGTTTGATGTATTGGGGGGTGGTCTTGAGCTATAGGGTGGCAAGTTCAAAAGTCTATATAAGGGCTTGCACACCATTCTTCTGGGTTCCTCCTCCCTCCTGCGTGGCGGGGGAGGGGGTGAGCACCCTGTTGCAACAGTTAATAAGGCTTACTAGCTGCTTTGCTTCTCAATATTCTCTGATTGGTCTCTTATTTTCCCCTACCAATAGAGAACCTACAAAAGGAATCTATATGGGCTCTTGGATACCCCAAAAGGGAAAAGAGGCAGTTTTTTTTACTTATATCAGTACATATGTAAGCGGCTAGTTTATAATTCTATTTTGGGAACGATTCACATTCCTATGTAGCTGCCTTGTTTTATACTTTCTGGGTGTCCCGTGATCATAATATAAAGTATTTGTGCTCCATTTTATAAATCAAGCACGGTGAGGTGGTTTGTTTGTTTGCTTGTTTTCCCCCAATGTATTTCTTATTAATTAAAAAAAATGGTGTGACGTGAGGAGATTTTTCTTCTGAAAGTGTGGCCTGGAGGGGAAAAAGAGAGAACTACCGCATTAGAACTACGAGCCATGGACACATTGTCCTCTCTGCTGCCATAAACCATCACCACATTGATGCGTGGATATTGCAGGCCTTAACCTCACCCCAGTACACTTCGCAAGACCTCAAGGCCAGAAAAAGGGTGAAAAATAGCTACAAAACTGATGCGGGTACTTTTTATTATGAAAAAATATTTCTCATGGGCAGAAGCACCACAGTCATCTCCATTTACACAGCAGAATGTGCATCTACGATCTAGCTTCAACAGCACCTGTAAAAACAGAGGGAAGCTTACTAAGATTTAGACAGCTGTTTCAACTTCCGCTCTCTATGGGAATACAGACCCGCTGCTGGATTTTAAAACTGACCCTGGAAGCCAAGGTGAGCACTGACAAACAAGCAGAGAGAATTCTCAGGGATTCCTGTTGCAGCTTCTGAATTCTTGAGAATTCTCTCTGCACCCTCCACCTTCTTAATACATCACGTTCCACGTTCATGTTGGAATCCAATGGCTTGGTGTTGCAAGGAGGAAGCCCAAACAGCTACCCAAAACTTCTAAAAGCTGATTACTTTTCTATAATTTTGTGGCAAACTTCTAACACTGCCTGGCCCTCGCTGATACGGATCCTGCACCGAGCACAATATGCACACCCAAAACACACACCAAAAAAAAGGAGTGCAGCCCCCAGACCCCACCATTGCAGCATCTTCAGATCTCCTCTGTCCACAGATAACCAACAGGCCTTTTGTGAGAGTTCAGCTGAACACCAACCCCTTAAACCTCCCAAGCTTGATAAAGAGTATATGCAAGCCTCTGTATCCAATCTAGTTACATTTTCCAGGGGTATTCTGTCAGTTCTCTTTAGATTAAACCAGCCAACTATCCTGTGGGGCGTGTCATTTTAGGGGTTAAACCATGGGTAGGCAAACTAAGGCCCGGGGGCCGGATCCGGCCCAATCGCTTTCTAAATCCAGCCCGCGGACGATCCGGGAATCAGTGTGTTTTTACATGAGTAGAATGTGTCCTTTTATTTAAAATGCATCTCTGGGTTATTTGTGGGGCCTGCCTGGTGTTTTTACTTGAGTAGAATATGTGAGTTTATTTAAAATGCATCTCTGGGTTATTTGTGGGGCATAGGAATTCATTCATTCCCCCCCAAAAAAATATAGTTTGTCGCCCCCCCCCCAAGGTCTGAGGGACAGTAGACCGGCCCCCTGCTGAAAAAGTTGGCTGACTCCTGGACTCAATTTTTTCAATGAGGGGGTCTTTAATTTTGGCGTGTGAGTAATTCAAATCTGCTATTACTTTTGTGACTGGACAACATTTAGCTTGCTAAGTCTGTTTTTAATGAAGAAGCACATAAACTGCTTTCGGGGAATTTTTATTTTTACCTTCTGAAAATGTCAGGTAATGCTAAATAAAATTAGTAATACTATAAAATATAAACACAAGTACTTGAAAATCATTTTTTCTACGCAAGTTTACAAACATTTTACTTCCCAGGCAATACTAAATTATATTGATTTAACCCAAATATATCTTCAATTTCCAAGTTATGTTACAACCCCTTTTAGCGCTCCTCATTTTGGGAATCTGAAAGCTGGAAAATTCAACGCCTCAAAAAAACACCACATGCATTGTGACATGAACTTTTTAAAGCAGAAGTTAATTTCCTAGCATGCTTTAGGATTTCGTATTTTCCTTTCCAGATCTTTGATTATTATTATTTTTTACAAAGGACAATTGACACAACTGTGTCCTAAACCTTTCTGAAAGCCAGAACTATATCCATGGTCTCTGCATACAATGCTACCTTGCTTTATCGCAACCTAAAAACCAGAAGCACAGCAGGAAATGGCTGACAAGTGTGGTATCTTTGATAAGGATGAAAGGGAAAAGGGAAAAGTAAACACAAAACACATCTGTTTGCATTAAGCCAGGAGACCCCCTCTCTTGGTGAATGCATGCATTAGAACTTCACAAAGGCTGATGAGTAAGTAGCAAAAGAAGGTGAGGGGAACTCACACAGAGAGGAAACTCTTTTAACTCACACAAACAGCTCAGCTCACAGATTTTCAAATCTGATATAAAAAGACTAGCCAGAGGGCCGAGCTTTTGGTGTGGGTGTGCAATTCACAGAAGCTTTTTGTTCTCATTCTTATTTCTCAAACAGTAGTGGCTAAACCCCAGCCGCCTGATCCAGCCCATCAAGCCATTCTTCTGCCCCCCTCTCCCTCTGTAAATCTTCTCCAATTTTGATGGTGGCAGAAAAATGGGAGGGGGACCATAGACACAGAACTGGGCAGTGAGGGAAGTTTGTGTATAAACACATGTATGGGTGCGTGTGAGAGAGAGACTGTGGGTGGCGACACTCTAGCATATACACCCCAGGGTGTATACAGTTCTCAGGTTAATAATAACACTAATCAGCACTGGTTTGGACAATACTCCATAGGTTTGAAGTTTTTAATGTTTGATGTTTTATTGTGTTTTTAATATTTTGTTGGAAGTCGCCCAGAGTGGCTGGAGAAACCCAGCCAGATGGGTGGGGTATAATTAATTAATTAATTAATTATTAGTATTACTACTACTACTACTACTACTACTACTACTATCCAAGTGTGGAGTTGGTTTGCCAGCCTCACCTCCACCACCCAGGCAAATGGATATGTCCCAATGTGGCCTACGTACATGGAACCATACCATGGAGGCCAACATTATGGGGCTAATTCCCCATATCAAAATCTGGGAATCAACCATGTGATTTTGGCTACATATAGGGGCTGTACAGGCATAGATACAACTGCATGGATGGTGGAGGCAGCATCAGGCTTCATTTAAAGAGCAGGATTGGGCCCTTGAAGTATCATATGAACAGGTGCATTGTTCACTCTGAAACTGAAAGAGGGTTGGGGGCGAGAAAACTGCATCTTTCCCCCCAAATTGGAATCTGCACCCCAACCCCCCTCCTTCAACCCACCTCGCCCCAAATCCCTCAAACAGAATAAAAACTCTACTCTCGGCAGTGGACTTTTCCACATTTATATTACACGCACATACTTGCAGAGGCTTAAACAGCCTTTGTTCAGAAGATTTGTTGCAGTGTTACTTGTTTCTGTTGGTAAACAAAAGGTAGTTACTAGGAAGCTGGGCTTCCGGATTCCATTATTGTACGGTTAAAGGGCAACAGAAAAGATATCCTTTAATGGATCAAAGAACTGGTTACAATGCCATAAATAGTTGAACTGTTATGGGAATCAAGTTAATGTCCACAGGACCAAGTCTTGCTGTGCTCAGAAAATGAAATGGTAAAAAAAACCCAGAATACGTTCACGAAGTTGTACTTGGCTGGGCTTTGCTCAAAGTGATATTTGCAGAGAGTAGAAAGCTGGACTTCCTAAGTCAGATCTGTGCAGCTTGTGACCGGCCATTAGTTGATAAAATTCCCTGGCTTTGCTGCCTGTTTGGGACTGCAAAATCAGAGCGGTTTTCAAGCTCATGGCAAGCCCCGTACATGGCTAAAAACTGTGTTTGCATTGCTGCTGCTTTTATAGTTACCCACTTTCATTGGGGAGCATTTCGTAAGTGAAATGAAATAAAAAATTAAATCAAATCCCTTTGGTGGTGGAGGGAGGGAGAAAAAGAAGACCGTGCCACTCCAAAAGGTAAGTTTGGAGGCCAATTTAACCACATCATGCCCACCTCTAGGAAGACAGTGGTTATGTTGTTGTGGTAGAATCACCTTAACTGCATTGAGAAGCTTTCAAACAACATTTCCTTGTGCCCAGAGGCTGGATAGGAGCTTCCAGCCCTCATTTCTTTAGGATCAACATGCCAGAATCTGTCTAGGGAATGTGTTAGTGGCTGGTCAACGTCTACCAAGTGGGTTAGAAGCTCCCAACCAAACTCTGTTAGGGTTCAAGCTTCAAGGGAACAGAAATATATCAGTGCAGACAAGATGATGTTCCTGGCAGACAGCAAGATGTTCATAACGAACGAAGGTTTACGGGGTGACCTTTTTCGAAGGAGGAACCAAGAAACTGAAAGATTCCAGGTTACCCACATGTATACATTGTTAAGAGAGGCACTGTTCAAATGGCATCACAGTGCTGCTCTATACAGCATGTGTGAGCAAGAGGGGGTCTCTCTTTCTGGTTACTCCAGGTTGCTATTTTGCTGCTGTTTTGTCTCTTCCCCTGTGTTTTGAAAACAACAGCTCAATATAAAAACCAAGCAAGTGAAATGTTTCCAAATCTGGAGATTAAATGGTGGGGAAAACCTCGTTTGGATTTGTAAGACTTCAACAAAGTTGCAACACCAGCTATCAGGTTCTAAAAATCCAAAAAACTAAGGCTTGTAGGGAGAAGACAGCTGAAGTCACCCATATGCTATTTCTCAGTTTGTCATACCTTGCTCCATCCCATGGTCAATGCATTTGATGTCAACATGAAATCTATCCAATCTGAGGTACACAGCACCTGAGCATTCAAAACATGGCAGATTTGGCAAGATGACCCTTCTCTACAAAAATAGAAAAGAAAGAAGACTGGATACTTACCCAGAAGATTATGTTGTAGCTGAAAAGCAGGTATTTGTACCAACAGCTGACTTCAGCAGAAGAATACCGGTAATAGTGCATCTTTTATAGAGCTGTGACTACGTAGAACCAGAAAAAAAGAAAAGAAAGATCAGTAAGAAGGAGAAACGCAGTGGCATTCAACATACCCAAGCCACACCAATAGTCCATAATCATTGGTTAAGTAGCGTAATTCCATATTGACTCACACGGCATTTGGGCATGTAATCTTTTTTTGTTAGCTAGTATAACCACTGAGCCTCTTGGGCTTGCTGATCAGAAGGTCGGCAGTTCGAATCCCCACGACAGGGTGAGCTCCCGTTGTTCGGTCCCAGCTCCTGCCCACCTAGCAGTTCGAAAGCACGTCAAAAAGTGCAAGTAGATTAAAAGGTACTGCTCCGGCAGGAAGGTAACTGGCATTTCCGTGCGCTGCTCTGGTTTTCCCAGAAGCGGCTTAGTCCTGCTGGCTACATGACCCGGAAAAACTGTGGACAAACGCCGGCTCCCTCGGCCTGTAAAGCGAGATGAGCGCCGCAACCCCAAAGTTGTCTGCAACTGGACTTAAATGTCAGGGGTCCTTTACCTTTTTTTTAATTTGGGTGTTATTTGGGATCTTCCCTACATAAATAATCAAGAAGTAGGCCACAGATAGTTTATATGCTTCCTTTTAATTGTGTTTTAAAAGGTGTGGCCAACATAACAGTTTGTCAACCTCAAGAATTTATCTGCAACTTGGACAATTCTACTCCCCCATCTGTAATAATACGCATAAGCAGCTAATGTTTTACGGGAGAGGGCCAAACCTGAGCTAACATTTATTAGAAATTGGGGGGAAAGTTTGCTGCAAAGTATGTGTGAGCAACATAGCAGTTCATTGGCATACACAAATAAAGGCTTCCAAAGCAACAATTATGTTTACATAACACTTTATTGTGCATTCACAAATTTCAGTTCAGCAGGAAGTCCATGCGATAAGTTGTAAAGCCCAAAAGAAATTGACTGTGGCAACATTTTAGTACGTTGTTTCTTTTCAACAAATCCAAACCAACATCTCATCCATGCACTGAGACCACAAAGATGAGGCTGCCTAGCCACCCCTGAAAGTGCAACTGGTAGCTTTTCAGAGAACACTACCTTTGAGTTCCTGGCTTTCAGCATCTTGCCAAGCAACCAAAATTTGGCTTCCAGGACCTCACAACTACATTTCCCCTTATTACTGGTGCCAACATGCACCACGACCACTGACTCAACACTATCTACGATCAGTTCTCTGCAAGTCTGCCTAGCACCTATCAACCTCCCATGCTGGGTGATATCTGGTTTTCAACATTGTGATATATCACCAGCTAAACATTGTGATATGCTGATATATAACCATGTGTGGAATAAGGATGGAACTATGTAGAGGCACTGCGTGGTTTTTGTCGGCGCCTGCTCTTGTGATTCACTGCCCCCTGCATGAAGCAGGAGAGAGCTGAGCCAGCAGAATGAACAGGGGCTGCAGGAATCAAGAGAGTATTGGCTGGCTTCACGGTTTCCCCCATATTGTGATTTTTGCATGGCACACACACACACACACACACACACACACACCATGATTCGTGATATATTGCCAGGTCAAAAATTATGAAACCAATATCACAATATGGACTGGGAGTGGGGCTAAGTAAGCCCATAGATCAGGGATTCCTTCACTACTGCTTTCAGCTCTGGCTTTCTGTCTCACTGCTTATTTCCCATCTCTGCAAAAAAATAAAAAATAAAAATACTGCAATGAACCTTGACTTCAGCGCAATGATCCCCAAAAGGTTTTATTCAGGTATAAACAAGTATCACAATACACCTGTAGACAAAGACATGTAAAAACAACCCAATACTGTATTCAACAAATGATGAGCATGCATTTGTGAACCAGCCCTGAGAATCATGTTCTCCTTTCCACGCCTGCGAATAACTACCGTATTTTTCGCTCTATAACATGCACCCGACCATAACACGCACATAGTTTTTAGAGGAGGAAAAAAAAAATTCTAAATGAAACAGTGGATGTATGATTTTTGTGGTTCATGCTGTGGCCACAGACATGTGATCTGACGGTGAGTTTGGGGTAGCCCAATGCAAAACTCCTGAGCATCCATGTGGATCCATGCTTTGTAACCATGTTTTTGCACCACTGCGGCCCCAGGCAACAGTGGGTGCGTGATTTTTTTGGTGCAAGCTGTAGCCATGGACATGCTATGTGATCTGATGGTGAATTTGGGGTGACCCAGTGCAAAAATCCTGAGGATCCATGTGGATCCGTGCTTTGTAACCAGGCTCTCTGTCCCTCTCTTCTCCCCACTGTTTCAAAGCGAGCAAAGCGAGCCACAGAGGAGGGAAGGAAGGGGAACCATGGATCCACTGCTCACGACTGCAGCAGATCCCCCCACCATCCGTGGGCATTCGCTCCGTAACACGCACAGACATTTCCCCTTACTTTCTAGGAGGAAAAAAGTGAGTGTTATGGAGCAAAAAATACGGTATCCTGCATGGCCTTGGCTCTGTCTCAAATAACACAGCTTAACTTACTTTCTTCACTAAACTCAAAATGCTGTAGCTTCCAGGCTGTAAAAATAGTCAAGGAAAAGACTTTCAACTCTCTTCAAAGTTTGAAGATTAGTCAGCCAATTGCCTCATAGTACTTTCATCATGTAAAAAGACAAACGGCTAGCACAGCCTCTCCAACCCACTCCAGACTCAGATTTGTTTACACTACTGCAACTGTAACGCTGAACAGATCAGCAGTGAGAGCCTCAAAACCAGAGACAGAAGTCTTCCTTTCCTCTGCCCTGAATGAGGTAGGCAGAGTTGACACTTTCAGCAACAGCAGAAAAGGATAATGGCAAAAGACAAGAGGAATAGTATTAAGACAGTGCGAAAATCTGTTCCGATATTCTCTGCTCATTACAGATTCTCTGAACATCAGCACGAAACTAATCATTTGAACAGCCCTGAATTGATCGACATCCTTGGTGTGGAACCTGGTATTCTACCAGCATTTTAAAAGTTACCACCAAAGGTGGCATATGTGGTTCCTCCGCTCCTGCATTTTATCCTCACAGCAAGGTAGGTTGGGCCAAGAGATAATGAATTATCCCTTCACCCAGTGAGCTGTTCATCTAAGTGGGGCTTCAACTCTATATCTCCCTAGTCCTTGTCCGACTCTAGTGTTATGGTTTCACACTAGCTCTCATCTTCAAAAATTCAGGCTTTATGTGCTTTCTTTCTATCAGATCCACATCAATTAATTCCTCCCATTCCTTCTAGAATCCATCTTCCATTCAGAGGACACACACACAGCCCCTTTCTACTTATCCATCAGGTGCTACCAAGTTTCCCTGCTGACCCATTCACATTGTCAGCAACCGTTCCGCCAACAAAGGTTTCTGCAAGAAATTTGGTTTCTGCAATAAATTCAAACAACTGCAATTTCTCCTACTACTGTGTTCTTTTCCAGTTTCTTGTGTCCAGTGATGGACACTGGAGGACCATAAACAAAGTTTTCTCCATCAGCCTAGTTTAAATGTAAATGGAATGAATCCTAGCTCATTAGGTGACCAAGAATTTCTGCACCGGGGTTAATAAACAGAAATTATCCCCTGCCCTTAGTTTCTCAACTGCTGAAGCAACAAAAGCCAGGCCAAAATCAGAACAAACCTTTTACATATTCTAGAAATGCCCTTGGCTGCCAAGTGGAAACAACACTCGAGTGATGGATTGCTATGTCCTCTGAAGGCATCTGTGCTATCAGCCACTCGCCTCAAATTGTGCTTGGGCGGCGCGGCGGCAGCAGGAGGCCCCATTAGCTAAAGTGGTGCTTCAGGTTAAGAACAGTTTCATGCTAAGAACGGACCTCCGGAACAAATTAAGTACTTAACCTGAGGTACCACTGTATTCATATTTTAAAAGCAGAACCCTTAAGCAATACTGCCTTTCATACTGTTTGGCACCTGCCAAAACGCTCCCTTCCACACAACTATCTATGGCACAAGAGTCCTTCTGGACATATCACTGGTCAGCCATAGACTCAATATCTAGCCTCGGACAAATCCTTTTCTTTCCGTCTTAATTCCCATCCTATAGAAGGGAGTTCAAAAGTTACGGAGTAAAAGCAGTGAAGGATTCTTCTAGCAGATTAGCTATCTGGCCATGAATGGGCTACTTTTTCACAATCTCTAAGGTAGGAGATGTGTTGGCAGACCTTTGGAAGGTAAGATGTGGGTGTGTGCAAGGAGGAAAAAGAATTGGAGAAGGTGGGACAAGAACTAGATCTGAGGAACATCACATCATAATGTTCAGCTGCTAGGGCTTTACAGGGACATAATTTATGTCGTCCCCCCCCCCCAATTTCTTTTTTTGGTATCTTGAACGGTTTAATGGATTTATTCTGAAGAACAAAAAATGCACACTTTAGCAAAATTGCAGAAAATGTGATGCATGACTTGTCCGCTGTACCCGACACGTACACTATGTTTACCAAACCCGTATTTCAAACAGGACCTATGTCATGTTCCAACATTCTCCACCCAGCACCCAACCCACAAAGGCAGAAAAGGAAGCTAACATTAAAAACAGGGAAACTGGGCAAGCTGCATGTCAGCCAAAACATCAACAACAATAATTATGGGCTCTAAATCCTGCTTTTAAAAGAATCCAAATCTATACCCTATGTAGGCTTGTGTAAAATGTAAAGTGCAACTCTTCTTGCCCCAAGGCAGTTCCTTTTTCCGAGAGATTTGCAGGACACAGTTGAAGAATACGGTCTTCCTGTAACTCAGACACTACAGTGCCTCCCCTACTGAGGAACTGCTTTACAAAAGCACAACGTCAGAAGGAATCAGATGCCAAGTGTGGAAAGTGCACTCCAAGGCAGGGGTTGCCAACCTTTTTTGGACCAGTGGGCACAATTTTAATATTTAGGGAGTGTCGGAAGCGTCAGTCCCAAGCTGGCTGAGTTCAGGGTATGTGGCATAACCAAAATGGCTGCCATGGGGAGAGTGGCATAACACAACATTAGAGAGACAACCACCCCCAACGACCTTATGATTACCATGGGAAATCAGTTGGGTCTTGCTGGTCCTAGTTATGGAGATTTCACACAGACAGACACTGGTGCTGTTACTGTCTAGTAACAAGGAACAATTCTTATTACCAGTAAAAATGTACAAGGCAGCCACACCACCCTCATTTCACAGAACTTGTTTAGATTAGAAGTTAACAGCACATTTTGCCCCATAATGTCTTATTTTCCCCTAGGAGGGCCAGAAACTTACTTTAAAAACAAAACAAAAAACCACAACTGAAATCTCAGAGTCTGGGGCATCTGCCCACTGGCCTTGCTGCAAAGCTTTCATGGATGCCATGAACCCTGCTCCAAAGGATTACTGAGTTAAGATAAGCTTTTCTGGGAGTTGGCGAGCCATTTAGGCTCCTTTGCCCCGTTTCAATGCATTGAAAAGCAAGTGGAGCTGTGATTATTTGAGTATTCTTGTGAGGCCCCAGTATATGGAAGAGGCTGCTTAGTAGGTTATAGCAGCTAACGTCCAGGCCACTCTAGCTTAGCCTTACCTTGTGTATGCCTGTTAACTTTCTTATTCTACTTGATGTGCCTTCTTCCTACTATCAGACCCTTTTAATAAGCTTTGTCTTGCTTGCCTGGTATGGCCTTTTTCCTGACACAGCCCCTTAGGGGTTTTCATATCCTGAACCGACCCAAACTTCCTTGTTGGATCTCAAACAGTTAAAACGTTTACACTAGGGTGAATCTGTATTCCTAACAGGAGGACTTCGGAAATCAGTGTTGTTTCTCACCATCCCCCACTCCTGCCTTCCTGAACTAAGAGATATATTTGTTTGCACAAAAAATTGCACACACATGTGCTAACTTACAAAGCACTACCTACAACTTTTTGCAAACAAAAGCAGTTTTGGACATGGCAGATTTGAGGGGAGAAGTGATGGGGTGTGTGTGCTTAAAATCCATTTCCTGGTTGTTGTTTGGCCTACCCAAATTTTGCTCCCCAAGCTGATTCCTAACACAGCCCAAGAGGCTTCAGACACATGTTTGGGAGACTACAAGAGTTTAGATCCTGGAAGGAGGACAAATAGTTGGAGGGGTGGGGCACCATTTGAAGTTGAAAACTAAGCTTGCCAGGAAATGCTTAAGCAACCCCTCTAAACCACTTCTCTGTTCACATTCGCCCCTTTTCAAAAGCAGCTTGACTTGCAGGGGTCAGCAAACTTTTTCAGCAGGGGGCCGGTCCACTGTCCCTCAGACCTTGGGGGGGGACTATTAATGGGGGGGGGAATGAATGAATTCCTATGCCCCACAAATAACCCAGAGATACATTTTAAATAAAAGCACACATTCTACTCATGTAAAAACATGCTGATTCCCGGACTGTCCATGGGCTGGATTTAGCAGGCAAATGGGCCGGATCCGGCCCCCGGGCCTTAGTTTGCCTACCCATAAGCTAGAGTTTACCCCCAAAAAAGAAAAATAAGTTGTTGGAAATTTGTTCTAAGCATTTTGGCTAGGGGCTGGGGAGTGGATGAACCGGATTCATTTAGGCAGGAAAAGAGCAAATCTTCCGGATTGTCAGGACATTAGCATCTCACTGTTTTTTTAAAAACCACCACCATCACCACTTGGCAGGGTAATGCGGGTGAACAACTTACCATGTGGTGGAATGCACACTGAAGTTTGGCAATTTGGTAAAAAAGAAAAAAGGGGGGAGATCTGTAATCACCCTCCAACCTTTAGCTTGTTTGTGTCGTGCTTCCCCAGCTACATTCCAGATTTCCAGAAACCAACAGACTATTCAGCGTCCTTTCGAATAAAGACTTACTTTGCATGCACATAACTCATTATTGTTTGCATATTACCATGCATGCTGGTGGCGTTTAGTAGCGTTTCAAAAGCAACCATTTGTTTCGTCTATTTGTTCCATGAATGTACATTCCAAATGCCAATTCCAACTCGCACGCTGGTCTAGTTGCGTGGGTGGGTGACATTCATAAAAGGGACACTTCTTTCTTACCAAGCCCATATTTTTTCAGTGTGGCAGTTTCTCCCTTCCCCTCTGGATGGATCACACTATGTTTCTCAAGAATTCACTCCCCAGCCACCTCTAAAGCTTCATTAATAATAATAAAAATGCCTATGAAAAGACCCTGCTTTGCATATGACTGACAAAGATTGGAAGTAATTTACTGGCCAGCGAGGCAGCTTAGGGTTTCTAGATGCCTTTATTCCAACTTACATCTGAGCTAGTCTCAGAAAACAAGACACACTTTAGAGAAACTTCAATAGTGTGTAGGAACCTACATTGGAACTGAAGAGCAGTGACGACGTGCATACTGCAATTTTCGGCCAAAAATGCAGAAAAGAATTCAAGATGTATGAAAAGTTACTGTTCTTCACTGTGTTATTTAGAAAAAAAGGCTTTCCAACAAACACACACACTCTCTCTCTCTTTTTCTCTCAACTAGGATGGGGGTCATGAGAAAGTTTCACCCATTGTGAGATGACTCCTTCACTGAGAATGTAGACAACTTCTCTCAAAACGCTTTTATGTCGCAGGCCTCATCTAAAAAATAATAATGAATTGTTTGGCAGCTCTTGGGAGCCCTTTGAAAGACCTTACAAAAGTTACCCCCGAAATGACACGGCAAGAATGTGCTCAGAACAAAACAAAAAACAAACAAAAAACCCTTCAAAACTTCAAAGATGCAGCCACTCATCTGAGGCATAAATAAAGCAGCCTCTGGCTTAACCAGGAGATGCCACACCTGTTGAGAGAGGAAGCGAAACTAAGCCTGGGATAACAGATGTGGCGGAAAGGGAGGTTTGATTCTGACACGGTTTCAGTGGCCTAGAATGATACTGCCCACTTTGCTAAGGGCCTAGATGTTACTATGCAGACCTGCAAAAATCTCATTATGAGTTTTAGCACCCACTTCACACCGTAACATATCATAGGGTTTAATGCTGTGGCTGTGGCAAGACATTTTGCTGCTCAAAAGCAAACACACACACACACACACACACCCCACACACACTGGAAAGACCAAAACACATATTTGCATCTTCATCTAACCCTTCCTTCCTTCTACTTCATAAAGCCACAGTCCTATGCATGCTAACCTGCTAGTAAGTCCTGCTGAACTCAGTGGTACTTACTTTCTGCATATAACCACACCACATATCCCCACAACACACACTTTTTTCCTGTGTCCCCAACCCTACATTGCAAAACCAGAATTGGTCCCCTGAGCCCTACCTCCTCCTTGTGTTGTTGCTATGACAGCTGTTCCTCATCAGCCACACAGTCTTGCAGGTGAGCAGACAGAGCTGGCCAGAAGACATCCTGCACCATCACCCTTCCATGCCCAATAGCCACGAGCGCACACCTTGGGTCCCCTCCAACTGAAGTGGAAGGAGAGGCAGCCCAGAGAAGTCCACACCTCATATTTAGTTTTGAGTTAGAGAGAAGGAAGAAGAAAAAGAGGAACAAAGCAGAACAGCTGCAATACTGTGGTGGGGCATCAGCAAGCTCACTTTCGTTTGGTTTTTGTACGAGTAAAAAAATAATCTTCCAGTTCTGAAAGATGCCCCAAATCTGCTGCCCGAAGCAGTTCAGCTTTCTGCATAGTCAGCCCAGTCCTGACTCTTAAACCAGTCTTCCCCAACAGGGGGTTGGACTAGATGACCCTTAGGTTCCCTTCCAACTCTACAATTCTATGCTCATGCAACAGCAACCCATAAGAGATTCCACTACAACAAACAGTCTGTGTGTTTCTGATCCTGAATGGCTTCTAGTGGTGCAGCACTCAAAAGCTGCTGTCACGCTTGCAAAGCTAAGCAGGGTCTGGGATGGTTTCAAATTGGACGGGGGACCATGTGTCAAGATTCCTGCATTGCAGAGGGTTGGCTAGATGACCCTCAGAGTCCCTTCCAATTCTGAAATTCTTCATTTAAAAAACCTATACCCTGGGGGCAGTTTCCAGTAATGAAAACCAAAAACAGATGCACACACTACTACAGTGCTACCTCAGGTTACATACCGGTATGCTTCAGGTTACATATGCTTCAGGTTACAGACTCTGCTAACCCAGAAATAGTGCTTCAGGTTAAGAACTTTGCTTCAGGATGAGAACAGAAATCATGTTCCGGTGGCGCGGCAGCAGCAGGAGGTCCCATTAGCTAAAGTGGTGCTTCAGGTTAAGAACAGTTTCAGGTTAAGAACGGACCTCTGGAACGAATTAAGTACTTAACTCGAGGTACCACTGTACTCTAAATTATCCATCACTTTTACATACTTTCTCCAAGGAGGTTGCGGACTGTGCTATTTTTTTCTCACAATTACCTGTGAGAGAGATTAGGCTGAAGAATAGTGAATTGCCCCTGGACCTCCCAGAGAGCATCAAGGTCAAAACAAAGGCTTGAACCCAGGTCTGCCTGTTCCAAATCCAACCCTCCACCCATTACATCACGTTGTCCATCATGTGACCAGCAGGCGCAGCAGTTGAAAGTCAGGCTAGCTGGGAACCTTTTTTCCCATTGTGCATTTTCCCTCCAGAGGTTCCTTTCATTCGCCTATGTCTCAGCCGTGACCTGTCTGAACTCTATTGTACTGAGTAGAATGCCCAGAGAATGCTTGGGATTATAGCTAGGAGCATTGTTGCGGCAAGGCAATCAGTCATTGATGCTACCACAGAGAAGGCTAAAGTTCAGGATCCCCTAGCACCAAGCACATAAACCAAGACGCTTTCTTATTTACGTTTGCCCAGCTAAGGCGTTTTTCAAACGGCAGATGGGAAGACAGGACCAGTTCCACCACGAAGCAACCTTAAGCAGTTCGTTACAGCCAAAGGACTTTACTTTAGTTAAACTTGATGCAGCCGATGACGACAGAAGAAATTTTCTCATTCTAGTTCTGACTTGACAGGCGCAACATTTCTGCTCACGATCAACTGGGAGCAAAGGAAGGGTGGAGGGCTGATTTTACAGAAAAGCAAGGAAGAGTCAGGCAACGGGCTCTACTCAAGGAAGGGGAGAAGATTCCAGTCTCATGCTCCAGACACAGAAACCTGAACAGCAGCTGACTTCAAGTCTGCTACCAACCATCTTCGGCCTCTTGTCTGTCCTGATGCAAAAAACAAGCACAAGTGGTCCTTTTGTAAGCTAAAGAGCGGTGGACAATGGCACTATAGTTACAGAAACCAGTAAAAGCACATTTCTTCTGCCAGAAATCTGGAAAGTGCTGCTTGCAACCAGCGGCGGCTGGTGTTAATTTTTCCACTTTTAGAAATGCGTTGTTTCATAAAATTAATTAGTAACATGGTGGATGAACACAGTACAAATAAACTGGGCACCTGGAATGGTGACTAGTCAAAGCTGAAAGCCAAGCTGTACTTAACCATCCCCAGAAAGCAGATAGATATTTACATGTACAGTTCTTCATGCATGTGAAAATGAATACACTGATAGCTTTAAGAGCTTTTCTTCTTCTTTTGTCTTAAAATCTAAACAATGTAAGAGAAATGTGTGTTACTGTGTTTTTAGCAATTCTCTATTTTATATGTAAATTATATAAAAAGTCATGTTAAAGAAAAGGGTGGGGTAATGCTACTACTACTACAATTTTTATTATTATTACTATTATTATTACTGTACTACTACTACTACTATTATTATTATATGTCATTTGAAATATTTACAAGTATTCCAATAAAAATATTTTCAAGTAAAGTTTGAATGTGTTTAAGGATTTAAACACCACAGCCACAGCAATTCTTTTTTGTTGTTTGGTGGGTGGGGAGGTGAAAGCCATGGCCGAGCTATCAATGTCCTTCCCACTCACTGCAACCACAGTGGAGGCTGGATGCTCCTCTCTTTCTGCCTTCCGCATTTCTTTCTCCTTCCACTGCAGCAAACAGGAGATCCACTATATCACCTCTGGGGGTGGTGTAGCTTGAGGACTCCTTTTGGGGATGTCTGGGGAAATGGAGCGAGTTAAGGTCCTGTGTGGCGCTGTGGGTTAAACCACAGAGCCTGGGACTTGCTGATCAGAAGGTCAGCGGTTCGAATCCCTGCGACAGGGTGAGCTCCCGTTGCTCGGTCCCAGCTCCTGCCAACCTAGCAGTTCGAAAGCACATCAAAGTGCAAGTAGATAAATAGGTACCGCTCTGGCGGGAAGGTAAACGGTGTTTCCGTGTGCTGCTCTGGTTCGCCAGAAGCAGCTTAGTCATGCTGGCCACATGACCCGGAAGCTGTACGCCGGCTTCCTCGGCCTATAGAGCGAGATGAGCGCCGCAACCCCAGAGTCAGCCACAACTGGACCTAATGGTCAGGGGTCCCTTTACCTTTAAGGTCCTGTAGATCCTTGGCTGCCTCCCCACCCCACATGCTACTGGCAAAATGTACTGGTGGCAGCCTACCTATGCCAACTGAGTTTTGAGGTGGCCTCTGGTGGCGTAAGTGCTCTCTGACTGATGGACTTTCCTGCCTGGTGGTCCCTATACCTGCATTCTATGGCTTTCCACCTGCCCTTAAGCCAGCTTTAGGACTGCAGCCAGAGTTAGAAACTCATATACAGTGGTATCTCAGGTTAAGTACTTAATTCGTTCCGGAGGTCCGTTCTTAACCAGAAACTGTTCTTAACCTGAAGACCACTTTAGCTAATGGGGCCTCCTGCTGCCGCTGAAGCACGCTTTCTGTTCTCAAACGGAAGCAAAGTTATTAACCTGAAGCACTATTTCTGGGTTAGTGGAGTCCGTAACCTGAAGCGTATGTAATCTGAAGCATATATAACCTGAGGTACCACTGTATATAATATAATTGCCAAATGGCACCTTAAACCTAGGTTGTGATCGCCACAATGGGATGTCTAGGTGCCGTTTGTGTGGCCTTTTTTCGTAATTGAGTTTATTATCACCATCATCATTATTTTCATTTACATACTGCTTTATATTTTAAAGTACAAATCTCAAAGTGGTTTACAACATATCAAAACATCAAGCAAGCCAATCCAGAATAAAACAGAAGCAAGCTTCAGGAAAATATGTCCTATCCTTCTCATTTTGTTTTCCCCAGGCGCTAACCTGGCGTCCAGAGATCTCCACGTGGTCGCAACTGGACCCACATTAGTTGCAAAATGCGCCTGGCTAATTTCTAACACTGCCTGTATGCACTTTATTGACTTTCCTCCCCTGCAATCATAGAATTCATTTCAGCTACTTTTGCCTTCTTGAAAATCATTTCAGAAATTTATACAAATTTTTAATTAAAAAACATTTTATTTATTAAATGTGATGTCACTTGAATGCGCTAAATCAGATTTCTAGTGATTTAGGGCACTGAGAATTCTTCCAGATTCATTAAGCGATCCAAACTCTTCCAGAAAACCCACATTTCTATTTAGCAGTGTCTTTGTGTGGGATTTTACTTGAGGATTTTAGTTGTTTGTGTCTTTTTAGTACCTTTTCTATTGTCCAGCGCAAAGGACAGGATACAAATGTGACAGACGCTCTGAAGGCTCGACAGAAAAGGAAAGCTTATAAATAGCAGAAAGAAATGAAGTATAAACACAGTTTTTTGAGGTTGCTGAGGGAAAGAGGAGGACATTCTTTGTGGAAGCTATTCTCCTATTTCCTCATTCTTGTATCTTTTCATTATAGCCGGCAGAAGTATATCCAGCTTCCTCTGTCCCTTCCTTTGCTAGCATCTCCCAATAAATAAGGCGACCATCTGGCCACCTTCTTTAAACTAAGCTTGCACATTCATTATTGATCCTTAAAACCCTGAAGAAAAAGGAAAAAATATATATACGGGAGATTGTTCAAACAAGAGCTCTCAAAAACAGCCATTGTATAATCAAATAAAATATCCATGAAACAGTTGGGCGGGGGGGGAGTCAGTCCATTACAAAGAACTAGATCCAAGCCAAAAATTTCTCAGAAGACAAGAGAGATCCCACCCCCTCACTCCAGAAAAAGTCCACTTTGCAGATTTTTTGGCTGAATATTCTCCACCATTTTTGGTGACAGCCCCTATTTTTCCTCTACGATGCCGTGCATTGCTACTGCTGAAGAATGCAAAATGGAGGTCCCATTGCCCAAACTTGCTGCTGCAGCAGCTCCCCACCCACCCCCCAAAAAAGGAAAAAAGGAGCTGTACTATTGATACTGCTGAGGAACTGTTGGATTCAACTGCTTCTCCCTGATGAAATTCAGTGTAACAGCGTCCCAAATTCTCTGGCCGCAATAAAAAGGCTAAAGAATTTCAAGAAGTGTTTTGCATGCACAACTATAACAAAACAAAACAAAACAAAACCCACCCTGGTTGTTTTCATAAGCATCCCCAAAGACAATGTTTGGCAGACTCCCTTCAGGAAGCTGTTTCACGAGAACGTTGCCGTGACAGAGACAGAGCAGTTCTGGGTCACCATCTTCAGTCCAATTTCCAGAAGTAACTCGTGCTGTAATAAATGTGCCAGTCTTTTAAGGAAGCCGTTAGCCTTTTTGTTTCCTCTGGAAGCAATGGCAAAGCTCCACCAGGAGATCAAGATGTTAACACTTCTTGCAGACATTCGACGACTTTGGTGGTGGTGGTGTGGTTTTAAAAAGGCTTCTCCCACCCAACCCGCCATATTTGTTTGAAACTGAACCTCAAAGGCTAGGTAGTGGGCAAATGTAAATATATGCAAACTGATCAATAGTTTGCACTGCCTACTGCTCATTCCCCTGAAGAAACAAAACAATTTGTAAAGGTGGTTTCCATTTAGACAACTTTTTTGCATCTTACTAGAACTGGTCACCATCTCTATGGCCAGGAAAAGAATTGGTGTTACCAACCTCTAACACTGGTTATGAAATAGGGAGCAGACACCGCTTTCTGCCTCTTCTTCAAGGCACAGATCTCCCTCTTTTTGTCCCCTATAAGCCACTGTTTAGTGTTACTCTGCATCTGCACTAACCAGGGGGAATATTGGTTAGCATTAGCCTCTTAACCCATTTAAACGCTTGGTGTTACATCTGGGTTTGCAAACCCAGCTTAGCATGAACCATGGTTAGTGTCATTGCAGATCCAGTGCTAAGCCACATTTAAAAGCCACTGATGGAGAAGGTGAGGATTTGGAGAGGAATCATGAGCAAACAGTTCACTAAGAGATCTTAAGTGGGATCATATGTAAAAGTTCTGAAGAATTATCATTATGATTTTAATATCATATGCTTTCAAGGTAGCAGCTTCTGTACCAGACCTTTAGATCATACTCTTCCCCGCTATACACTGCCTATCAGAAAAATATCCTTCAGTAATGCCAGTAGCTTCTTTTTATCAACGCCAGAACCATAGCTAGGTGATCTCGCACCCCTGGCAGAACCGTCCAGATTGCACCCCCTAGCCACGGACAAATTAGCTCTTCTTTCCACCTCTCCTCCAACCCCAACCCCCATCCATTCGATTCACCCTCTATTTAAAACCATTTCTTATGAGGCAATAATCAACATTTATATTTATGGACATATTTTTAAGCCGATTTTGTGGAGGGACCCCCATCGCCTGCACCCCTGGTGGGGGCCCACCTCACCACCCCTTAGCTACAGCCCTGCTCAAGACACCAAGTACTTGCCTGCAGTCATTTCTGCAGCGCTGAGAAACACAAAACAAAAGCTGGGGGCAGAAACATTCTTGACCCTTCAATGAGACCGTGTATCAAGTGCTCACTCTGTCTCACACATTTGAATGACCCACACATTTTGATCCCAAAGTCATCAAGAAGCACACTCTCAATAAGAGGAAGCCAATACTCATTAGCTTGGTTCAGGTGCACATATCTTGGCTGACTAACCCTCTAACTATTTGGAGTTTGTTTAAGATCCTGACTTGTTGTGATCCTAGTAACCACAGTTTCCTGGTTGGGATGTAACAACAAACAATGGTTAATCTAAGAATTCCTAGATTTCGTTGCATCACAATAGCCCCCCCCCTTGGGTGTTCTCCATGTGACACACTCTCAACAAGGCCTCCTCTGATTGTCTTAGAAGCAGAAAGACGTACGAGAGATAAGAAAATCCCAAAGGTATGCAGGTTCCAGACCACATAGACCATAAACATAATAGCCAGCAGGCTAAAAATTGTGCATGATAGCAAAATTTACAAGTACTTTCCACACAATCCCATCGTGCTGTGGAAACAGAGCTAAAAGGCATAGCCTTGAACTTTTGTCACCCAACTGAAAGCCACCGTTTGCGGAACAGTGACACATTATGGAAACCACTCTCTGGCTCTCTCCTATGGCACTATCTGTGAGGAATTCGTTACTGAACAAAAAGCAGTGTTCACTGTGTGACCATCCTATGGCACTGGGACCCCACAAATGTGCAGTCATTCGCTTGACTTCAGGTCTCAGTGTCCTCTCCACATCAACTGCTAAGAGCTTGGCGAATGGATGTAAAGATTCACAGTGTAAGCGAGGAAAATGAGGATTGCTGCAGGGAACCCATCTTCAGTGGTGCTCCTGTCATTACACCAACACAGGATTTGGCCCTTGGCTAGCTTCCAGGTCTAGAACTACAACAGGTCCTCCTTCCAAGCCACCACAGATTGCAGGTGTGATCCCTGTATGGGACAGCTGCATATTCAGGTTGGACGAGATGATCCTCAGGCTCTCGTCCAACTCTGTGATTCTATGGCTCTGATAGTACCACTCCACACCTACAATGTTTCACCCCTGTTCAAGGAAACAGGCTCTGTTTTTATTCAGAAATAAATTTAGTCTGCCAACTAACAAGAGGAATTTAAAATCAGAGCTGCTAACTGTGAAGTAACTGGAATGCTTGGTGACTCAATGGGAAGTACAAGGCAGGGAGTGGTTGTGTCTGAAGCATCAGCATATCAGTACCAGATGAGACTTTGCCTTGCCTAGCAAATCCACAGGCAGGGCCACTCCCAAGAGTTGCGAGGTTTTATCATTTTGTGTCCAGGCAAAACGTTTCTGGCCAGTGCCACCTTTCTCACTTTGCACAGCGCACCCAAGAAATTCAGGTTACCCACAGTCCCATTTTCCGGCCTCCCAAGGATACCCTGCCCAGCAAGGGCTTTTCCAAGGACCCAGCGTATCCACAGGAACAACCAAACTGAGTGAGCACAATGTGGAAGAAGATAGCTTTCTACATGCAAGAAGTTATTCTCTGTAAGTCTGCAAGTTTCCCTTTGTAAGTCCCTAATCCCCTCAAAAGAGTTCCAACTCGAAGAGTGGTTTAACACTAAATCCCTCTTCCCAGGGAACTCTGCAAATTGTAGCTCTTTAAAGGAAATAGGGGCAACTCTCAGCACCTTTAACAAACTACACTCCCCCCCCCCAATTCTTTGGGTGAACCCATGTCTGTTAAAGTGATATGATCCTGCTTTAAATGTAAAGTTCAGACAGGGCCCAAGAAGCTAACCAATTCTTTCTTCACCACGGACAACAGGGCAGCATCCTCTGCTGCACAGGAGGGCAGGCCGCATGAAACGCACACCTTTTCTTTCCATCCTGCCAATGTACTCCACCCTGCCTAACAGTAGGGCCGGCATGCAGTTAGCTGAAGACAGATAATAAATTCAGCAGTAGGAGTTATTCAGCTGGATGGTTTAGTTTTGAGCCTACTAACTTGCCATCATCCTATGAACGACAACAAAAATGTTAGCACATTTGCAAAGCTAAGCAGTACGGTTTCAAATTGAGTGGAGGACCACATTTTGAGATTCCTGCTTTCCAGGGGGTTAGACTAAATGTCCCTTTCTAAGTCTACAATTATATGATTCTATGAACCCCCATTTATCGGATGCAAAATGTCTCACCACTAGTATACTGTTAGTTTACTACTAGTTTTATCAGGAAAAAATATAGCGTCACTTATCTAAACTTTTCACCTGAAAACAAGCAACTAAGTAGTTCAGAAAGCCAAAGGGATGAGACAGGGAGTGGCAAATAAGTCATAATTTTCCTGTCAAATGAGCTACGCAAACACTCAATGGGAAGCCAGGAAATTGCTCTCAGGAAAATGTTCAGCAGAACTGAATTCAGTTTTCATGGGAGGAGGGGGGAATACCTCTCAATACAAGTTAAAGCTCCTCTTCCCCAAGTCTGCCGATTTAAATATTTCAAAGGAGGGAAACTTTAAAAAACACACACACACACACTCATCTGCCTTCCCCAATGGAGAATGAAAGAAACAAACCTCTGATAAATAGGATAGTTTATTAATATGTCAGGGAAAAGATGTGTACGTTCAACAGGAAAAGCACTTTAAGTTCATCAACCCTTGAGTTTCAGTCTTGTTTTTAAAAACAGGAGCAGCCAAGCAGCCATGTGAAACTAAGGGGCCGATTGTTTTTAGATGCTTTCACCCGAAATCGAGTTAAATAAAGGTGGGGAAGAGAAACGACCCAGCTCCCAAAACCGAGACAACAATACACAAAATTCTGGTTTTGGTTGCTTTCGGAACTCGAAAGCGGAAAACTCTCTGCCCAAGCTGAACTTGCTATGGGCCTTCTGAAAGCCCTCCCCGTTTCCTGAAAGGCCCTGCAGCTCACCAAGGGGGGGGGATATATGTAAATATATATATTTGTCCACGTTCTGCGAGCAACTCGATCCCAGTGGGCAAGGCTCGCGCAAGAGGAGCCTTGGAGCGGAGAGCAACAAAGCGAAAGACAACAGGGTCGAGAGAGAAAACCAGCAGTTAAAGTTCTAGCAACAACAACCGGGTCGGGCAGCAGAGGCGAGCGCGAAGCTCAGGAGCGCACAGGAAACCGAACTTACCAAGTAGCAGGGAGCCTGGCAAGTTTCCACCAAGTTGTGGGGGGAGAACCCCGAAGTGCCTTCGAGGAAGAGACAAATTCAGCTCCTTTCGTGCTTTAAGCGTTCCATGAGTCCGCCTGAATGCCGCCCAAGGAAAGCGAGCTTGGAGAGGAGCGAGGTGGGCGTCGGGGCTGCCCTCGTTGCGCTCTGCCTGTTCTTGGGCAGAACAGGAAATCTCGCCTGGCCACGCCTGTTTTACAACCCGGCGCGCCCTCCCCCACCGACGTTTCTTTCCTTTCTTTCTCTCTCTCTTTCCCTCGCGAAGTGCGAGGCCGGGGACAGCGAGCTTCCTCTCCCTTCCTGCGCGCGGCATAACATCCGTCGAGCCGCGCTGCGTTTTGGAGAGCCTGGTCGCAGCCTTGCGCGGAGAAGCCCCTTGAGAGCAAGGCGTCGCGCGTCCCTCTTTCTGCGGGGGGGGGGGGGTGTCAGGGGTGGCAATTTGAATAAAATATTGAGGGGGCAGGTAAGCCCCGCCCAGCATAATCGATCACATGATGCTGTGTATTCACACTATTTGATTGGCAGTGTTCGTCAACTGGGGAGGGGGCAACCCCGTTAAATATTTTATGGGAGGGCAAAGACCACTCGACCCCTAAGAGTTAGTTTCTATGGTGGGGGTGTATAAAAATGCATGGCCAGGCATTATAAGCTCAACCTTGGGGGGCCAGGTTTTGTCCCTTCAACTACAAGTCCCTTCATCCCTGACCACTGGTCCCCCTGCTTGCTAGGGTTGGTGAGAGTTGTAGTCCCATAACATCTGGGGAGCCAAGGTTGACAAAGGTTGAGCTAAGAGTATCACCACCTGGCAGAGTCAGAGATTTCTAAGTCCTCTCTGTGCCCAGTTCCTGGTGGCACAATTTAATAAGGATATTGGGCTGATCGCCGAAGAACTGATGCTTTTGAATTATGGTGCTGGAGAGTCCCATGGACTGCAAGAAGAACAAACCTCTCCATTCTTAAGGAAATCAGCCCTGAGTGCTCACTGGAAGGACAGATCCTGAAGCTGAGGCTCCAATACTTTGGCCACCTCATGAGAAGACAAGACTCCCTGGAAAAGACCCTGATGTTGGGAAAGATGGAGGGCACAAGCAGAAGGGGACGACAGAGGACGAGATGGTTGGATAGTGTTCTCGAAGCTACCAGCATGAGTTTGATCAAACTGCAGGAGGCAGTGGAAGACAGAAGTGCCTGGCGTGCTCTGGTCCATGGGGTCACGAAGAGTCGGACACGACTAAACAACAACAACAAATTGACTAGTTGGGATGTGTGCAGAGGGGAGCGACCAAGATGATCAAGGATCTGGAAACAAAGCCTCATGAGGAATGGTTGAAGGAGCTGGGTAAGTCTTGCCTGGAAAAGAGTGGCTGAGAGGAGGTATGACAGCTATCTTCAAATATCTAAAGGCCTGTCACATGGAAGATGGCGCAACCTTGTTTTCTGCTCTGGAGAGTAGCACCCAAACCAATGGATCCAAGTTACGAGAAAGGAGATTCTGACTAAGCTTCAGGAATAACTTTCTGACTGTAAGAGCTGTTCAGCAGTGGAACAGACTCCCTTTGAAGGTGGTGGACTCTGCCTTAATGCATTTCTGTCCCACCCTCAAAGAGCTCAGGATGCCACTCACCATTCTCCCCTTCTTTTTATCCTCACAACAACCCAGCGAGGTAGGTTTGCATGCGGAAGGTCCCAGTTTCAATCCCCAGCAACTTTAGGTGAGGCTGGGAATGTCAAGTGGGTATTGCATATGGATGCAATTAAAGACATTCCTATAGAATAACTCAATCCATAACTATGAGCCGTGGGAACTCACAAGCCCAGAGGCAGCATATCACTGAATACCTGCTGTTGAGGGCAGAGAACAGGGGAGAAAGCTGGCACATTAACTCCCTGTTTGCCCTTCTCAAGGGTCCAGAAGAGCCGGGGCCACTTCCAGCTTTTGCACGCCCAGCCATGATTTAAATTTTAAAATGACAGAACACTGAAACAAAATAAGGCGCCGAAAAGAGAGCGAGTGGTTTGTTTATGATAAAATCAGCTGATCTGAGAGCATATCTTCACCATGGTCTAATAGCTATATTTCCTCCTATATACATAAAAAGTTAAGGCTGTCACCATCCAGTCCTCCATTGGAAGATTTGTCTCAGCGCAATCTTGGGTTTTCATGAAGTCAGCATGGGCAAGAGAAGCAAAAGAGAAGGCAAGTTTCAAAATGGTGGTTTTAAACAAGAGCAGGGGTTTGAATAAACCAGGGGGGTGGGACACAGAAGAGCTGTGAGAATATGGGGAGCTTGAAGGGGCTGTGAGTGGATAGGGGTTGGGGTGGGGGGAGGGGTGCGGGTTGGCAAGTGGTGGATTAGTGAGCAACACAAGCAGGGGTGGCAGCCTCTAGTTATTATTAAAGTTTTTAAGTCTGATATGACAAAATCTATACTGGTTAACAAAAACCATGTCTTTTACCCAGTGCTTTTTTCCTGGGGTCTGCATACCCCTAAACATTTTGTGAATCTTTGTACTTTTGTCCATTTACTGTATTTATTTTCCCCGATTTGAACTGTAAAATGGTGATTTTCTTGAGTCAAAATGAGAGTACCCCTAAACATTTTTTTTAGAAAAAAAGCGCTGCTTTTACCAAATCAGTTCCTCATTTGCTTTAACTTGTGCTCTAAGCTGAGAGTATGTCACATTTTGCTCTGATAACCCAGGTGGGGACTTGGGTAATATGGCGCCCTGAGCGAGGACAACCTTTGGTGCCGCACCCCAAATACTTCTTATTTTCGCAATAATTCATTTTGGTACAGTTGCTTTTTTATCAGAAGGCACCTGTAGACATATAGGTGTTGTATTATTAATGTTGTTGTTGCTGCTGTTATTTTGTTCCCCCTCAGCTCAGCACCGGGGGTGGGGGGTGGGAGTCATTCGCACTGCCCTACATCTGAATAAGCATAAAAAGAAGTTGTGAGGCTTATCAAATGCCAAAAAATTAACAAGAGTCTAGATTCGAGGCCCCATTGGAATTTGAGGCATCTCACTGGCCTGTCTTTGAAAGCTTTCTGGAGTCATTTATAGCTGGCTGCTGTTGCTGGCAGAATGTGGGCACCTTCGATCTGACTCAGCAGGGCCCTTCCTGTCTTCGTGACTTGCAGCTGGTCCTGACGAGAGAGGCAGGCATGTCTGAACTAGAATGAGGCAATCTTTTCCTGTCTGCTGCACCCTTTTCTGCTTATCACTTGGCTCCCACACAGCTGGTGTTGCCCCGGTTCTTATTTCATTGACCACAGACTGGAAGCGCAAGGGCACGAACCTTGCGCTGACCTGGTGACAGAGAGCTTGTGGCTGCAGGGTGGGGTCCGCGCCTTTATTTCCCCACCTCTCCCCATACTTCTTCTTTGGTGATCACTCGTTGCCGAGTAAGATTGTCTTCCATAAACACGGTTTTAACAAGGAGTCCGTAAGTTACTGTGGGGGCCAATTCTAGATCCACACATCCTTCCACAGTGGGGACCTTGGTTTCCAGGCGGGAGTTGATCACGGTGTGGATTTGCCAAGCGTGCCTTCCTCGAGTGTCTTCAAAGCCCATGACACCTTCGGAATAGAGTAGTTGCTTTGGAAGACGATAATCAGGCATCGGCACAACATGACCAGTCCAACAAAGTTGATGTTGAAGAATCATTGCTTCAACAGTGGTGATCTTTGCTTCTTCCAGTACACTGGTATTAGTTCGCCTGTCTTCCCAAGTGAGTGTCTTCCATCATATGAAAGAAGGTGTAAAAATTATCGGAGACACCGTTGATGGAATCTTTCAAGGAGTTGGAGATGGCGTTTATAAGTAGTCCATGTTTCACAAGCATACAGTAAGGTTGGCAGTACAATAGCTTTGTAAAAAAAGCAATTTGTTTTCCCTGCGAATGTCCCGGTCCTCAAACATTCTGTACTTCATTTGGGAGAAAGCCACACTCGCAGAGCTCGAGCGGTGCTGGATTTTGGCATCAATGTCAACCCTTGTGGAAAGATAACTGCCCAGGTAGGAGAAGTGATCAACATTCTCCAATGTTACACCATTAAATTGGATTTGTGGCGCTGCAGAGGGGTTATTTTGTACTTGTTGGTGCATCAATTTGGTTTTTTGGATGTTGAGCGATAGGCCAAGCTTTTCATGAGCTTCTATGAAGATATTTAGGATGGTTTGAAGGTCATCCTCTGAGCGTGCACACACTACGTTGTCATCAGCATACTGAAGCTTTATGACGGAAGTTACAGTAACCTTACTCTTTGCTCTCCCCATACACCCAGGTACTGTAGCATAGACAAATGCCACAAGCCACGCTGAGAGGTTAAAACAGCAGGGGAAGGCTGGGTGGAAAGGATAAAACATGGCTGTGCTCCGAGGGAAGGGCTGTAGCTCAGTAAAAGAGCATTGTCCTGCATGCAGAGTCAATCCTTGGCATCTCCAAGTAGAGAGAGAGAGAGAGAATATGTATCTGAATTTTTTGAGTGAAAAATCTATATGCAACCATCCTTTCTGGAGTTTGAACATCACAAGATGTACATCTTGCAGGCTAAAAGTTTTTGATCTAGGCCTGTCTGGATATCACACTGATTTGACTCCCCATCCTTCCCCAAGCCTGGCCTGGAAGATACAATCCTTAAATCCAGGCATAACTGGCACGATGTACTGTACACATGAACAGTGACGATCACGTTTTCAGGACTGAGCCCTGAATTGCAAGCGTGTTCTACTAGGCTCTGATATATCCTCATTTTTTGTCTATTGGTTGGAATACTTTGTGCTTTTAATTGAGAAGGGGAAGGTGTTTTTGGATAATGAAAAGTTAGATTGGTGTTTCAGGGGAGGAAAACCGCATGCAACTAAAAGCAAGTGTTCCTCACATTTTAAGAGCTTGATTGTGTTTAAGGGTGTGTGTTTTTGGCAATCGTTTATGTATAAACAGTATATGAATTTAGAAATGTATGTCATGAGGCATGACTTAATTTCTAAAAAGAAATAGAGTCAGTCTTGTCTGAAAAGCATTTTTGGACCCTCTTACATGGAAGCTCTTTCCTGCCCATCGATGTGCACATGATAATTGATGTCTTTTAGTAAGGAGACCCTGGCACTCTGCACGTGTGGAATGGCACACTTTCTTAATTAAGTGTTGTACAGCAAAGTTACAAATTGCAGCCCTACAAAATCAAAATGTCAACAGCCAGCATTAATTTCATCCTGCAGTAGCAGAAGATTGCAGATAAAAACATGTGTAGGTAGCCAGCAGAGGTCGCTGTTGTAACATAACTGCTATTACTCTAAAATATTAGGTTGCTGGTTGGTTATATTAGTTCAAAGAAGAAACAAAAAAATCCAAATGGGGCTTTTCACAATTTTACTAATCAGATCGATATTTTGACTCTTCCAATAAATGATTCAGGTAAAATATACTCTTCAGCTTAATATTTCCCGTCACCACTTTCATGACTTTCAGTCCTTTTTTCTGGTTTCTTTAGTACAGCTATAGATGATTCACAGCACAGCCCTAACCAGGACTAGTGAGAAGTGGGGCTTACTCCCAGGTAAGCAGGGTTAGGATTGCAGCCTAAGACTGCACTCCTATGGCAGTTGCCTGGATTTACCTCCAAGCAACAGGCACAGGATTACACTATGAATCACCATATCCCAAAATTCCAACCTGCAATACAGCTAAGATGTTCCCTTAACTGTGTTTATCCAAGGGGGAAAAAATGTTTATCAGATTTTGCCTTCTTGCTAATCCACATTCTTGCAATATAAGAATCAGAAACTGTTTAACACTCTTCACAGGTATTTTTGCACCAGAAGGGAAGCAGGAAAGGGGAATTATACACCTGTAATGGGAGCTTTTTTTCTCTCTCTTTTCTTTTTTTAAATAGCACGCTAATAGGGAGATGATGGCCCATCTGGAGTCTGCGCCTCAGGTAAGTGCTTCCTATTATAGTAGGGACCAACTATGTCATAGCAACTGCTGGCTCAACTTGAAGAGAGACTCCCTTGATGTCTGATTGCAGCATTTGAGAATGCGGTGATCTTGCAGCCTTAGTACCATTTCCTCCTAAGCTTTCTTCCTTCTGTTATTTCCTTCCAAAAGTCTCCAACATTCAATGTTGTTCCTTACACTAGTGAAGGAAAGGGAGGGCGGGGGGGAGCGCATTGCCCCCGGCACCATCGGGGAGGCGCTCTGGACACGCGCCACGCACCCCACCACCGCACCGGATGCCACGCCCCTGCGGGACATGCGCCACACTCCCGCGGGCGGCATGCCACGCCCCCTGAGACACACGCATGCCACGCCCCTACCTGCTCTCCGCCCCCGGAGCATGCAGCTTCGCCACTGGTTCCTTATAGACAGGGAAGGAAACTTCCCTTCCCGTCCCACCATGCACTTCTGCTTCTGGCAGTATCAATCATCCTAAGGATTCTGCTTTTGTGGCCAAACGCATAATCTCTGTTCATCACTTAAACCAGACAATCTATAATCCCCCCCTTTCCCCCCAGAAAAGTCCAGAACAAGCATTGATATGCACAGTCTCTAACAGCCAAGGAGGTTTGCAGTCTCTGGCTGCATAATAGGGGATACGGTTCCTAACTGAACACTGTTAAAACTATGTTGCTCCCAATAACACATCCTGTGTGGGGTTCTGGTACTCGAGTACTTACAACAGAGGTGTAGGATCTCAACATGGCTTGAAGTGGGGGTGGGGATGCTCCTGTGCTGTTGAACATAAGCACCGCATACTTGTAGCACATTCGAATTGAGAAGCTGCCTAGTTTTTCTAAATCTCGCGATCTCCTCCTCTCTCTTTCCTCCAGTGGCATACCGTGGGTTGCCAGTGTCCGGGGCCGCTTGAAGCGGGCTGCGGAGGAACACGCACATTAAACTATCTAATGGCATCTGTGTCACCCAGGAGACTGCTGCCGCAGAGATAAGAAGAGTGGTTCTGTTGTCTGGAGAGGTCTCTTCCTGGTTCGCATGGAGAAGCAGTTTTCAATGGAGCCCACCAACAGAAGCGTGAAACTGTACTGAGGCAGCACCAGGTGTTCACGTTTTGAGCCCCCTAACACTTTTGCACCGGGGGCAAATGCCCTTGTGTGACGTCTCCCCCTCCCCCATGCTACACCACTGCTTTCCACAATTTCCTGCCTGGAGATGAACAGTGAGGGGGCATGAAATTCATGGAGGGCATATACGTAACTCAAGCCTCTCCCCCCAAGGCCTTTTCCAATTGGATCAGCGACCTCTGCCCAAAGAGTAGAGGCTGAACCATGTCACTTCCAGGGCAAATTGTCTACTTAGCTTGAGCAAATCTGAGTTGTGGAACATAGGAAGTTATACTCGGGTCAGCTTGATGATATCTACACTGACTGGCAACAGCACTCCAGCATTTTAGGCAGGGTCCCCCCACCCCCAAGCCCTAGCTGGAAATGCCAGGAATTGGAGATGGGACTGAAGGAGGTGAGGACAGGTGACCCCACCTAAGCCTGAAGTCACCCCCCTCCCAACCAGGCCTCAAAACTGTCCAAAATTCCTTTTGTCTTCTAAAAATCCAAAACAGCTTTTCTCTGCTCTTCTTTGCTTTCCTCACAAGATGCATAGGGAAAATGTTATTCCTTTATCAGTACAAGAAGGCTTCAAAAGGCTAATGAATAGGCTCTGTCATTGCCAAGAATACTCAAGCCTGAGAACTGACTTTTATCTCACTCAGTTGCAACATCTTTGGACATGCTAAACCGCTCTCATTCCCCTTTCCTGGGAAGGGCGCCAAGAGTCCCAAAAGAGTCCAAACACAGGAGCTTTCTGTTCATGCTCAGAGGAACTCGAGGCAGGACTCTGGAGGAGGAGGAGAAAGGGGAGGGAACTGGAAGGGGAATATATACTCTGTGCAAATGACTGTGAACCCGTGCTTGTTTGTGAACTATCACACTTGCTCCTTCTACCAGTTCATGGATGCTAGAAATAAAGCTTTTTCTCTGAAACTATTCCTTGAGTGTCTGTTGACTCCCATCTTCCTTTCCCGGGTGCAATATTTTTCCCACCCGAGGGCAAAGCCTCATAAGGCTACAGGACTTCTTGCATGCTCAGTAGAAAAGGATGCCTGTGGCTTGCCAGCTGATTATGCTGAAGTCTTACATTGGCAGCCATTTTGTGACTAGCTCTGCCCCTGCACCACCATTTTGTGGCAGGCGGGCCTCACTAATTTTCAGCCGTCTCACGTGGGCCCCGAGGCTATCAAATTTTCAGAAACCCCAGTTCCAAGGGAACAGCAAGAATGTAAGAAGTTGAACACCACTGTTATGTATTGGGTTTAACACTTTTTATGTTACAAGGCGCGTTCTAACCAATCGTATAAGCGTTTGTAGACGAACGTTCTAATGGCAAGTAAGCGCATGCACTTTCAACTGTCAACAGTTCATGTTGGGGCTTTTATTGAGTAGTCCTGTGAGTTCGGGTTTGGTTTTCCTATGAGTGAGCCATTGTCACTGACAATGTTGAATAAACGTAGTTGAGGAACTTATACTGCCTTGGGCTTCTGACTTTTTCTGAACGTCTAACAACCACCTTGCCAGTTCTGCAGTTCAATTCATCCCATCCTAAGACTGCTTGCACCTTCAAAAAACCGCTACCATTGGAGTCCCATTGCACATATATGCATTAAATAAGCGGACCAGAAGCCTGTTCCCATGTGGAAAGAATGTGTGAGGGGGCTGTAGGGCTGTGAGCATGCGCCTCTCCCGTTACTGCTTGCAACAGCCGTGCCCCCTCCCCCCCCAAAAAAACAAACAAACACATCTTTCCTCAGTTGACAAAAAGAGAATGTAAGTTCTCCCTGGAATCTGTATTTGTTGTGGTTGGAAGGCAGTGTATTTAATTATCTTTGGGATAAGATGCACTTCCCAACTGGTTATTGAGACCGCTGCAAAATAACAATGGGGAAAGTGACCTACGCGCTGTGGCAGGGTAAACACAAATGAGGACCGACATGGGGGAGGTGGAGGGATGACACTCGTTTGTGTGTGTAGAGTAAAAAATAAATAGAATTTCAGCAGAATTTTATACACTTGCCCTCATGTGCCAAATCCACACGAGTCCTTTTTGCCCCAAAGGAGTTGCACAGGAAACCAGTTGGGATCATGAGGAGCGAAGAAACAAGACATGTTCTTTTTATTATCTATTTATGGTGCGATCGGCGCAGTTATACACAACCCGTTTCTACGCTGTTTGTGCGTACTGCTTCGTTCCCAATTGGTGCGTATCTTTTCCCTTCCTGCTAAAATCCAGTAACTGTTCATGCCACAAATAACATTTGGGGGTTGTGTGGTTGGCATCCTGGTTTTGTTGTTGCCTCCTGAGGGCAATAAAAGCAGCAACACGGGGGAAGCATCACGGAACAATGAAGCAGAATTATACATGGACGGTGGTGTAAATCTACCACTATCGTGATATTATTGCATCAGTGACATGTTTAAGAACAACGCTGCAAGAGCACACTTCTCTAGAAGAGCCCTGAGACTTCAAAAGCAGTTCTTGCTTCAAGCAGGTTTGTAAAGAGATATGCAATTACAAAGCCTGCCTTTGCCAGAATGCTCATTTGGGCATTGCAAATGCTTCACCCCTCTACGCTTTATTATAATGAAAACTAAAAATAAGTTACTCTTGTGGAAAACGCCCTTTGCCCAGAGGGCTAATCGAGATGTGAGTCAGGAGATCCATTTTCAGAAGGTGCTGGGGTTTTGCATGTTTTTTTAAATTTTTTTTTCAAAGCTGTAGTAGCAGCCAGGGATACCGACTTTTTTATTATGTAACAAAAGTGCCTCTCACTAAATGTAAATGAACTGTGAAAAATACTAGGTGGACCTTCCCCTCTATCTTTGTTTTGTAACACAGAAAAACTAATAAAAAACAGCACATTAGGAATTTTAACGCCTCCTTCCCAGCTCGGCTATCCCAACACAATTCCCTCCCACAAGGTTGCAATTAATTTTTTTTTTTAAACCTCCAATGAAATCTTTAATTAAAATCATTTTTTCAAAAAAAGAAACATTCGAGAAAGCCTGATGACAGATCTCAAAGATCACAGGTAGTATGACACTTGGCACAGCGAGGGAAAAGTTCTACAGGACTGGGAGCCATAATGAAATAAGGGCTGGTTAGCAAGGTGACTTTTAAAAGCTACAAAACAAAAACCAATTGGGACTTCTGTAATTGTTTCAAATGTAGTTTTTATTAGCTTTCTGTCATCATTCCTGCATTCAGATATCCAGATACACCTAGCAGTTTTGTTCTAACTGGAAACTGTCTTGGCTAGATCTTTGGATTTCAGACCAAGCCCGTCATTAATCCAGTAAGAGAAACACAGAAGGAATATCTGGAGCCAACAGTAGTACTAAACAGCCGCTATAATGGAACACTGTGTTTGCTCTCTAGGAACAAGTTAGAGATATGGTTAAGAGTTTGCACCCAGACTTTGTAGCTTTTTTTGCAAGTAAGAAAGGGCCATCTATATCTCTAGTTATGCTCTGAAGGTGGTGGTTGGATCTTCTCAACAGCTTCAAGGACAGAATCAAGGCTCACTTTGTCTCCAAATTCCTTCTCACGATGCTCCAGGAGAATGCCCTAAAATAAAAGGGAAAATGTGGGTCAGGTACGCACTTCCTTTGTATAAGACTATGTTTGAGACTCTTAAACTTCAGCAACTCCTCTAAGCTCCCTATTTCTGTGCACGTGAAGTAGCGCTGGATTTAGGCAGCACAGGCGCTTCCTCCACACGGGTGCAAAATTGAGAAAATCCCTAATTGAGTAGATCCACTTCTGGAACAGGACCAGGGTGGTGGTGGTGTCCTGCCCCACTTCCCCAATAAATCCTGGCGATGCCCATGCCTCATTTACCACATCCCTTACTTACTTAATCCTGCCATGTCCTTAAAAAAAAGAAAGCAATACCACACCTGATCCCCCCGGTTAGGATTTCAGTATTCTGCATTTCGTTACCTTTGTAAGACTAACTTTTTTGCTCCCTGGCCTTTTGGGAACGGAGTCAGCTGCCAGAATCAAGGCCTGGGCTTTCAGCAAGATGAATACCTCTTTGCATCTTTCCCAGATCATGAAAACAAAAAAGTGGGGCCGCCCTCTGGGAAGGATGCTGAATGTTCAATGGAGCCATAGTTCTGCCTCAATGCAGGAGACCAGACAAGAGAGAGCAGTGGTCTTTAAGACCCTTCTGGAGGTTGAAAACTGCAGAACATGGAACTACAGGATGGATGGAAACAGCTTTGCACTCGCTCATTTACACACACACACACACACACACACACACACACAGACATACACACAGATACCTGCTCCCCAGGACCAATAACGAAAACTCCTCCCAGGACAAAGCCTTCTCCTTCCAAGTTCCCAGTATAGCCATGCTTCCAAGCGTTGAAGAAATGCCTCCAGACGCTGCAGCGAAACATGCCCAAAAAGGTCATCTTTCTTTTCTTAGGCCCATAGAAACGTCTCTATAGAAAGGGATTAGAAACACTTGAGTCAAAACAGAGAGAGTGTGTTCTTCCTAGAGAAACACAACGCTTCCTGATCCGGAGCAAAACAAAAGGTAAACAAGGTTCAGACTACCACCGATAGGACTTTGTGTACATTCTCATTCTGCAGGAGTGCAGGGAAAGTAGGCTGCTTGCATGCTATATACATTTAAAGCACATTGCTCCCTACAAAGAAACCTGGGAGCTGTAGTTTAAGGGTCCTGGAGATTGTACCTCTGAGGGGTAAACTAGAGTTCCCAGCATTCTTTGGGGGCAAGGTACTTTATATGTATGGTGTGTGCATAGCCACAGAGCGTGGTAAAAAGGTAAAGGTAAAGTGCCTGGCGTGCTCTGGTCCATGGGGTCACGAAGTGTCGGTCACGAAGGACCCCTGACAGTTAAGTCCAGTCATGAACATCTCTGGGGTTGCAGTGCTCATCTCGCTTTACTGGCAGAGGGAGCCGACGTTTGTCTGCAGACAGTTTTTCTGGGTCATGTGGCCAGCATGACTAAGCCGCTTCTGGCGAAACTAGAGCAGCGCACGGAAACGCTGTTTACCTTCCCGCCGGAGCAGTACTTATTTATCTACTTGCACTTTGACGTGCTTTCAAACTGCTAGGTTGGCAGGAGCATGGACCGAGCAACGGGAGCTCACGCTGTCGTGGGGATTCGAACTGCCAACCTTCCGACCAGCAAGCCCAAGGCTCAGTGGTTTACACCACAGAGCCACCTGTGTCCCTACAGAGCGTGGTACTGGGTGCAAAAACTAAGCTTCTTCAGAATCTTGGCTTTCACGCCAAAATAAGCTTCTAGCCCTTTAGCTACAAATATATGCTTGAAATGCTTTAGCTGAGATTCCTGCGTTGCAGAGGGTTGGACTAGATGACCCTTGTGCCCCTTCCAAATCTATGATTCTTTGAAAGTACTTAGGTGATGGCTGCTGCAATTTCAGGGGCTGGAAGAGTCATTGCGTAAGGTCTCTAATGGCTGTGGGGAGCAGGACTGACCCAAGACATTTTGGTGCCTGAGGCAAGCCACAAAATGGCGCCTCCCCACCACCATGGGAGAATGGGTGAGCGGAGATCTACATCAGGAACAAGATGGGAATAAAGCTGTACATCAGGGACAAGGGTGAGAGGAGACCAGCAGCGCCTCCTACTGGCCAAGAGGCCATTGTAGAGACAGCATTGGGGTGCGGCTGCTGAGGAAGTGGCAAATCCAGCCCCCGAGGAGCTGCCACTGCAAAAGCAACAGGCAATGCATTCCTTGGAGGCAGGATCAGCTCCCTCTGTGGATCCTGCTGCACCCCGTCTCATGGGTCGGCCAGACCTGGGGCGAGGGCATTGAATGATTTAGCTAAGTTGCTGAAACCAGGTTCACTTGGTTGACATAGAATTTGGATTTCCTAGCTGCGGAATTGTAATGTTTTTAGCACCCCCTCCTGAGTAAAGAGTTGCTCCCCCCTCTACCTTTTCATTCATTTCTTTCTTGCCTGCCTCCCCCCTTCGCCCCTCATCTGCATACCGATCCATACGCTGTTTGCAGCGCAGCCTCACCGTTAAAAAAGGATCTGCTTTTATTCTGCCCCGAACATTTTCAAAACAGCTTACTCCCCCCTTGGTTTACCATTAGTAAACATAGTGAAATGACATCACAGTATCTGTTCTTACGGGTGAACCACACGCAACTGATTTGTTACCAACTTTATTTTTATTTTTGGCACCTGCTAAAACATGGGGTGCCTAATAAGACACACAGCCCAATTATGTGGGAAATAAATAAATGTCCTAATCTTTCCATTTATCTATGCATGCTAATGGGGAAATCATGCAAAGACAGGCCAGTGCTTCAGAGCTAACCTGTTTTCTGCCTATGTCTATTTATGATATATAAATAGAAAAGCAAAAGCCAATTAGCCTCTTAAGTAGCAGCTTTGCTAAGATAATCTTCATGCCACCGACTTCCCTCCAGACCCCCTAGTTGCAACAGAAGAGGCATAGCCACATCTCTTATCACAGTGGCTCTGCTGGAGGGATCTGTGTGCTCTGAAGTTTTAGTAAGTGGGATCATGGCCCAACATGAGCAGCTTTCATTTCTGAAGGTGGTCAAAAACTTATGTGGGAGTGTATTCTCACTGTGTGCCCCTGCAAAGAAGACAGCAAGAGAGGCATGCCTTTGTAGGTCATTGGGGAGCCATTACCCAAGCTATGGGCATTTTTTTTAAAAAAAACCCAAATCACTATGCAATGCAAATGGTATTCAGAATGCAAATGTGCATTACAAAAAGTCTTGTGTTTCACATTTGCAAATGATCACACCTTCAGCCAAGCAGCACAGGAGGGGCTCAATGGTAAATTGTGGAGTTTTCCCACACATATCTTTGAGCCACCTGTGAACCTTTTGCCAGTAAAGGACCGTACAGTGGTACCTCAGGTTAAGTACTTAATTCGTTCCGGAGGTCCGTTCTTAACCTGAAACTGTGCTTAACCTGAAGAACCACTTTAGCTAATGGGGCCTCCTGCTGCTGCCGCACCACCGGAGCACGATTACTGTTCTCATCCTGAAACAAAGTTCTTAACCCGAGGTAATATTTCTGGGTTAGCAGAGTCTGTAACCTGAAGCGTATGTAACCTAAAGCATATGTAACCCGAGGTACCACTGTATAAGCTTTTTGGCCAGTGCAAACTTAATGATTGCTTCACAAACCAGTTTAAGCAAGAATAGCCTTAAGCCTCGCACCTGAAAACGCATTCAGACAGAGTGGCTCAAAACGTCTAACATAATCTATGAGACAGATGAACAACCCAAGTACAAGTCACCAATTGGATCTACCTGTGCATCCAGAAATATCTCCCCCTTGAAATACGGCTGAAATTGCTCCACCTCGGTCCCAATGTTCTCCTTCACAACAGCATACAGGGGAACGCCCAGCTGGTCAAGCCGGGGCTTCAGAGAGGACAGCTGAGCAGCTTCCTTACGAATGAGAGAAGAGATAAGTTATGTGGCTGCAGCCTACAACCATCCCTATATAGCGACAACCCTCATACTGCTCTTATCAAACATGCCCTGAAATGAAGCCTGTGGGAATGTATGTTAAGATGGCATCACATTGGGAGGGGATTTTAGAAGTGCTAATGCTCTGTGGCCTATCTAAGGAACAGGCAGAGCCTGCTGCATGGTGGTGTTGCAACTGTGGACCTCCTAGCTGAACGCCACTGGATTCTTTCTTTTCCATCTTTAGACAGCTAGAACACTTTCAACTGTGCTCTGCTACCGCTTTTCACATTTTAATTCCATTATTTGTTGCAGATTTTAGGACTGTCGCCTTCTTTCAATTTCTTGTGGTTTTGCGGTTTAGTTGGCTGGACACAGTCCGGGTATGCAACCTAAAAATATTTAAAATAAGTAACAGTGCAATCCTAACCATGTACTGGTGAATTCAAAGGGGCTTCTTCCTAGGGTTAGGATTGCAGGATTAATTAAAAGAACATTTTAATTAGTACCTTGTTTTAAATTGTTGTCTCTCTCTGTGTATATACTTTATTATTGTAATCATCTTATTATTGTAATAATCTAATTAACATAACTGGGAGGAAAATCAGGCTTTCCTTGTGTAAATCTAAAGCCAAGCAAGATGCAAAGGTCAAAACACATGTTGTAACCTAAGGAAACCTAAGCTCAAAATTAATGGTAAGTTTAGCCGCTGAAGGATCTCTCCACCGCATCTCCACACTGCCAGGCGTCCAACACAGAACAATAGGAGGAAGGTAGACATAGGAAGAGGACTTGAGTATGAAAAAGAAAATGCAAACAGGACTGGACCTGTAATATTCCTACTGCAGCTCATCCGAATGGAAGATTTGGAAAAGGAGATTGACAAAAAAAAACCCAAGAAGCAAATATGGTAACTCAGTTGGTACAGCATGAGACTCTTAATCTCCGGGTTGTGAGTTCAAGCCCCACTTGGGCACGAGATTCCTGCATTGCAGGGGGTTGGACTAGATGTCCCTCATGGTCCCTTCCAGCTCTATGATTCTGTGAAACTCTTTAACGTAGTACCAAAAAATTGGCAACATGGAAAATATACTAGACCCTTATCTCTGTATCTGTGAAGCCCACAAGCGTCTTGAAATAGCAAGGTTAAACCCCATCATTTGGTCTTTAGAAAGAAACCACAAGGAAAACACGCTACCTCTCTGCACAAAAATCACCCAGGCCGCCGCACAGCCATGATGACGGCACCATGCTTCCTCCACAGTTCCTCTGCTTTGAATGCTCTTGGCTCTGCTGAGGGACAAACAATAGCACATGTCATTATGGTCCTTGTTGCCTCTTGTTCACTTCGGCAGCCGTGTGAGATGGACTATCTTCTCAGCTTTTTTCGATATTATTTATGGGGCTTTCTGGAGACCACTTGAATTTCAAGTGTTACGCTGAATGATATAATTGAAGCCACCATGCCACAGGCTCACAAACTGTGCGTGGCAAGTACAGCCTCACTGAGTTGGGCTGGGGCCTTTCAGTGAACACATTTTCTTTCAGAAACAGGGGAGCAAGTGGGATCTGTAACCAAGTGTTGCAGAGTGAAGCGCTTCTGTTCAAGATTCCAAATATTCTATCCCACACTCCTGACACTCATTTCCGCAAGACAGTCAGCATTCTGTGTGCACTGATCGTATTCGGCCCTCCCTGGGTTGTTTCTGCAGTTCCCAGAGGGCTTCCCCCTCAAAAAAAAAATTTTTTGTACTTCTGCAAACAAGCCCATTGATTATGTCCCACTTGTGCACATGTGGTGCCATTTTAATCATATAAGCCAGTGGTTTCGAACCAGTGTGCCGTGGCACCCTGGGGTGCCTTGAATGATGGTCAGGGGTGCTGCAGGCAACACTGGCTTCTGTCCCTCTTTCCTTCCCTCCCTCCTCTGATGCCCTCTCAGTTCTGTTTCCCAAAGGCTAGCACAGCTATTTATTGCAGCAGCCCTGGCTATAAGCTCCATAGGGAAATGTTGTCCAGGGACGGCAGCAGCTGCTGCCCAGAGGATTCCCAAGGAGAGGGGCGAGGAGAGGGGGCTGAGGGAACACTCCACAAGGGAGGGTGTTTGAAAATGGGTGAGAGGTTGCCAGCTCTGCAAGCACGGGGTGACACAACTGGGCTCCTGAGCCTTACAGGGGTGCCACAGAAAGAATGTAGTTGGTTAAGGGAGCCATAGACTCAGAAAGGTTGAAAACCTCTGATATAAGCAGTTCAGTGCCTGCTGGAAACAAAGGGAATTGTGTTAAACTCTATGCCACAGATGAGAAAGCTGCAGATCAGATTCCACAAAGACAAAAATACCGCTCATGGGTCTTTTTCCCATGCCTGGAAATCCAGGTTCTTTCCCGCAACAGGCTTTCCAAAGTATAACCGACTGCTTTTTCAGAACGCTGGGTTCTTAGCCCACAGAGGACCCTACCACACATAAGCCTTACCTCCTCCCAGAGTCTTCAGATCTGCCGACCCGAGAAAATCCAAGGAAGCCTTTTCCGCTTTAGTCAGAAACAAATCTGTATTGGCAAGGATTATCCCTGTCACAGCAGCCCCAATGGCTCCGAGGCCAATGGTCCACATCGCCATAGAGAAAAAGCCCAGGTCAAGCTCTGAACACATGTCTGAAAAACAAAACAAACAAAAAAAAGAAGAAAAAGGTATCCATTACTCCACTAGCTGACAAGGTTTCAAGACAAAACAATCCTACAAAACCAATTTCACCTAGAGACCCGATGGGATTATTTTGTTTACAAGGTACTGGCTTGATGTTCAAAGAGTTCCCAACTTGGACCATTATGAATTCTCCATGAAACCATCACTGAGAGATACAGAATTGAGAGGCACTGAGAGACACAGAATTGAACGGCACGTCGGTAGGAGAAGGTTGCGGGGGGCGGTCTGGTTTGTCCATCGATTAGCCAAGAACCCCCAAGTGTAAATTGCAAACTGTTTTTTCTACCGAAACAGGGGAGTCAGCAAGCAATCTTGCTTTTCAGTAGGCAGTGGTTGCCACTTTCAAAGAGTAAAATTCCAATCCTTACGGGCTCCAAGGATACTTCAAAGGGTGTGGGCAATGTCCGCTGGAATCTCGGAAGGGAAGCAGAAGAAGATATCCACTAATTGACGGCGTGCCTTACATAGCTCATGCTCGCCACTGTCTGTGATAAGCTAGCTTTTGCAACCTGTCATGCTATAGGCCCTTAATTTGGACTGCCTGGACACCAACTTAAGTGCCCCCCCTTTTTAAAAAACCAAATATAAGGGCATACATTCACCCCTGCATTCTGGATTTTTAGATTCCATACCATTTAAGTGGATCTCCTTTAGCTATATAACTCCTTGTGAGGGATGTGCTCTAAAAGGGAGCAGATAAATACATTCCCTTTTCCAGGGTTTTTGCAGGGTTTCTCCAAAGAAGAGGGATTCTCAAGGGACTCAGAGGGAGCAGTTGGGGAAAATGGAAGATTCTCAGTTATAGAATCAGAGACTTGGAAGGGACCTTGAGGATCATCTAGTCCAACACACAGCTGTCCCATATGGGAATCAAACCTGCAACCCTGGCATTATAAGCACCACTCTCTAACCAACTAAGCTATCTATTTCCCCGGCAACATTTTATTTTCTTATTTAAAATATTTCTGGGTTACTTTGCTCATGGCACAATCAAAGGCACATTTAAAACAAAAAACAAAAAAACCGCACAGGATCTACAGGCTTTTTCTTTGTTCTACAAAAAATTATATACCACTTGATTGTAACAAAACCTCTAAAGCAGTTTACAAGACTTTTTTAAAATTATCAATCAAAACAGTTTTTAAAAGCAAATACTGTAGTGAAAACTTTTCAAAAACAAGTAAAACCAGAGGTAATCTAAAAAGAGATTAAAATATGTCAACATCTATATATCTGGGATAGGCTTGCCTAAACAAAAATGTTTTATTTGATTAGTTCACACAAGCGCATTGCATCATGGAAGAGCGAACCATGTGCATAATAAAAAGGCTAGCGGCACACTGATCTTTCCTCAGTCACAGTGATATCATTAGTGCCATCTTGGGAAAACATTTGTGCAATAAATACTGATTCATTACTCACACATTGCATACAACCAGGAATGTGCCAATCTACGTTCCCTCTAACCTAGAACACAGTTTCAAAGAGACAGAACTGAGTCAGAATCTCCCCCACATCCGACCTTGGAGGCTGCGGAGATCTTATTTGTACAATATTCCAAACAAGCCATCGCAGCATATGGCAAAAGGCATGTTTTGAAGCAGGGATTCTACTTGGACTTAGCCACTGTGAACTCCGAATCTGTTAGCTCTGCCGGCATATGGCTGGAGATGCTACGATTTTGGTTAAAAAATGAAAAGGGGCAAGGCGGTAGGGCTCATTCATAAGTTGGAATGGCAGATGGAAAGGAGAGACCACTGCCATATATTTTTAAGGGGACATTTGATATACGAAATAAGCAAATCCATTCCCATCATATAGGACTGCAGCACTCTGGAACAGAACAAGAGCGATGGGATGTGCCAATTCTAGTGTTTTAATTTGTGTGGCATGGACCTGAAGTCCCCCAAGGAAAGAACTGTAAGGAAAGCAAAAAATAAAAAAAATAAAATACCAAGTTGACCACATTGGTTCCCAGGGCGATCAAACAATATTTATTTTATTTCATAAAATGTACACACCACTCGATTGTAAAGGGGGGGACGGACCCTCGAAGCAGTTTAGGTTTAGAAAGAAGATAAAACAATAAAATTATCACTAAAAAAATTATCACCGTTATTTAAAACATTCAGAAGGTTAGAACCGCAATGGAATAGACTAAAGCAAATTAAAACTCATACAATAACACAGTGATTGGGACATTGGTGGACATCAAGGCAGGTCAAGATGTGAAACATGGGTCAGCAACTGACAACCTCTGAATCAAAACAGGCCATTTAAGACTTTCCAGTTGGCCCCTTACTAACCGAACCAGAGATGGAGATAGAAGAAAAAGTGGTACTTTGCTGGCAAGACACCTGTGGGTGGGATGATGGTGGTAGAGAAGAGGTTTGTTCCACGGCCCACCATTTCCCTCTGTACCTGCACCTCTGCCCCACCAGGATGGTAGAGAGGAAAAAAAAGGAGAGCAGATAATGGGGTTTCTGTGGGGTTCAACATATTTAAAGAGCATTGTCTTGGATTATACAAATCGCTGTTCAATCCCAGAGTTTTCTCTGAAGACTTTAATCCTAGCAACCAGAACAGATATTCCCAACAGCATTTCAAGTTAACCGGTTGTTTTTTGTTTTCTTCCCTAAAAAAATTAATAAATCATAGTAATCTATTCATCCCACATCAGTGAGTATCAGCGGTGGCGATGGGGTGAGAGGGTAGGAGACCAATACCCAGATGTCATATATCTGCGTATTTACTACTGTTCTGACAGTAGTATTGATTCTAACTTAACTGCTATTATTAAACACCACCAGCCAATGCTGTGGACAAAGGAGGAGGATTTAAGTGGCTTAACCGCTGTAAAATCTGTAGCTCGGATTGGTACTTGGAAAACATTTTGCAATGTAGGATTTAAGAGCTTGTGCCTGGAGCCAGTTCCTGGAAACCTGTTAAAAGGATGTTGGGAAGCAGAGCTGAGACAGACCTCAGCCAGGTGGCTACGAAGAAAAACCCCTAGCCAAGGAGTAGATGGCAGTGCCCTCCTGCTGTTGTGGAGTACAACTCCTGCAAATCCCAACCAGCATGACCAATGGTTAGGGACAGTGTTCGAAACTCCCCCTGTTCTGGGCGCATTTTGCGGCAGGGAATTTCATTAGCACGAGCAGTTTCTGAGCTCAGGGCACAGTGCTGCGCCTAAGATTTCAGATTGAAACTGCAGAGTGGGAGGAAAGGAGGGTCTTTTTCTGCCTCCCCGCTTCTAGCTGCTCTCTGAAGACTGGAGAAGAGACCCTGTTAAGAATATTAGGGGGGCGAGCAGGGAAAGGACCAGACCATGTGAAAAATGAACATAGTATTTTAGCTGCGGTTCATTCATTTTCAGCTTTGTATTCTTCTTATAAAAAAGGGGGCCTAGACATTCCGTTGTTGCGCCCATAACCTAGGTTTAAGTTGCCATTTAGCTCCTAGCTTTCCTATCTCAGTTTCTAACACTGGTTAGGGATGATGGGAGTTGTAGTCCAACAACAACTATGTCCGCTGATGCAGAGTTTAGTCAGAGCAGTCAGTTGAATAAACCGTCTGACCCTGTATAATATGGCAGCCACACAGTAAATCTGTGATTGGGTGCCACACAAATACTGAAAATAAGATAGCATTATTATTGTTTAAAAATCTGTCTTTCCCATCATGTTCCCAAATTTTAGTGCGATTGCATTCACATTTGCTTCAACTGGAGTCTACTTTTAAACTTGTCCCACTTTTAAGGGCCAAACTAGACAAGATGGCGGAAGTCCTGTAATTGCATCTCCCACTTTACAACTTTTAAAAAGCAAATGCAACCATGGAAATGCCCTGATTCAGAGTCCGCTTGAATATGTTGCCTTGGGGTATGGGGATTAAGCCTTCCCAATGCCATTTCTCTTATCCAACCCTTGCCCCTCTAGCTTGTGGGGCATAGCATGCAGGTAGTCATAGAACTTCAAACATGAAAATAGGGTTAGGGACCTCCAGATCTGAACTGCTACATCAACATAAAGCAGCTTTTGTGTTCGCCCTATTCCCTTTCTTTTAATCCATTTTAGCTGTTTCACAATTGTATTTTTACACTGTTGTAACTCACCTCAGGGTGAAAGATGGATAAGAAATCACAGAATTGTAGATTTGGAAGGCTCATCTACTCTAACCCCCTGAAATGAACCCACAACCCTCAGGTTAAAAGTCTCACGCTCTCCTAATTGATTTTATTTCTTTTTAAAAACTTCTCATGAATAAGGCATGAGTGAAGTAAACAAAAGGGCACGAGCAGCTCGAACAACCACACAAATACCACACAACCATAAACCTATAATCCAAGTGCCCTCAGGACGCTGCTAAACTACGACTCCCAGCACCACTGGCCCCTGCAATATATACAATCATATTGTGTTTTTTATCATGTTGGTGCCATTTGGGCTCCTCATACCACAGATACACAATTTTTCATCCTGCCTGGCCACCACATTCATTATAGCGTGACTGAAACCAATGCCCTACTAAGCCTGGAACAAAACATATATAATATCTGCACCCACAACAAGTGGATGTGAGAGTTTTGAAACACAACAGAACCATCTACTCCTCCTTGCAGAGAATGCACAAAGCATGAAGCAATGCAGATCTGAATGCAGATATTATATCTGTTTGGACTCTGAAAATGTGCAAGGGTTAAGAAATGAACGCACTTACCAGTGCCCGCAACAGTTAGTAAGCCGGCAGGTACGCACAGACTTGACACCCGGGCGAAAGGAAGCCAAGAGCCATCTAGGCTGGCAGAAGGGCAGATACGATGTGAAAAGGCTCCTGCGGGCAAGATGCTTTTGACTCACCCTCCTCAGTAGTGTGGGCAGGACTAGGCGCGCTGCCAGCCTGAGAAACCTTGGCGTCAGCCTGAGCACATCACTCCAGAAGCCATTACACAAGACAGATCATGTCGAAATCTAGGGCTGGCTCATGACAAAGTATTGTGCCAGGGATACGATTCCTTGCAAGTTGTTTGGAAGAAGTGGTCTCGATCGTGTGATCCTGGTGTGGCAAAGAAAAATGCCACACAAATTACAATAAGCCCACAGAAATTACTTAGCAGTGGAAACCACTACTAGCCCGGCCTGACCGCATGCAGTTCTTTTAGATGTTTGTGGCTTGAAAGGAGAATTAAGAAGGTGCTTTCGCGGAGCTTCTCTGCCTCACTGTCCAGAACTGATTCTTAGGCAACCTAAGAACAAACCCTATTTACTGATTTGCAGGTTTTGTTCGGCAAATTGGGGCAAGTGAGCTCAAGCCGGCTAAAGGTACAGGGTCATCCCAAGCCTTGTGAAAAATTTAAGTACAAAATCTAACACAGTCATATTAATAAAAGCCATGAAACGGATCCAAGAGAGGGCTTATCCAGACCTCTGTTTGGCCTGCCCTTTCCCCCAAGAAAACCCAATCTTTAGCTCTGAATTGGAACAAACGGCAATTGGATTTTCCAGAGGGAAGCGGTGGGGCAAAACTGCTTGAACCCATGCTTAGAAAGCATGGCACATGTGGAAAATGACTCAGCTTTCTAGGCCCAGGACAAGCAGAAGTGTAGATAAGCCCAGAGTATTGAGATCATAGAATTGTAGAGTTGGAAGGGACCACAAGGGTCATCTAGTCCAACCCCCTGTAATGCAGGGATCTTTTACCCAACATGGGGCACGAACCCATGACCCTGAGATTAAGAATCTTGCTCTACCAACTGAGACAACTCCCAGGAACCAGTCAGCCAACAGATCCTTAAATATCAGTTGAATTACCTACAAATCAGTATATGGACACTTTGAGAGGGAAGAGAAGTGAATTTCCCTCGGAAAGGTACCTCAGTCATTACAGCCGGTGCCAAAAAGTCCCTTTTCTCCTCTCCCACACCAGTTACCAGTGTATTGTACAAACAGTTCACAGATACGTCATAAGAGAACTTGTGCCTGTTGCAGGAAATGCTGGCAGAAGTTGGCAACTCTTATTGCTGAATTTCAGCAAGGTACTTCTTATTTTGCTCATCGTAATGCCCATCTGTCAAGGTGCTTCCCAGCCGAAGGAATGCATACAGCAGATAGTTAAGCATTTATTGTCAAAAAAATAACACTCACGGTTTGCTTCTACAGCTCTGGGTAGCTACGCACAGCAATCTAGCGGCTAGGCAGCTATTCCCATCTCTGCGCTTTATGGAGCAGTTGCAGCAACAAGGGACCACTCCCCCTCCACCAGTTGATGCACCTTCCCCCGGTAGCCAGAGACTATGCCTATGTGTGGAAACTGCCTCTGCCCCTCTCTTTTCAATCCCTTCTTGGTTTTGGAGACAGTTGTGCAGGAGAGGTTTGGTAAGCACCTGACCCTTCACTTGCCTGACCTGCCTCTTAGTCCCCTTCTTCCAACCCACCCTCCAGCTCTGAATCTTCCCCTGCTTCTTCTTCTTTTAAAAAAAAAAAACAAACTTTATTCAAAACATCAAAGTAATACATTAAAATGCATTAAAAGACGGAGCTTGTAAAATATGTACAGGATAGCAAGGAAGGAGTTGGGATGCTAATCTGGAAAAGGATTTCTTTCATGTCTATTTTTGGTATTTTTCAAGCAGCATTTGCAAACATCTTACACCATAGGATGGAGTAAGACTCCTGGGCAGCTTGTTTGGTTGCTACTTTAATGCTACAGGTTCTCATCGTAAATCTTTGCCCTGAAACCAATTCTCCTTGGCAGTCTGGCTCTTTTGTTCCGAAACCTGACTTAAAGAGAAAAACTGAGAGTCCGAAGCACTTCCATCAACATTCTGCATTTGTACAGGATTTGTAGCTGAATAATTCCCCGTTGCAGACCAGGGAGTGTAAGTGCTTGATGCCATGAAGAAGTTCCCAGCTGATGGTGGAGGCTGCCTCACCATCTCCGCACCGTAATATGGAACTGGGCAGTTGCTCACCTGGGAAGTCTCATAAAGCCCAGTTCCACAAAAAGCAGCTTGCTGGTAATAAGCAGGGTTCAATTCCAGGGAGCTCTGCTGTTGCGGGGCATAGAGATGCTCTCCTGGTTGCATGTTGTTGAGAGGTGGATCTTCCCCTGCTTCTGATTCTTGCCTCTTGGCTGATGGAGGTCCCTACCACTGCTCCCCTCTCCCGAGTCAGACTCCAGCCAACCTTTCCCCTCGGTGCACACACATCAGAGACCTATCAGTCCCTGACACAATTGTGGTGAGGGGTAAAGAGCTATGCCATAGCACTCAGTGCGTATCCGCAGAGCACTAAAAAGCCTTATGAAGCTACTTGCTTCCCTGTTTTCAAATACTTCACACAACTCCCACCATCACGGACCCACTGGCCGTACGGGCTGGACCTGATAGGAGCAACAGTGCAGTCCACACTTTTCCCGTCCCTGCCTGCTCATCGGGTATTCTGCCAAAACAGTATTTCTGAAATACTGAGATCAACCTTGTGCAACAACACCCACTGAAGAGATACCAGGTCAGTATCGCCACCTTGGAAATGTTTACGCTGGCTGACAAAAGCATTTTGTCCATATCTGATCAATCACTATCTCAAATCAGCTTGCTTACTGAGCACACTTCCTCCTACCTTCTCTCCTGTGAGCTGAGAGTTCTGAAATATATTGTGGGATAGCCCTCTTAAGAGCCACACTCGATGGGAAAGTCTCTCCCCTCCTACCCTGGCGCCCATTTAAAAAAACAAAAAACAATGCAGACTTGGAAGATTAATCAGAAGAAGAGCAGAGGTGGGCTGCTTACCCTTCCCTCCCACCTTTCATAAGCTGTGTTTCTCCCTGTGTGGGGAAATGCAGGCTAACCAAATCTTTTCCTTCAAGGGAAACAGCTATGGGGAGTGATTTTTAGCAGGAAGCTGCCTACCTTATAGTGTCAGACCGCTGACCTATCTTATTAAGTATTGTTATGTATCTGCAAGTGCAAGACACCCTGGACTCAAGTAGTGTTAGAATTTAACTAAGGTTGGGATGCAAGATCCCATGTGTATTAAAGAATCCCCTGTAATCAGCATGTGTGAGGTGTTAACGAACCTAGGTATCCTAAACTGTATCTCAGACACTCCCTTTAATCCTAGGCAGGCAGGTGTAAAAAGCTATTTCCTCAGAGGTAATAATACCCTGGGTGTGGATCGGAGCATCAAAAAACAATGTGTAAAAATGCAGATGAGTGGGGCTCCTCTTTCTGTGTTACAAAAGACCAAGGCTTAGATTAGCATGGGTAGAAAAAGAGGGGTTTTACCATTTCTGGGGAAAGGCAAGCTGCAAAACAAGGATGATGCTAGGTTTGGAAGAACCTGGTGCCGCTGCCGCTACTGCTACTACTACTACTACTACCACCATTACCAACAACAACAATAGTATTTATACCCTTCCCTATCTAGACACACACACACACACACACACACACACACACACACACACAGTGGTACCTTGGTTCTCGAACGTAGTCCATTCCAGAAGTCCGTTCGACTTCCGAAACATTCAAAACCCAAGGCACGGCTTTCCAATTGGTGCAGACGCCCCGGAAACAATAGCCGACAGTTGCATCGGACGCTCGGCTTCCAAAAAACGTTCGAAAACCGGAACACTTACTTCCTGATTTTTGGTGTTTGGGAGCCGAAATGTTCAAGTACCAAAGCATTTGAGAACCAAGATTCCTCCCTCTCTCTCTCTCTCTCTGTGTATGCATACACACACATAGATATGAGCATCACTTCCCAAGTTTATAAATATATATATAAAAAACACACAACTTGAGCTACACAAACACAACCTAAGCTACACAAACACACACACACAATATATCATAAAGATGCCCCAGTCTCCACTGTGTCCCATTCCCAAAAGGAAACACAGAACCTGGGTGAGTGCATGAGTCTAGCGCACTACTTGGTGGAGATTGGGGTGGCATAGTATTACCTACTATGTTGACCAGCAGTAGTTCTCTAAGATTTCAGGCAGAAATCGAACCTGGGACCTTCTGCACTCAAAGCAGATGTTCTACCACCGAGCGACAACCCTTCCCTTTAAGGAGAGAGAGAGAGAGAGAAAGTATAGCGGGGGGGACGGACGTTAAGTAGCCCCTCCCTGTCATCACTCCCAGCTGGGAAAAACTAGCCTTCTCCTTAAGCTATTTCCCCATGAAATGCTCGGATCCAGCAAATGCTGCCCCACACAACATATCTGAATGTGTAGTCCAGCTCTCCACTGTGGGATGTGGCAAGTGATCGTGACAGGTTTCGCTGAGATAAAGAACAGAGGCAAAAATAGAACGCTCTCTCCTCAGCTGCAACTTGCTTTCCTCGTTCGAAGTTCCTGCAGGGTCTGTGTCTCCAGAAAATGTGATCCGGCAAGAAAAAGCCATAGCAAGTTTAACCTGTCTAAGCAAGGTCCTTAAATTTCAAGGATGAACACAGCATTTAAAGCAACAGCTTTAGCTGTGGCATAGGGGCAGGAATTTTATCGGGCACATCTTTTTAACACTGTCGCACAACACAAACTTTCCTGCTTAAGTTCTCCGTTCTAAACAATTACCAGAACCCTGTTGCCTCTGGCAGTGTTTATGTCAGCACATGGAGGGGGGGGATATGTGCATGGGCACAGGCACAGAAGAATATAGGCAAACCCACCCCACAATTCTGAAATCTATACAGTGGTTACATGGTGAAGGAATTCAGGAAACGGCCAATGGCCCATCTTAGTCCAGTATCCTGTTCTTGCAGTAGCCAACCAGATACCTGTGGGAACTTCCAATGCCCACATTTTCTAGGTGTGCAATGCTGATCTAGAGTTGATTAATGGTAGTTTCAACTGAGCTGAAAGCCAGGGATATTGCAGTAATTATGCAATCCCTTTATAGTGCATGACAATGTGGTCACCACATTTGCATGCATTAAATACCTAGGTTTCTGTTTCTGTACTCAACTCAGATAGCATCTGTTTGCTTAATAAAAACAACTGTGTCTCAGTTTTAGGGATGTTTGGACTGCCATCACAAGTGAGGAGGGCCTATCTTAAAAGCCCTATCGGACGCGGGTGGTGCTGTGGTCTAAACCACTGAGCCTAGGGCTTGCTGATTGGAAGGTCGACGGTTCAAATCCCCACGACGGGGTCAGTTGCTCGGTCCCAGCTCCTGCCAACTTAGCAGTTCGAAAGCATGTCAAAGTGCAAGTAGATAAATAGGCATCGCTCCAGCGGGAAGGTAAATGGTGTTTCCGTGAACTGCTCTGCTTTCGCCAGAAGCGGCTTAGTCATGCTGGCCACATGACCCAGAAGCTGTACGCTGGCTCCCTCGGCCAGTAAAGTGAGATGAGCGCCGCAACCCCAGAGTCGGCCACGACTGGACCTAATGGTCAGGGGTCCCTTTACCTTTACATGGCTAGAGATGTAAAATGTCCATAAATTTGGAAGCTAGGGGTGGGGTGACCAGGAGAGGAAAATAAAAATATATGCAATACTTTCTTATCAAACCTAAACTTATTTCACTGTTTTTACAACATATAAGGCATCATTATTAACATACAGAATGGTACTATGTTGCATTTTTATGAAATTTGACAGAGCAATTCCATGCATGTTTTACTCACAAGCAAGACGTACTTGGTTTAGTGGACTTTGCTCCCAGATAAATGCATGCAGTTTCAAATGTATTCATGCCTTAGTTCTGTTCAAGCAAAATTGTGAATATACCCAGTGCTAGAGAAAGATCCTCAAACTACTGCACTCCATGCTACCAAAGGGCATGCTATCTTGTTTCTTCCTGTTTCTCAGATGGCAAAATGTAAGAGTTGAAAAGGAAAGCACCATCAACCAGAGGAAGGCAGAAGCAGCAATTCACAAGCGACAATTCACAAGCATGCTTCTCTCACGACAATGATAGAACCCCAGATGCAGAAATGCATCTTGCATTTGGGTGTCCACACTATTCATAAGTCCTATAGAGTTTTATATGAAAGACAATCTGTATACTACACAATCTGGGTGTGTAAAACCCTGTACTAAAAAGGATTTAACTCATTCTAACAAAGCAAGTATTTCATAGGCGATCCCCCTTCTCCCGTTTCCCCCAAAGTTTCCAAACAAAACATGGGATGGAAGAAGGGGGGGTAGATCTGGTTTCTCTCCCCACCACCAGGCACAAGTCAGCAAGATGATGTCAGAAGAGGCCAAAACCTTTTGACAAAGGTATTCATTAAACACTCCTAAGTGTAATAGCCATAGGATAAGAGGAGTAGTCTTGTGGATCAGGAAATGGTTAAGAAACAGGCAGGGAAGACTAGGAATTAATGCCTCATTCTCCCATTAGAGGTGTGCAGAAAATGGAGTCCTTTGAGGATCAGTATTTGGACTTTTTAACTTGTGTATGAGTTACTTAGTTTTAGGGATGAACAGTGGGGTAGCCAAGTTTGCTGAGGATGTTATATTGTTGAAATATACTCGGAGTCGAGAGTGGATTTCATGCTCTTTATCCAGCTCATAGTGGTGAGGAGGAATGAAAGTTCCCCCAAAGTATCTGCTTTATATACATTATTTACACAATGGGCTGCACGTGATTGGCTAATTCCAGAATTCTCCTGTAGGCCAATCAGGTTGTGGATTCATTTCCATCTGGAGCTGGATTGGGTGGCTCCTGCAGACCAATCATACTGCTGCATTGTTCTAGGACCAATCAGACTGCTGCATTTTGGATCCTATTCAACTCAGTACATAACAATTGTTAAAACAAAAAGGGTTTCCAAGAGCTCCAAAACGTTCTGTCCAATCTGGGTGAGTGGGCAGTAAAAATGGCAGATGGAATTCAATGTAAACAAGCGTAAAGCGATGCACATCAAGGCAGGGGGGAAATCACCAAGGGCCCCTCAGTATCACCCACACTCTTTTGCTAAACCACTCCCCAAGGTTGCTGGAAGAGTGTGATGTGATAATCTCTGAACTCCTTGGGAGACAAACTGCTTTCACAGATTGCTCTCTTGGAGCTTATGGTAGCCCCAACCAGTCACTAACCAGATCTGTACCTCTTTTGCTTCCACAGTGGTACAGTGGTGGGGTGTATGGGATGTTAGAGAAGGGGGTATTACCTCTGGTGAGGGACACGTCACACTCCTTCTGCAGTAGTTTGTCTACCTTGGTCCACATCCTACATCCAATTCTCACCTGTGGCCCCTAGAAGCTGTCTGCATGCAGCAGTGGCCACACCCTGGGAATGGCTTCGACTGGCTGGCAAAATGAGGGGAGGGTGGTCGGTGGGTCTCAAACCCTCAGGGAGTTAGGGACTTCCTCTGCATGCAGAGACAGGCTCTGGCGGATTGAATGGATGAGACCATTTCTGCACATGCTGTGGAGGGAAGTGAGGGGCAGATGGGACTCGTCCACCTGGGAAGGTAGCCTATCTAGGAGAAGGAAAACTCTGATCCTAAACCTCCACACCCTTGCGGGACACCTTTGGGAGAAGAAAAGGCTAAGGAGTAAACCCTACATCAGGCATGTCCAAAGTCCATTTCGGGGGCCCGCCGGTTGGTTTAATCCAGCCCCTGTGGCAGTTTATTTCCTGGGGTAAAATCCTAAAAAACAAACAAACCCTCAACAACTTCAATACTAAAAGAAGCTCAACAACTTCAATCCAAAAAAAAAAGGTCAACAACTTTGGCCGGCCCTTCACTTCATCAAATCTGGCCCTCTTTGAAAAACGTTTGGACACCCCTGCCCTACATAAATCTGGAGTGAAGTCCCTAAGACAGTTGGATACCACTTTGTACGCCTCCTTCTGTCAACTCCTGCAACCAAGCTGGTGCCAAACGTATTCCTCTGCTTTCCTTTGGACCACATCTGTGAGGCCAAGAGGGGGGTCTTGTCATCTGGGCAGCCTAGGAACTCCATACATGCTGCCTAGGCTTGCGCCCAGGGAGGTCGATTCCATGTTCCTAATGCAGCGGTTTGACTTCACTCCCGGAGGCGCACTCTTTTGACTCTTCAGACAAGACAGATGCCAACAAGGGTAGAGGGGTGGGTGTTCCCAGACCATTCACTGCACCCAACAGATGTGGATTACTCAGGAAGAGAGAATGCAGATGTAAGCTCTTTCACTCCTTTTGCCTTTGATCAGCCTTGCCCAGAACAATTAAGCAGCTCTTTTAATCATTAATATCTCATTTCTCTTGGATGAGTCAGTCCCGATCGCTATACATTCAAAGGCATATGCCACTCCATTCAGCTCAGAGTCTGTTGCCCCCACACTCCCTGCAGCAACGTCTATGAACTGCAAAGCCAGGAGCAGATCTGGCAAACCCCTGACGATCAAAGGGCAAATCCAAAGGCACTTTTGTGCACACTCACCATTTGGCAGCAAAACAATCCACTTTGGGAGCCCCACCAATGCAGTGGCATTTAAATGTTATATTTATAGCTTATAAAGTGAAGCCCTGCCTGGTTTGCAAATCAACCTGGAACTATAAGGAGGGGCAGAGCATACAGAAGGCCTCAGGTCTCTCATTAGAGGAAACAAGGCAGCTGGATTGGGAAAGACTTTACCTGGGGTCTTGAAGAGCAGATGCCAGGCAGCATCACTGAATACAGTGGACGCTCGGGTTGTGAATGTGATCCGTGTGGGAGGCACGTTTGCAACCCGCAGCGCCGCGTCTGCGCACGCGTGGGTCGTGATTCGGTGCTTCTGCGCAAAGCACGATTTAGCGCTTTTGCGCATGTGCAAGCACCGAAACCCGGAAGTAACCCGTTCCGGTACTTCCAGGTTCGGTGCAGTGCGCAACCCGAAAACGCGCAACCTGAAGTGTCTGTAACCCGAGGTATGGCTGTATATGAATCTGTAATGTGACTCAGTATAAGGGGGGGGGCGATATTTGATCTGACCTGTGGCCTGGATGCTCATCTCCTCTGCCTCACAAACCATGGACCATGTTTAACAGGTGAGCAGGGCCATGGGAGAGACCTCTAGTGCTTAATAATAATAATAATAATAATAATAATAATAATAAATACCATCCTTCATTCAAAGATCACGGGGT